CTTCCTTGGAGGAAACAGAGGAGAAAGGGGCAGGGGCACAGACAAAGTCCTGTATCTACAGATGCAGAGATCTGAATTAGGAAGCTGTAAGCCAAGGCAAGCCTGGGGTCATCAAGAGACTAGGGATAGTTCTCTGTAGGAGCCTACAGGAGAGCCTAGGTTTGCCAACACCTGCATTTTGTTTGTGCTTTTATCCTCAGAGCTGTGAAAGGATAACATTCAGTGCTATTAGCCCACTCAATTTGTGGTGATTTATTATAGTGCCCTAGGAAGTCTACAGGACTCATTTCCAATCACAAAGCTGGGGCTCCTGCCTTGGAATACATTTTATTTCACCAAGTTCTGGGTTCCAGGGCAATGGTTACCAGAGCTGAAATTGTTTCTGCATCAGGAGATTTTCAGTTGGAGCACATTCATTTCCCCCAGATAATTGTTCTATAAAGTACAAAGTCAAGAGACTGGAAGAGAGGTCTAGAATTCCCAGGATCATGTTTTGAGAATCATTTTTACCAGGGTATGTCCTTTACTGGATGTTGCTGAGTGGGGCCATGGCAGGGCTAACAAACATACCCAAAGCTGGGTGTGGCTCAGTGGGAGAGTGTTCCCTAGACTTCCATCCCCAGTCATGCAAGGAGAAAACCACAGACTCTGCTGTGCTTGTACCCACTGTTCTCTCAGAGTTAGGAGTCCACCTGTCTTGGACCAGACACACCTAAGTGGGGTTTCTTGCCTGGCATTGGGTGTAGGATCCAGCTCCATTTTCTCATCAGCTCTGATTTCCCCAGCTCTGTGCACAGGAGAGGATCCAAGGGGAAGGAAAATGGAAGTGGTGCTGACCATGACCCAGTTCAGAAAGGACTCTAAAGCGCATTCCATTCATTAAGTATTCATGGGTCTAAAAGCCTTTCCAGGGGCTTGCAAGTATTTGCCTAGATCCGGATGGATCCAGGTTGGAATTCTAGCTCAGCCACTTACCAGTTATGATGGAGTTTCGGGAAAGTTATTTGACTTCCTGGACTGTTACTGTCCTCACTTCCAAAATGCCATCTTGCCTTACAATGTGGCTGGGACATTAACAGGAAGAACTGAAAGGCCTACTCTAATGGCTGGTCCCCAGGAAGTGCTCAGTGGTAATGAAGATTATCATCATTTACCTTTCTCACTGCTCTGATGGCTCTTTGCTTTATCCCACCACGTTCCTGAGGCTCATCCCTTTTCCTAATGTTTAGAGGACGGTACATGGACGTGATAGGGAGAATTTGAGATCCTTCTAGGATTAGCAATTAGCAGTTTAATGTTTCTTCTGTGAATGCAAATACCACTATTTTCATTACTTGATCTATTGATGTATTTTCTTGCCTGCAAGGGAGCTGCCAAGATGGTGGAGGTGAACTATTGCAGAGGAACACTGAAGTCAAAGTAAGAAGATATTTAAAATCATATGATCTGTTATGCATTGTGTTCTCATGTAGCGGATTCACAGATTATACATATTTAAAGTCCCTTTTCATGTGCATTTCTTATAGATGGATTGTTTTCTTGTTCTGAATTTAAGTCGAATTGACAGTTGGAGAGAGGCCTGCAGAATGTTCATTCATGCATTTTCTGTGTCAAAAGAACCCCTCAAACTTCAAAAAAAGGCACACACCCAATCTTATATAACCATGTCAAAAGTGCTCCCTAATTTTTAGGGCAGATGGAGGTAATGCATTTTGCAAGCAAGAAAAGAGAATATTACAATAATTTTTATAAGAAAAGTTTCATCTTAACAAATATAACTTTCTAATCCAGATTGACATTCCCTATTTGTGTTCGTGTTTATAAATTTAAAAAAAGCAAAAAAATTCACAAGTTTTATTATAATCCAATTTCCTAACGTATTAGCTGTAAGAATGTGTTCTATTTTATGGCCCTTTCTCCTTCGTTGCCTCCCTGGGGATGGAACCTAGGGCCTTGCACTTACTAGCACTCATTTTAACATTGGCTACATCCTCAGTCCTTGTCCCAGACTCTTTGGGTATCCCTGGCTAGCTTCAAATTAAAGATGCTCCTTCCTCAGCCTCCTGAGCGCTGAGGTTGCAAGTGTGCATCACAATTCCCAGCTAAGTTGTTGTATCTATTTATTTTATGTGCTTTTTATTTAGGGAGGCAGGGCTTCATTTACCTTCATCCAAGGCTTGACTGAAGTTCGTTGTGCTGCTAAGGATGACCTTGAACTTTTGATTGTCCTGCTTCCACCACACGATTTCTGGGATTACCGGTCAGTTTATACAGCGCTGCAGATTGTACCCAGAAACTTTTGCAAGATGGGCAAGTGCTTTCCCAATGACACCCTTGGCATTTAGAGTTTCTTTTAAAAGGAATGATGGAAAGTGACCGAGGACAATGTCTTCAGAAGTGTATGAAACCAGCTCTGGCTACCCTGCCTCCAGACTTGGCATTTCATGTTCCTGTGGCTCCCAGGGAATTATGCACCTGATTCTGTTTTCTTTTCACCCGTGTAGGAAGAAGTCTAACCACAAACCCAAGTTCCTTGCTCCCACTTGAAAAGGTCAGTGACCCAAGGACAAACTGCTGAAGTGAAGAACAGCTTTTGGTAAGCCAGTCCAGCATGCATCGTTGTGAAAGTGTTAAGAAGGAACAGGGAAGGTGAAGAGAGGGAGGAGGTAGAGAAAGGAAGGGAAGCCTCCTTGTATCATTGTTAACCAGCCTTTCCTGTCCAGAGCTGCGCTTCTCTCCTGACTGTGTCAATCACATGATGAAGAAGAGCTGATTCCTAAAATATAAATATGAAGGAATAGTCTGCCATCATAGGGGAAATGTGCAATTCTTTTTAAGAATTATTCTATTAGTTTTGCTTCACCACTCCCCCCCCCCCAGTGTGTGTGTGTGTGTGTGTGTGTGTGTGTGTGTGTGTGTGTGTGTGAGAGAGAGAGAGAGAGAGAGAGAGAGAGAGAGAGAGAGAGAGGTATGTATAGATATTGGAGAGGCAAAGTGGTCATAAGCACCCATCTGTAACCCAGAAGCTATCTCCAATTGATAACTGCTTGCAAAGGCAAAAAAATTAGTTTTCTCCAGTGGATTCCCACTGGGTATACAAACCATACTCCAGGGCAGGCCCCATGCCCAGCAGAAGATGGGCAACACAAAAGGAACTCAGTGGCAGTTTTGGAGGTTCTTTGTCTCATAATACTCAGTCGGAGTTTCTTTTTCCTTGTAGGTCCTTGCTGTATATATTATGATGTCCAGTTTTGTGTTTCTATGGGTTTTCTCGGTGTGTGAATTTGCGTGTCTCTGCATCTGTATGTGTTTCCTGTGCTTTTTCTTTGGTTTGTTTGCTTTTGTCTTATTCTTGTTTGTTTTATTTTATTATTATTATTTTTGTTAGATGCCTGTTTGTATTCTAGTGAAAGAGAGACAGAAAGGGTGTGGATTTGGGTGGGTGAGGAAGTGGGAAGGATCTGGAAGAGTTGAGGGAAGGGAAACTGTCATCAGAATATGGTATCTGATTAAAAAAAACTATTTTCAATAAAAAATAAATGCACTTTTTGTTTCTCAAAAACCAACCCCCTCCCCAAATCATGGACCTTGTACCTACATCAGAGCGGAACCCAGAGAGCTTTCAAAGAGGAGAAGTGCATTTGAAGGACAAAGGAAGAAATGTAGCTAGGATACAGACTGCCTGTAAAATAGTTGAAGTCCCAGAAGAGAGAAAAAATGGTCACACCATCAGTACTGGAAGACGTAACTGAGAATCTTCAAAAAATGATGAGAACGACCAACCAACCAGCCAACCAACCAGCCAACCAACCAACCAACCAACCAACCAACCAACCAATCAGCCAACCAACCAACCAACCAACCAACCAACCAACCAACCAACCAACCAAACAAGCCTAGAGTCTCAGGGAGATTTCTGAATCCCAACACAAATAATGACTAGAAATTCAAGCCCACACACGACACAGGAAAATGTTAAATAATACACAAAGCAGGCATCCCTCTAAGAAGGCTGCTCTTTTAGGAAAAATAATTCAAAAGAAGTTTTAACAACAAGAAGAGAACCAGGAAGGAATGTAACCACACCTTCCTAATTTTGAAGGAATAGCTTCCAGCTTTCAACTCTTTCGATGAAACTATCTTCCAAGAATGAAGGAGTCTGGACTTCATTAAATTCCAGCTTGGTAGCTGGCAGGTGCACGTTAAAGGGAAACATATAGGTGCTGCTTTTTGGCAATAATGAGAATAGTGATGGGAAGCGAGAGCCGAGATCCAAGAGGAGACAGGTTGAAACAGGGTTCAATCAGCAGGCAAATTTAATGGAAATGGGCAAAACACCTTGACTTTATTTTCCAACAAAGCCAGCACAAAATGCTTCCCAGCTCTGCAGAGCAGGTGGATGCCAGTTGCCACCAGTGAATGCTGTATTACCCCAGCAGCTGTCACACAGAATTCCACTTAACTGATGTGACTTCCAACCTCAAGAAGAAGCCTGGTTGGGAGAGGGCCGGTGCACCTGGGATACAGTAGGTAGGGCAGAGAAGTGTGGGGAGTAACAGGTGTTTCCTGTCCCAGGTAACAGGGGTCCAGTGTCTGTTCTTCAGGACTGAATGGTAAATGTCAGTACTGTGAGCTCACACGATTCTCTGGCCGTGAACAGAGGTAGCACTGGGTAGCAGAGAGTTCTGGGATTTGGAGTAGCTCGTTTGTCCTTGGCCATCTCTGTGCTCTCCTTAGCGCAGGATGGCCACCGAATTTCAAAATGAAAGAAGTTGTTGAAAACATTTGGTTTCTGCTCCTGAATTACATCAAAATTGACAGGCCCTATGGGATGCTTAGTTAAGAGTCTTTATTGTAGGCCTTAAGGAAGTAGTTGTACTGAAGTGTGTGTGTGTGTGTGTGTGTGTGTGTGTGTGTGTGTGTGTGTGTGAGAGAGAGAGAGAGAGAGAGAGAGAGAGAGAGAGAGAGAGAGAGAGAGAGAGAGAGAGAACGCCCTGAAACGGGTCTAGAGATCATCCTGCTTTGAAAGCTAGCCTCTCTTGGAAGGTGTTCTCAACTTTGATATTCTTCTTCATATCTTTCATCCTTCCTATCCCTTGGCATGGGTCTGGGTGAGGAAACGCTTACCCTCTTCTTCCTTTCCTGGCCACAGGGGCTCCCTTGGCCCTGCACTGTGGTCCCTGGAGTTCCTGGAGGCTTGGGCCCTAGTGGGAATGAACACAATATGGGCAGAGATCAACTGAATAGGAGGCAGAGGCAGTCGGGACTCTTGGGGCGACCTGGAGAAGAAGGACTAGACAAGATAAGAGATAAAATAGATAAAATAATGGTGGAGTAAGGATGTACCTTCCAGGAGTTAAGTCTGAAGAGTTCAGGATGTGGAGTTGTTGCTAGTGGCTGCTTCCGGGAAGCCTAGCGACTGCTGGAGGAGGAGGGAGGTGAGCCAGGGAGGAGAATAGAGGAAGAGGGGAAGAGAAAGGAGGAAGACTATGGCTATGAAGACTCCAACAATGATGATGAGAAAGGGAGGGAGGGGGTGCAGGGTCGTGAGGCTCTGCCAGTGCCTGGGATGCTGGTACCTGGAGAGCCGCTAACGCCCCATTTTAATCCGTAACATGTAAGTTTTCAAAAGCAAGGGTTCTAAATCGCACCTTAGAATGCCAAATAATCCTTCATTTGTTGCAGATGTGTAGGGGAAATGCAAATCAAGAAAACATGAAGTAAGGAGGATCAGAGGGTGGAGACAGAAGGATGCATGGATGCATTTTCACTTCATTTGAACGGGGTCTACTGGTTTCCTCTCAAAAGTTTTCATTTGATGATGAACCATCTCTGAAATCATGAAGTCACCCTCATGTCCTAGTTAGCTTTCTGTCAACTTGACACAAACCTAGATGTCCCTGGGAAGAGGGAATCTCAGCTAAAGAACTTCCTCTGTCAGACTGGTCTGTGGGGGGCACTTAGCACTTCCTGGATAGCTGATTGATGTGGGAGGGTCCAGACCACTGTGGATGGTGTGTTCCCTAGGTAGGTGGGCCTAGGCAGTGTGAGAAAGGAAGCTGAGCAAGCTGGAGGAAGCAATCCAGTGGGCAGTATCCCACTGTGGTCTCTGACTCAGTTCTTGCCTTGGCTTCTCTCGATGATGAGCTATAACCCATAAGACAAATAAATCTTGTCTGTCCCATGTTCCTTTAGCCAGTGTTTTTAATCATAGCAGCAGAGGCAAGCTAAGACACTGCAACTGGCAGATTATAGAGGTTGGCAGAGTCCAGTTAAAAGATAAGGAGAGTTGATCAACTGAGGGATAAAGAGATGCAGATCATGTTTAGAGAAAAAAAAATATATATATACACACACATATATGTATATATATATATGTATATATACATATAGTGTGGCAACTATGTCTTCGCCATCCTTATGTTGCCCCCTGCTTTCAACCAAATATTTGCAAAGATTGCTTTCCTGCTGGTACAAGTCTGAAATGACGTGAACACTCATCCAACCTCTATTGACCTTTAGACAGTGGGTTTGCTTCCCGGCAGGGCCTTGCGCATGCCTACTCAGCACCTTTACCATTGGCTCAGAGATGCCACCCGTGTCAAGAGTTGCGCTCTTGCTCACTTGTACAAACTAGCACGTGCACATTGTGTTTAGACGTGTTGCTTGGCAACCGTGCTTCTGCCAACTGTACAGGGCCCTGGATGGCAGACGTTTAAGCCCCGCGTTCCTCTGTGCAAATGTCGCTGGAGAGTCTTGGATTTTACTAAGACCTAATATTGGGCTGGGGGACAGAAAAGATGAGAAGTTGGGAAGGAACCTGACGCCAATGGCTTCTGCCGTGAGGAAGATCTTTGGGGTTAAGGAAAAGACACCCTTCGGTTTCTGTGATGGCCCACAAATGACTGTCTCTGAGTTTTTCTTTGGTGAATATCCCAACTATCCAAAATACCATACGACATACCAACCGGTGGGGCAGATCCACCGGGTTGCAGCTGAGGGCGATGCAGGCCAGTTGGAAGTTCTCATCACGCTTGGAAAGTGCAGCGTGTACGACAGAGACTACAAGAACAGGTAATAGGGGGAGGGCGGGCGGGCGGGCAACTGTCTATCTCGTGGGCAGGTCAGCGTGGGAAAAGGGCTATTTTCCCTCCCTGGCTTCCCCAAGAGCTCGGGTGGGCAGTGAGGGAACGGGATCTGCCTGTGCTTCTTGGGGCTCTGCACCTGCATACCCAGGAGGAGTCTTGAGCTGCCAGACAGGAACTTTTAACTGCTTCCCAGTCTCCTTCCGATTAGTCCAACAGAGCTGGCAACCAGAGTTCTCTGCCCATGTGTCTGCTGTCATCAAACGCCAAAGTACCGAGGTCGCTGTGGCTGGAGAGTCGTGGTTTTCACAGAGACCTAGTATTGGATGGGGTCTGGGGGGTGAAGAGAAGCGCGTGTTCTAGTCACAGCATACACACAGATCTTTGGTGCTGTGTTAAGAAAAGGGCCACGTGTTGAAGTGGTGGCACACGTAGAGATCTTCCCACTTCTTTCTTCCCTCTTCTCTTCCTTCTCTGTCCTCCCCTTTTCCGTTCCCTCCTCCCCCTCCCCTTCCTGTCCCTCCTCTACCCTCTTGCCGGTTCCTCCTCCTTCCCATCTCCTCTCAGGGGACTTCTCACAACAGTGTCCTATGCCCTGTCATCTGTTTGTGAAGCAGAGCTGGAGTTCATTAGAAAGTTAAACAGATGTAATTAATAGGAATTAATAGAGGACACTACATACCCCAAATAGGGAGGGTCAGTCAAGGGCTGGGTGCAAGATTCCTAAGAGAGTTCCCTAGATACCCTTTGTGTTTCTAATGTTATGGAGCAGGAAACTGAGGAAGGCTGAGAGGTACCTAGTCAGTGACTTAGATCAGAGTAGGATCACACCCAAGGGGAATTTAGTTCACAGGCGATGCTTTTCTTTTTCTTTTTTGAAAAAAAAAAAAGTAAAAAAACCCCGAAAAAACAACCCACCCAAACCCCAAGAAACACACAAAAAGAGCCCCATTAAAAACACAAAAATGGAAACCAAAATATACAAGCAGAACACCAATAATACAACTATTTTTTTGTTGTTGTTTTTGGAAAGCAAAGGAAAATGAGACAAAAGTTTACAAAAAAAACCACCGAGTTCATTTTGTCTCCAGCCACGCTTTTTTTCTATTCAAATAAGCTGCTCTGGGCTGGTTCAAATGAGCCACTCAATGGCAGAATGCTTCTCTAGGGGTAAGGAGGTCACATGATCTATCCCTGGCTCACCTAGAGAAAGGACTTCAAATAGATTACCCTTTCTTTAAAAAGAGGGAATCTTATCCTTTTCTAAGAACAGTGAAGATTTGTTTATAAAAACGACAGGGTATTTAATGTTATAATTACACGAGTAATTGTGGATTTTCAGACAGGGCTCTATAACGCCGCAAAAACTCTTCTTACTTCCACAGGACAGCTTTGCATTTTGCCTGTGTCTATGGCCGGCTACCAGTGGTGAATGTTCTGGTGAATAATAATTGTGAGATTGATGCCTTCGACAAGAACCACATCACACCTCTGATGAAGGTAGGTAGCAGCCATGAATTTCAGCATGAGCTAGACGTGTGGGATGTTTATCTTGAATTCCTGGAGCTGACAATCTGCTTTTTGTTGTGAACTGCAGTCTGTCCAATGCTGGAAACAGAAATGTGCGGCTATCCTGCTGGAGCATGGTGCTGATCCGAACATCAGGGACAACAGTGGTAACAGCGCCTTGCACTATGCTGTGTACAACGGGCACGAAGAGATGGCAGCACTCCTGCTCGACTACCATGCTGATATCGAGCAAAAAACCAAAGTACAGTTCACCGCATTTCAATTTCAAAGTCTCTGAAATACATGTTTAAATAGTGACAAAGGTCAGCATTTCATGTTTAGAAACCTAAGCATTTCCTGAGTGAAAACAGTTGGACAGGACTTAACTGTAGAAGCTGTGAGTCCAACACACGTACTTCAAAAGAAACATTTGTTGGTCTTTTATAAAAAAAAAAAATTATTTATTATGTATATACAGTTCTGCCTGTATATATGCCTGTCTGCCAGAAGAGGGCGCCAGATCTCACTGCAGATGGTTGTGAGCCACCCTGTGGGTGCTGGGAATTGAACTCAGGAAGAGCAGCCAGTGCTCTTAACCACTGAGCCAACTCTCCAGCTCCCTGAAAGAAACCTGATGTGCAACTTTCTTTTACACATTTAGTGTGAAATATTTGAGGAGCCACTGAATTTGTTAAAGGTGAAACTTCCTCATCTGTGTCTTTCCTCACCATTTCCCCTGACCTGTGTAAAAAGCCACCTGAGTAGAGGGCAAAATTTACTTTGGAAATGGCTTCATCTTAAAACTCAAAGACAACCAGAGCACTTATGTCAATTGGAAATTGTGATGCTCTTGGCAAGTAATTATCAAGTGACTTAAGAACGAAGAAAAAGTGCAGAGGGAAGTGAATCAGACATGTACAACTGGAAACTAGGTACCTGAGGGAATAAAGCGAGAGGCATTAAAAAAGCCAGTTAATGTGTGCTGATACAGTCTTTCCATGTTGAAGGTAGTAATTCATAGTTTGAGCAAGAAAAGTATTTAATTACAAACATGTCTAGAGATCAGTCTAAGGAGGATTCTGGAGAAATGAGACTGGTAGTGACTAGGGGATAATTATGTAGAAAACTAGAGGGATGCTCAAACAGTTCACTAGTATATGTTCTGCAAGAGATACCCACTTAGGTAAAAACTAAGCCCTGTTCTCATGTCTACAGTCGCTTGCTGGGTGAGGGGATATTTAATTTGCTTTTTTGTATATTGAAATTTTGTTGCATTCTGAGTAGCACATTGCCTGTTTTTAGTGGTTGAGTCCTTATTAGTCAAATAACTGGATGATGAAGAGAATTATCCATGTCCGTACAGATGAGACTGAAGTTCTGTTTGTGTGACTCTAATTCTCCGCTGCAGATGTGTGGAGTTTGATTCAGTATGTCTAATAAGTAATGGGCATGCATCTCTGAAAATATTTCCTTGAGAATCAGAACAACTCCTAATTTGGAAAAGAAACCCTAAATAGATAACTGAAATATAGGTATTCCTGGGTTCTAAAATCCTGACATCTCTAGAGGAACTGGAATTTGATTAGATAATACTTCCTGCCAATGTGTCTTTTCCAGTAATTTTACCCTAGCTTTCCTTTTACTTTTGTGTTGAGAAGCTAAATGGAGTATTATCAAGTGATTTCATTTCCATGACTGTGATAAAATACCTGACAGAAAAGCAACTTAGGGGAGAAAGGATTTATTTTAGTTCACAATTCTAGGTCCATCATTTCTGGGAAGGTACCACATCAGAAACTTGAGTCAGCTGGTCTCATACCACCTATAATCAACAGCAGAGAGAAATGAATGCATGAATACTCGCTTGCTTGTGCAAAGCTTGAACTTTTTACTCTTATACAGTTCTGGAGCCTCTGTCTAGGGAATGGTGCCATCCACAGTAGGCCAGGTCTTTCCTCATTAATTAATACAATCTACTATAGATGTGCACACAGGCCAACTCAGTGTAGAACTCCCTCATTGAGAGCCTCTTCCTGGGTGATTCTAAGTTGTGTCAAGTTGACAATGAAAGCTAACCATCACAATCAGCAATGACTACTGGCTTACAGAATAAACCACTTTTCTTCTAGCCATCAATAATAATTCACTATTTTAGAAGGTCTTCAAAAATTTGGTAAGTAGAGACTGTCTATTTAAAGGTTTCATGCCACTACATTATCCAGTTATCCCCAAACGTGAATTAAATTATAAGCAGGGTTTCCTCTATTAGAAGATTGGAAAACATGAATCTTCTTGTCACTGGAAGAACAGTTGTCTGTTTGGCAGCCAATCTCAGTGAAGGTGTTCAGTTGATGGAGCCCTAACATCATCAGTCTGGCAGTTGTAAACACACACACACACACACACACACACACACACACACACACACACACACACACACATTACAAAGTCCACAGGAATTATTTGGTTTCAGCTTCCATGTGACTAGTAATTATTCTGTGAACACTGGGAGAATTGAATACAAGTGAAGTACAAATAGTCAAGGTCAGGAAGAACTAAGTATTATGAGTTTTTTTTTAAAAATTACATTTTGGGAGGCTGATCTTTCTAAAACAAACTTGCTTTGTATACACCCACTGGAAAACACACCCCCAGCAACATTGAAAGCACAGGGGATATGGGCTCAAAGTGGTTTTGGCTACACTGAGTTTTCTTCCATGACTTGAGCCCACTGTTAAGCTTCAGGAGATTTCTGCAAAAACCTGAACTTCACATTGCTCATAAGGAATTAAGCCTTCAATGCATTTATCTAATTATTCTTTATCAATAAAAAAATCAGGAGTCAGATATCAGGGTAAGAACCCGAATGATCAGAGAAGCAGTGGCGAAGCTACCAGAGACCTCCTATCTCTTCCATTCCTCCATCCAAAAGAGCTGAGATCCTCTCTAAGCCCTGCCCCACTACTTACAGTCTATCTGTCCTCAGTCCTCCAAAACCTCTATGATTAATTTTGGTTAGCTAGTAGTTAGCTCTGCTCTCTGATTCACAGCAAACTTTATTGTCAGAATGAGATCAAAATATCAGACAACAAGTCCTGTCTCCCCTGAACTTGGTACCGTTGGGTGGCCATGCAGAAGGTGATCTGAGACCCAAGTATACTTACTTTACAATCCTGATGTAGAAATGAAAATTTGGTCATTGATTCGCTAGCTTGTGAACATCCTTTGCCACTGTGTGATGGGGTTTGCTTTGTTGATGTAAAGTGTAGCAATAATGCCTGCGCTACCACTACCTGTTCACCATGTCCGAGCGAGGGGCTGTGGATCAAAAAAACAGAGACAAGAGACAGCGGGTCATTCATCTCAGCAGAATGCTGAATGCCGTTTATTGAAAGAGGGAGGAAACCTTAAATACAGGCTTATAGCACAATGGGAGAACCCCAGAGGGCAGAAGTTTGCTACTGCTATTTACAATCTTTCATCTAAGCTGTTAATGCCCAATACGAAGGATACACAAACAAGGAACTTCCCTTAAGCATTCAGGAAGGTGGAAACTGGCAGGGAATTAGCATAGGGAGGACATCAAGGTCAAGGTCAGCAAGCAAGGCAACAGCTACCCAAACTGGGGGCCAGGGCCCTACAGTAAAGAAGATGTAGCCCTTACCCCCAAGAAGCTTTTAGTATATATGAGAGCAAACACTTGGCTTCAAATAATGAATGCTGTAATAGAAACAAATACTTGAGGCGACAGTGTAGGTTTGAAATGGGCACTGGAGAGGCTTAGGTTCGTGTGACTACTCCTAGGCAGGAGAGGAACATTTCCAAGAAAGGGAGCAAAGCAAGCGGAAGGTAACATTGTTAAAACGAAGGATCGTTTACCCACTGGGATTTTATGCTTTTATCATGTATTTCTATTTGTACAGTCCTTTATAAGATTTTTAGGTAAGCTGAGAACATGCCACTTTTTAAATTACAAATTGGTTTTGCTGTTTTGCAGGATGGCTTCACACCACTTTTGCTGGCACTCAGGGAAAAGAGGGTAGAGGTGGCAGAATTTTTAGTAAAAAAAGGAGCAGATATACATGTTGTAGATGCCATGCAAAGGTAAAGTCATTTGAATTAAAAAGAAATAGAACATTAGTGGTATTCTGGACTGGTAACAACCACTCAACTTAGAAACATGGCTGGTTGGAGGACTAACTTACAAGGATACAGTGAAAACATACATAGATGTAAGCATCAGTTTAGTCTGTTAGAGAAAAAAAGCAATTGTTTGAAGTGAGCGGTGCAAACGATATATATATATATATATATGTATCCATCTATCTGTCTGTCTATCTATCTGTCTATCTATCTATCTATCTATCTATCTATCTATCACATTGCCTTATAGCACTGATTGAAGATTGTTATTTGTAATCTGACTTTGTTGGTCCTTTGATCTTAGGAGTTTATGAGCTAAACAAGTTTTTAAAATGTATGAACTTTTAGTCAAGAGTTTTGGATTCACAGTAAGATTGTTAATCATCTGATATTTCCTTTTTATTTTTAGATTTACTTTTTACTTATTTATTTTATTTAAAATATTTTAGTAAGTCTTTGAGAACTTAAAGTGATGTATTTTGATCATGTGCACTCCAGCAGTTCCCCTTAGCTCTTGTCTGTTATTCCCTCATCTTCCTACCACAACTTGGTATCCTTTTTGTTTAAAAAAAAAATAATGTATCCACTCCAGTTTGTGCTGTTTATATACTTCTGGATGTGGTGCCTCCCACCGGAGCTTGGTGGACATATCAGGAGCCATACCCTTAAAGATATCTGACTCTCCCTCCCATAGAAGCCATCAACAGTCAATAGTTTGTTAGCTAGGAGTAGGGGCTCTTGAGCCCCTCCCCAACCCATGCAAAAGGTTGACACTGATTGGATATTGTGTAGGCAACCACAGCTTCTGTGAGTCCATGTGCATGGCAGTCCTGCCATGTCCAAAAGACACTGTTTTGCTCCACTCCTCCCCAACCTCTGGCTCTCACACCCTTCCTACATCCTCTTCCCGATGGTCCCCGAGTCTTGAGGAAGGGATGTGATATAGATATCCCATTTGTGGCTGAGGCCTCCCCAGTCACTTCCTCTCTGCACTTTGACCAGTTGTGAGTTTCTGCATTAACCATCGTTCACTACACAAGAAAACTTCTCTAATGAGGTCTCAGAGATCTTATAGTATTTCGCATTTCCTTCTTGCAAACTTTTAAGATACTATATTCAGCCAAACAGGAGTTGAAAATTATAGTATTTGGAATGACTCTTTAAACTGTTATTTTTTTTTTTGTAAAATATTGATGTCAGGTTATCTTAAGTGACGATTCATTGTTATTACTAAATGTTCATTTTGTCCCCCTTTACTCTCCATGATTTGTTTTTATCCATTTATATTTACTTGGCATTGGAAGGAAGATGAAAGTGTTAACTGGATAAAATTTAATGAAGATGAGTCATAAGTAAATAATTAAAAAAGGAGGCTTTAGGTTCATTCAAGACTGGATTTAATTCTTTGTTTCGCTAGTTGCTAGGTATGTTATCTTAAGCATGATGCTCACAGCCAAATATATCCCCTGATATGAAACAGTCGATAACACCCTTGATAGGAGGTTATAGGATTATTTACATAGCCCTTAGTTTAGTGTACAGTACACGGTCATCAACATCATTAGCTGAAAGCACTATGAATTTTATTATTACTATTTTCATATTAATACTATTCAAATCATGCACATAGCTTTGAATTATTTCATCTTTAGTTGATTAAGAACTGTAATATATTCCATTAGGCTAGGGAAATGTGAACTCTTCCTTAACTATTTCCGATGCAAGACCTTAGCATAGCTATTTTTTTTAAAAGGTCATGAGGTCATGAATTCTATTCCAAAGTAGATCAATGGGGAAAGATACTTTCTTCATTATCCTGGGAGATAACCACACAAAGAGGAACAGTTGTAGGTTCATGATGCTATGTCTGCTAGAAAATTGTCAAGTCTACACAGACAGGCAAGATACTAAGTTGGTAAGACAGATCTACATAGATATAACTAATTTCATTCATTTCATAATCGTGAATCTATCCCTCTGCTACTTTAGAAATACCTTGATATATGCTATACGATGTGGATCAAAAGATATAGCTACATTACTCCTTCAGAAAGGCATTGATTTCTTCTGCAAGGATGTCTTTGGATGGACGGCATTACGCTACGCTATTGAAGGCCACTGTACTTTGTAAGTATTTCCACAACATGTTAATTAAAAATTATATTGATGTTCAAAAACAAATACAACTATTGCATCATCTACTTGAGGTGTCATTGAACTTGTGTGGGTAGTTTTAGAATTGTAGTGACTTAGTCCTGGATGGCTATCCAGGAATCAAGCAAAATAGGAGCAGCATTGGGAATGGAATATTTAAGCTCAGGACTCCTTTTGGTAAATGCTGAACATTGGACCCAGCACCTCATATGTGCTAGGTGAGTCTTCTCTCATTTTACTGTATCTCCAGCTAAGAGATTTAAAGACCTTTAACCTTAGGAAGCTCAACATTTTCCATGTTATCCCCAAATATAACCCCTACAAATGAGATACAGAGAGTATCTAGCATATTTTTGATCTTTTCAAGTAGCCACTTGGATCTTGAAATGCCCAGTTTAGTAGATAGTCATGTTGCTTTCTTGTGGGAGCTGTCTTCTGTACCCTACTCCTTGACTTTCCAGTAGCTGAAGGGATTTATTTTAGGTCCAAGGAAGCCAATTCTCTTAGAAAAATCAGATGGAGAAGAAGGAACAGGATAGCCTATCAGTCTTTATTTCTGTTTATTTCTTTATTCCATCACTATTAAAACATAACCTGAAATTTTATAGCAGTTAGTCTTAACTACCATGTTGTCTACACTGAGACAGACCTCTAAGTCTTTGTGATAACACATGTTCAGAACTGAAAGTTACAATATCTCAAGTTCACATGTACTTATGTTGTTAAACTCAGCTATTGCTCTCCAATCACACTCTTCTGGCAATGAGACTTTCTAGCTTCTGCTACATGCATTGTTAACAATCTAACCCTTCCCACCCGTTCAGAATCTCATATAGAACCCACATGTTAGCTTAGACCTCTGTGGTCAATTCACTTTGAGAAATTTGTGTGTCCCTTTTTTGCTGACAAATATGAACTGTATAAAAGTTCAAATCATGTTGCAGAAAAAAATAGAGGTCCTTCTATTGATTAATACCAGACCCCATCATATGCTGATCCAGAGGCACCATCATCTTGGGCAGGCACTGTTTCTCTCTCTCTTTGTCTATCATGATAACAATTTCCCAAGTTATTTCAGTCCTGGTCTCATCTTTACAGAGATTTTTTAATTCTTTCCCACAAAGAAGCAACTAAGCATGTTTCTGGATCCAAAGAACAGTTGGGCTTAAGAGAAGAAGATCACATCAAGTTTTATTAGTATCTCCATGTAAAAGAGGATTTTGTTTTGTGAGTCATTTGGAGGTGAATATGATGATTTAAAATAGGCAGGGGAGGATGAAGTGGAGAGCAAAGCCAGGTCTTGGAATGGATTCCCTTTCTGCCCTTAGAGTGACTGATTATCTTTTAGTAATAATGAGCAGTCATTTAATTAAGGAGGTAATATATCATAAAGTACTTAGCTCCAAATTGTTAAACAGCTCATTTTCTCCGAATTATAAGCCACAAAACAGAATAGCTAATAACCATAATGAGGGCTTGACATTCTCCAGACGGTTGTACTATTTGAATTTTTTAGACACTGCAAATTTAAAAAGAGCTCAGCATCAGGAAATCCTTTGTTGCTTTGTTATTTCCCTGCACATATTTTAATACTATCAAATAAAATCTTAAAAGAAACCTACTGAACTCAAAGAGTCCAATCCTTATTCTTTTTTAGAGTAACACTTAACATCTATGGGAAACAACTTGTGTGGCAGCTGACAGCTGTTAGTTGTGGAGCAGGAATATCTTCTGACATCAGGATGCGTCACTGCTTGTTGCGCTAATCCAGTCTATGCCCCAAGCTTTATTTCTCTCATGCCATGCCCTTTTTACTTCAGTTTTTCTTCTTTCATTATAGGCTTAATTATAAGATTTAGAGCCCATACATTTCAAATACACAGGAAAAACTTCTAGTAGTGCCTCTACTATTTTCAGTGATAGGCTCTATTTAGAGACAGGGTCTCATGTGCCCCATGTGGCTTTGGGTTTGCTGTGTGTCTGAGGATGACTTTGGACCTCTTGATCTTCCTGCCTCTGTCTCCCAAATACTGTGATTACAGGTATGTGCCCACTATGTCTGGTAGATGTGATGCTAGAGACGGAACCCAAGGCTTAGTACATGCTTGACAAACACTCTGTCAATGGAGCTACACCCCTAACCCCTGGAATGTTCTTAAGAATTAAGCATGCTAAAATATTTTTTAAAAAGTATTAAAATAGTAATTGTATTTATTATTTTTCACATGACAGTAGACAGGTGCTCATGGATTTTGAAGAAAACATGCATAATAACAAAAAAGATAATGAACCAGGTAAGACCTATAATGAGTTGCTCTTTGAAGACCTACCATACACAACAATGTCAAACTAAAAGTTTTCATTTCATTCAAAAAGAGTGGAAAATTGCATTTATATTTACTTAACTTCTTTCTGAATAGTCTACAGATCAGAATGATCTCAGATATTAATTACATGAAAGTTACAATTGGAAGTGTGACCTTGTCTCAAAAAATAAGGTGCAGAGTCATTGAGGAAGACACACACACACACACACACACACACACACACACACACACACACACACACAGACAGAGGCAGAAAGACAGAGAGAGAGAGAGAGAGAGAGAGAGAGAGCGAGAGCGTGAGAGAGAGAGCGAGAGCGTGAGAGAGAGAGAGAGAGAGAGAGCGAGAGAGCGAGCAAACACTCCATTTTAGGTAAGTGCTATATAGTTAGCTTTACCTCCAGCTTTTTTTCCCCTCAATCACCAGAAGTTATGATAACAAATAATTTACATATAATAAAGCCATATGTATTTATTAATCATGTTTGTTTTAATAAGATTCTTGTTGAAGAGGTCACACTGTTACATAAGTTACATTTTTTTCAGCTCCAGGACTAGGTAAGGACAGAGCAGTCTGGTATTCATAAACATGAAAGTTGATGGCTTTGGGTTTAGGACCATTTCTTCATGATGTTGATACAACCCAGCTGGTATGCAACGTATCTCTGCTTACTTGGAAGTGATGGCCACCTTGGTGGCCTCAAAAACCTGGACCCTGTGCCCTGAGGCGTGGCTGTACACCTGCTCCGTTGTCGCATAGGGCATGCTCAACCAGTAGTCGTTCTGGGCCTCCACCTCCAGGTGAAGGATCAGGGCTGCCCTTCCTTCCTGATCCACTACCTCCCAGGAATGTGGCCATGGATGAGGACAGCAGTGAGGAATGTGGTGCCTCTTAGGGCGCTCTCACCTCAGAGTCCCTCAGATACTTTATTTATATATTTTTTAAAAATTAAAACAGCATGACTTTTATGTTGTGAAAACATGCCATGGGCATGCACATGAACTGGATGGAGATGCATGATGTGAAAGACACAAAGAATAAATAAAAAAGGAAGTTAAATAAAAGGGGTTAGCTAGAGCAAGCAGCACACAGGCAACTCTTGAACTTTTCATTAGCATGTGGAAAGTCTTTGCTAAGGCCTTGCACCTGGTCCGCTTTTGTGTTTTTAACCCTTTCCTTGCAGGGTGCACTGTCCATAGGTAAGTGTCATTGGGATAGTATATTCATCCCAAACTGAAAAACTCAACTGGTTACTTGGAAAATCTCTATTCTGTTAGAACAAGCTAAACCTATTCTCTTATTAGATGAGATTGGGAGTGTTCAGGGTGGTACGATCATAGACTACATTTCCTTATTATTCTTCCTTATGGTGTGAGTCCAGATACATCAGGCAGTTTGCTTGACACTATCAATTTGTAATATGATGACAACATTTCAAGTTAGCCTCATAGTAGTTTATTGGGGTTATGGTCATTGTACACAACATTGTGCTTTTCATAAATTTCATACATATTTTTACTTCCTCTTTGTGTCCCCTAAATACAAACAACAGAAAGGGTCTTAATGCATTGATTGATCCATCAGCAATATAATTCATATCTACTGTAGAAGATTCCCATGGTATGTTTCCAAATGGATGTTTTCTAGCAAAGCTTCCGAGTCACAGATTTTTAATATTTGATACTTTTCTTCCATCTGTTTAAAATGAATTTTATATTTTTCTTGAATAGAACAAATGGATTCTGGAAATGACTCATTAGCCGGGTAAGTTTTACATGTTGATAAAATCTCCATGTTATCTAAGTACTGGAATGGACAGATGAGAAACAAATATTTGTTCAGAAGTCTACTCTGGGAGACACCGTGCTTTATATTTAAAATACTGTTGTTTATTATAATTCTCACAATAGACATTCAAAGTATGTGCTATTGTAACTTTTCTTCACTAAGTAGGCAGTTATAGCTGAGAGTCCCACATCCATGACGTGACTGCCATCTTGCTTGGCTTCTCCATTCATTCTCTAGCTTATCCACAGGTTGGCAAGGACCTGTGTAGCCCTGAGATATAAATAAGATCTACATCAATAAACAGCAAAAGTCAAATTTATATATATGAACTCCTTTAGGATTTTCTTGAGAAGTGCAGGTATACCACAACAATTTACCTAAAATTTTGATAATCGCAATGTCAGCCAGTAGTACCCTGTCTTGAGTAGCAACAGTTGTCTGGCATACCTTGCTTGCATGTACTTTGGGCCACAGGAACATGCCAGGAGAGGATTTGCTTTTCTGAAATGAAGAATATCTGTATTCAGAGCATGTGATACAAATTATATTTAATCCCCTTTTAGAGGATAATTGGAAATTAATTTTCCTACTTACTGATTTTTCATTTTTGTTTCTCCTTTAAGCTTCTATACATACTTAGTCCAATGACATTTTTATTTTACCTACTCTTGTTCTTTTTTTTTTTTTGGTGATACTAACTTTTCTCTGTAAATCAACTTTTCTGTTTTCCTTCTTGTTCCTTTGCTTCTGTTTATAAAATTTCTGTCAACTAAATATTCTGTTTTTCTGCAGAGAAGATTAAAGAATAAGAAATTTCAGGATTTTAAGGAATCAAAGAGCTAATCAAAATATACTCTTGTACTTCATCCAGATAGAGAACTTAAAACTCAAAAGATATTAATGTGACTTTTCTGGATGGAAAAAATGGTGCAGATGACATTTAGACTCATGTGCCTTAATATTAAGGCCAACAGTCATCCTTATGTTTGATTCAGTAGATGGGTATTTTAATAAAAGAACTGGAAACTGAGCCCGGTAATTCCACGGGCACAGGATAAGAATAAAAGAAAGTTGGTGGAGGACAAGAATAGTGTTAATGATAGACAACACATATAGAGAAAAGGACACTGGGTTCAGTAGGATTCAGGTTTTAGAGAAAAGACTAGAATACAGGCATTTTTGACAAATTTGATAATAAGACAGAGCTTAAGGAGACAGGATATTGAAAGTTTATATAGAGGCACATTGAAACTGGAATTTATGACAGTCTTGATAAAGAAGCTGCATGTTTCTTGAATTGTAGGAACTGAAAAACATCAACATTTCTGTTGAAAATCATTAAGATAATTTGAGCTGTTGGGGAGAGTCTCTACAGCAGCTAGGAATATGATGCTATTCACATCACCTCAATTTACAAGAGGTGCCTTAAAGCCTGTCAAGCACCAGGGGATAGAATTGAGGAACAAAGTGTCCCTGTGGCTGGGGCAGGTATCTACCTCCAACTTTGCTGAACAGACTGACATCCTTCCTACCTGCATGATGGGTAATGAAATTTTAGGATTCCCCTGGCACTGTAATCAGATAGTAAAATGGTTGTGTGAATAATTGAAGCTCTATTTAGCTTGGTATTTTGAACACATCTTTACTTAAGATTTTCCTGTGCTGGATATCTTAATTTTGGAGATCATCACTCTGCTCTGCAGAAGTGGAGATGGTGGTCACCAGAAGGAAATATTTCTAGATCACTTGGAGGGACAGGTGTACTTAACAGGAGACTAGTTTTACACAAGTCTTTATCCTTGAATGTCTGGGCACTTTTGAGAGTTTTTAAGTGCTCGATAGTTTGTGTAAACCTGAAAAAATGCAAGAGGAGAGGAAAGTATCTTGGGGGTATTTCTAACCAACAAAGCAGAAGAATTGTATGATAAAAACTTCAAGTCTTTGAAGAAAGAAATCAAAGAAGGTATCAGAGGGAAGGTCTCCCATGCTCATGGATCAGTAGGATCAACACAGTAAAAATGACCATCCTAACAAAAGCAATCTACAGATTCAATGCAAGCCTATCAAAATCCCAACACAATTCTTTACAGACTTTGAAAGAACAACCCTCAAGTTCATATGGAAAAAAAACCAAAACAGGATAACTAAACCAATCCTGAATAATAAAAGTACTTCTGGAGGTGTCACCATACCTAATTTCAAGCTGTACTACAGAGCTATAGTAATAAAAAACTGCATGGCATTAGAATGTAAACAAACAAAGGAATGGAATTGAAGACCAAGACATAAATCCACAGACCTATAGACACCTGATTTTCAATTAAGGAGCCAGAAATACACAATGGAAGAAAAAAGAAAGCATCTTCAACAAATGGTGCTGGTCTAACTGGATATCTACGTGTAGAAGAATGCAAATAGACCCCTATTTATTACCCTGCACAAAACTCAAGTTCAAGTATCAAAGACCTCAACAATAACTGAAATTTAAAATTTTAAAATCTTTAATGTTTTTGGGAAGGTCATTTCACTAACCACACACACTTAATTTTTTGTTTGACTCTTGTATATCTTTAAAAGACTTAAAATGTTTCAAGAGGCTCTCTTTGATGTTTTGAGCTGAAGAGGATGAATGGCTTCTTTGAAGTGGTTGTTTTCCAAGCTGAGAAACCATGCCTGCCACCTTTTACAGAGCTTGGTCTTAGTGTTCTTCAACCCAGGGGAAGACATGGAGAAGGGTGATGCCTCTTCTCTCCTATTAAGGCTAACAGGTTCATTTCAGCTATTCTAGCACCAAAGGATGATCCATTAGTTAATTTTTCAGTTCCACATTCATTAAAGGCAATTTGTGAAGATACCCTTTTCTCAGGCCATTACTATTTTATATGGAGTATAGGGTCAGTCTTCACTGGGTAATTCATAAGTTGGAAGAGACAAGTCAAGGTAAGTGAAAGCTTTGCTAAAGTAAGGTCAAATCATATTTACCCAAACTAAGAAGCCTCATTTCATATGCAAACAGCTGGATATGTACAAGATTTTTCCAGAATTGTGCTCACCCATCTTTACTGCATACTTTGCTCTGTAGAATTTCCAGCTGTCCTAGTCCTGGAAGCCCCTTGCCTGCCATGAAGGACGATGAATGCAACTGTGATACCAAGGTAGAATGTTCTTCTGTGGAGTTAACTTCCTTGCCCTAGGTTTGCTTTCGTTTTACTCTTAAGGTTTAGTAGTGTGGTCTGGATGCCATTTCAACACATGGAAAGTTAGTAAGCAGAAACAAGATTATGAGTAGCTGAAAACAATTGTCAATTGGTAAACAACAAAAGGACTAGTAACTATTTTGAGGTTGTGGGGAAGTGAGGTAATAATACAGAGCCCAAGAGAAATTGTACTAGCAGTAGGCTTTCAATAATAGAGGATATTTGAAATTTGGTCAATGATTATTTGGATAAATGTAACTTACTGTGACTTTTAAATTATACTTACATGATGTATAATACCCAAGTAAATCTTTAATAGACTCAACTTGTCATTATAGTAATCAATTTCCATGGTGCCTTTAGATTCAACAGCATAGGACATCTAGAAGTTTATTTTCTTGGATACTTTTTTCATTACATTTTAAATTTATCTTTTAAAATTTTTATGTTTCTTGTCTTTTTGTTTTTTTCTTTCTTTCTTCCTTTTTTTTGATACTTTGAATTTTGGTATCCTATAAGCTTTTAGGAGAGGCTATCCTCTATTTTATCTTTGATTCTGTATTTAAACTGAAATAGTATTAGAAATCTGGAAATATAGAATTTAAAAACCTGTTTCTCAAAATTTGTGTTAAGGGGAATATTGATTGTTTTCTAAGGTGTTTTATGAGGAGGGTAAGGAAAGCTGCTTATGTGGTCAAAGATGGCATGTGTTGCTTCAAACAAAATCCAGTTCTAAAAGCAGAAACTCATAATAACCACATAGCAATTGTTTAATTTCATATTTTAAAAAATACTTTTTTTAGGTTATAAATACATCATTTCCCCCTTCCCTTTCCTCCTTCCAAACCCTCCATGTCCTTCCTTCCTTCTCTTTTTCAAATTCATAGCCTCTTTAAAAAATTGTTACACAGTGTGTGTGTGTGTGTGTGTCTAAATATATAATATAATTTGCTCAGTCTGTATAGTGTTGCTTATATGTATATGTTTTCAAGGATGATCATTCAATATTGGATAACCAATTGGTCTGCTCTTCCTTGGGGAAGACTGTTTCCCCCACACAACATTCCTTGGTTGCCTGGAGTTCTTTGTGTTGGGTTGTGACCCTGTGAGCCTTCCTTTGTCTACATGACTATGTTTATAAGTATCACTATCGTTCAGCTCATGTAAGGCAGTCATATTGGTGAGACTTCATGGGTGTAGCTTCTGACATTCCTAGGAGACACTCTCGCACAGAAAACTCCCTGTTCCTTTGAATCTTACAATCTTTCTGCCCTCTTTTCTACAGTGATCCCTGAGCTAGGTTCAAAAGTTGTGATGTAGATGTATTAGTTGGGACCAGACTCCACAACTGTGTATTTTGGTTATGGTTTTTTGCAATGCTCTATGTCTGTTGCAAAAAAAAAAAGTTTCCTTGATTAGGGGTGAGAACTACACCTATCTTCTCTCTGGGTATAAGGACAAATATTTAGAGTGTAGTTAGGGATTATGTTGGTTTAGTAAAGTGGTGGCTGTAGAGTCTCCTCCAAGATCTATATCTATAATAGCCCTGTGTAGTTGGTTGGTTTTCCAGTACCAAGCATTAAAATGCTCTCCAATTTCAAGTTTTAGATACTTTGGACCTATTTACTTATTTGCTTAAAGCTCACAATGGAAGTTAGACAACCTGTTTGTGTATACCCTGGTACATCCTGAATCACATTTTACATATTAGATGATTTTGATTATATTTGAACATTAATAATTGAATAGATACATGGATTTCTATCATGCAATGTTGTCCGTAATGCTATATGTGTGATGCATCTAGAAATTAATTCTTGTTTTAGTCTTCAGGTTATGGGTGGTTAGGAGAGCTACCCAGAGGGACCGTGTCATTAGAGGGGAAATCAGAGATGGCATAAACAGGAAAGAAGGGCTACAAGTTTTCCAGTTATAGGCTTAGATAAGGTTTCTAGATGAGACTTAAAAAATCAGCCACTTAAAAATATCCTTCTAGGCCGGGCGGTGGTGGCGCACGCCTTTAATCCCAGCACTCGGGAGGCAGAGCCAGGCGGATCTCTGTGAGTTCAAGGCCAGCCTGGGCTACCAAGTGAGTTCCAGGAAAAAGGTGCAAAGCTACACAGAGAAACCCTGTCTCGAAAAACCAAAAAAAAAAAAATATCCTTCTAAAGCCATCTTAGAATTATGATCATCAATTATTTCTCCAAGTGGAAAATTGAGAGATAGTTTAATTTACTGTACTTCTTTTAGCTTGTTTTTCAGTTAGTGGTAAATAGTTGTATACCTATTAGATACTTTATTTTACAGTGATAAAATATTTATTATATGATACTCACAAAAGGCAACACCAGTGTTATAGACAACAGCATGCCTGGACACATACACCCCTTACAAAATCTTCTGTTGTATTTCTGCTTGGAATACTTTCTTTTCTTCAGTGTTGGAGCTCAAACGCAGCATCTTACACACAGTGGGCAGATGTTTTCCCACTGAGAAACACATCCAGACCTCAACAATATTCTTAATATGTGCATATTAATAAAATTAGATTATTAACTGTGGCATTCTTTTAAAAGTATAGAAATTGCTTGCTTCTGGAGTGTGATTGGCATGTCTTTTCCTAGTAATGTCTGCTTGTATTGAAAATAGAAGTATGGGCTGGAAAGATAGATCATTGTTCAGATCTGATGAGCTGAGTTTGATTCCTGGATGCCACAAGGTGACAGGAAAGGACTGACTCTATTGAACTTGACCCTATTTGAGTCTATGGAGAGGTGCTGCTTACTAGCTTGCTTCCCATGGCTGGCTCAGCTTTGCTTTCTTATAGAACCCAGGACTACTAGTCCAGGAATGGCCCCACCCACAATGGGATGGGTCCTCTTCCATAAATCACTAATTAAGAATATGCCCTACAGCTTGATCTTATGGAGACATTTTTTTTTTCTAAGATTTATTTAGTATACAATGTTCTGCCTGCATGTATGTCTGTCTGCAGGCCAGAAGAGGGCACCAGATCTCATTACAGATGGTTGTGAGCTACCATGTGGTTGCTGGGAATTGAACTCAGGACCTCCGGAAGAGTAGTCACTGCTCTTAACCTCTGAGCCATCTCTCCAGCCCTGGAGACATTTTCTTAATTGAGTTTCCCTCCTTTGATGACTCTAGCTGTGTCAGGTTGACATAAAACTAGCTTGTACAATTGTTGTTAGGGATTATGTGGGTTTAATAAATTAGTGAATGTAAACTCTCCTCCAATAACCATGACTTCACTAGCACTAGGTAGGTTTCCAGCACTAGGATTGGCATCCCTCTGGTTGAGTGTCCCTCTGGTCTCATGTCCATTTAAAGAGCTGTTGACTGTAACCAGGGTACGTGTGCCACTACTGCACACTTAAGGTTATCATGCCACGTTGGTTGTTGATGTGGTTTATAGGTATCATAACTGGATAGGATTCTTGGTTTCTTTCTTTCTTTGGAAACTTGCATGGCCACTTCTGGTACCTTGAAAGCTAGTCTTCAGAGAGGAGGCTTTCAGGTCAGTTCCAGCTCAGGGGTCTCTGGTCCCTGTTTCTGAAGTGCATGGTGTTTTTAGGATAGGGACTTACTTTCTATTTCTTGGGGTAAACAAGGGCAATAACAGTAGACTATATGTTTTGAGAGTCTTTTGGAAAGTCCTGGCCAACAACTCAAAAAAGGGCATCTTATGTCTGACATTGGGGTATTGTTAGTTGGTCTTTGGATCTTGGAGGGGACACTGTTAGCCCAGGTGAGACAGGTTTAAAAGTTTCATTGGTCCTATACTTTCTTGGTTAGGTTTTTTCCTAGACATTTTATTTTCTTTGAGGCTAATGCAACTGTGTCCATTTATCTCTTTCTCTGTATACTTGTTGTTGTTGTACAGAAAAGTTATTAATGTGTGCAAATTGCTTATGTATTCTGCCACATTGCTGAATTTGTTTATTGTTTCTGAATGTTTTCTGGTAGAAATTTTGGGATCTCTAAATGTGTAATATTGTGTTATCTACAACTAGACATAGTTTGACTTTTTTAAAAAAACCTATTTGTGTAGCAGGGTCCTGTGCTGTTGTTGTTCCCTTTGGGGGAGTGGGTCAAGTAGGTGCAGAGTCAATGACACAGGCTCTGGGAGAATGTCGGAACAACAAGCTCAGTTTATTCAGGAAGTGGCAAGCCTTATATACCTTCCACCCCCCCCCCCCGCCACCATGGGAGTGGGGAGGTCTGATGAATATGCATCTGCTCGTATGACATGGCTGCCTCTCATTGATCCAGGTCATCTCTAGATCATGTTTCAGCTGCTGTTGCTAAGGCTCTTAGGCAGACCCAGGTTGACTCTCAGAAAGTATCTTTTTTACTTGTTTGGACTAACTGGCCTTCAGGTCTGTTAGGGATGAGCCATTCCACATATTTGTATCCTTTTAATGTCCTTCTTTTGCCTTAATGCTCTCACTAGTGTTTTGAACACAATATTGGGAAAGAGTTGGGATAGTGGGCTGTCTTGTTCATGACTTTAGTGGGATTGTTTCAAGCTTTTCTCCATTTAATCTGGTGTTGACTGTGGGTTCCTTATATAGAGCTTTTATGATGTAAAGGTTTGGTCCCTATATTATCAAAGGGTTTTCCTGCATTTATTGAGATGATCTTGTAATGTTTGTCTTTAAGTCCTTTTTATGTGGTTTTTACACTTGTTGATTTGTTCATGTTGAACCATCCCCATATTTTAGGTATAAAGCCAACTTGGTCATGGTGGAAATGTTTTTGATGTATGTCTGTATTCTGTTTACAAGTATTTTATCGAAGATTTTGAGTCTATGTTCATTGGGGATATCGCTCTGTAATTTTCTTTTTTATTGTGTCTTTATCTGGATTCATAGAAGGAGTTGGGAGTACTTTTTCTCTATTTTTTGAATTGTTTAAAAAGGATTGGCTATAGATAGTCTAAAACTTCTCAGCTCTGGGATGCATTCAGATGAAGAATCAGGTCTACAAGTGAAAGGAGATGGGTTCAGAGGGCAGGTGGAGGGCAATGTTACCAGTGGGACTCAAACACCTGGCCAGGATAGGTCACTGGATAGCCTAATATTTTACACATTTCAGAATTATTTTTAGAAATGTATCTGCTTGTGATACTTAGAGTTCTTGTTTTAGAAGTACAATATTTTTAAAATTAAAACTGCATGTTTGTAATATATCTAAAGAAGAAGAAAAATGTAGTTTGTGAAATTATTATTACATCTGGATTGCCAGGTATATGCTTTCATAGATGGATCAGGGAAAGGAAAAGCATGAAATGTTATAAATTTGGAGACTAGAAATTCAGTTTTATTTTTGATGGTCAACTAAGGAGAAATCAACTGAAGAGTTTAATGTGTTGAGTACTTTTATGGTATACATTCTTGTAGTAATAAACACAAATAATGAAAACATAGCTGCCACTAAAGAAAGAGCTGAAAAAGACCTGACATTTTATGTTTTAAAATTTATATCTTTATTTATTTTTATTGTATGAATGTTTTCTGTTCACCACGTATGTGCGTGATCCCTGTGGAGGTCAGAAGAGGGCATCAGATCACCCAGAGTAGGAGTTACAGGTGACTGTGAGGCACTGTATGGATGCTGGGAATTCGAACCCAGGTCATCTGCAAGAGCAGCCAGGACTCTTAACCCCTGAGCCATCTCTCTAGTCCTGGGCCTGATGTTTTAAATGTAAGAAGAGTTGTTCAGTGATGTGGGTGCAGTAAGGTAAAGGTAGAGGGCCCATTAGAACCCTGGTCCTGTCATTTAGTATCTTGGGAAAACCTAATGCAGGAAAACATGCGGCATTATCAAGAACATTACCATGACTTTAAGACAGTAGAAAATACGCAACGTTTTCATGTATCTCATGAATACACATAGGAAATGGAGAAACCTTTTATAAACTATAAAGTATGCTACTACACAAGAAAACAACCCTGTTCTCATTCCAGACCTAAGTACTGAAGACATTTCCTTTTACCTGAGGACAAATAAATGGTGGTAGCATCAAGATTATACTAGATTTCAGTTACAAGAGGCACATGATTATAGCAAACCTCAGTAACTCATTTATGAATATATCCTATAGGAAGATGCCATCTTGGCACTTGGAGCCTTTCTGATGGATTTTTAAATATTCTGACCTTCAGTCATTTTTGTGGGTAGGTGTCCAGCACGTGCTGTTGCAGATGAGGGGTTATGCCATGGTTTTAGGATAGAAAAACAAGCAACAACACTTCTAAGTCACTGTGGGTGCTTTGTACTAATAAAATTGTTTAGGAAACCTTTGCTCAAATGACCCGGTTTCTAAATTCCTCTGTTTTTATACTAACTAATACACACAGAAATAGCTTTTCGAGCCAGATGCCTTCTAATTGTATTTATTTATTATTGTTTGTGACGTGTGTGTGTATGTGTGTGTGTGTGTGTGTGTGTGTGTGTGTGTGTGTGTGTATGCATGCAGATGTGCATGTATCCAGTGAGTATGTGGAGGTCGAAGGTCAACTTTGTGGAGTCATATCCCTCTTTCTACCATGTGTGGGTTCTTGGGCTCAAACTCAGGTGTCAGCCTTCCTAACAGATACCTCTGCCCGCCGAACCATCTCACAGGTCCCAAGCCAAGTACATTAACACCGAAATAATTTCAGTCATCTGAAATACTTCAATGTCGACTGCTTTAATATCTCGACCATATTTTTAAGAATGTGTTTACAAATGCACACCTTTAAAATGCCCCTTTGTTTCTGATGTGGACTCTAAGAGTTAGATGCTATAATTGTAGTTCTTCTTTGCAAATATGCACACCTGTAAGTATCTTACCCATGAATATTTTTCCTATAAATTGCCATGTTTGGTTTGCAGAGTTAATATCCCTATAAAGGCTGTCACAAAAAGCCACAAAGATGGGCTTGGTCTAGAGAGGCCTGTGTAAGGTTTGGTACTGAAACACTGAGATTTTAAACATATTTTTCTTTTTTCTTGTAAAATTGCTTAAAAAAACAATCAATTCACATATCTTAAAGTGACTAAGGACATTTTATGCGACTAATTTTAACAGAGTACCTCTGAGAGTCCTCCTCTGAACTGTGCTGACAATTCATCTGTGGCTACAGCCAAAATATTTGAACATATGGCCAAAAGAAAAGTGGAAGGTATGCTCTCTCCTTTGCCAAAGTGTCATCTTGGAGGATGTCGTTTCTAGCATGAACATTGGTAATCTAATAATCAAATACATTTTCCTCCTAATGGGCAGTAACAACAGAACTGCCAATAAGCTGTGCTTCATCCCAACTTTCTGAAGTACATTAAACTGAGAACACCACTTAAAGACACCACACTAAATTAGGATAACCATTTCCAGAAGGGAATGAATACAGGGAGCGAAGAATAAAAAGTCAGGAAGAGCAAATGTGCAATTGGACTGCAAGGAAAAGAAAGCGATTCTTTAGAAAAGAAGGACAGGGTATCAGAAATGTGAGAAAAGTTGATAAAATGGGTTTCTAGTAACAGAACTGGTTTGGGAAATACTCTGTCTCTATCCTTCCCTGTTGGAAAGACATCAATAATCTATGTACCCAACCATGAGGAGGTAGGCCTGATGCACATGGATGAATATAAGACTATGTGAGCAGTCATATGTATATAGAATACAATGTTATGGGAAACGTTACTGTTTTACTAGATAGTATTGCATAGGACAAAATTAAAGTTGGGAAGGGATGTGAGGGCCCAGTTACAAGAAGCTCGGCCAAGCCATTACCAGGCATGGTAGGGAGGAACTGCAGGCTGTGTTAAAATGTACCAGTTAATGTAAAGGGATGTGGAAACTGACTTCATGGAAGCGAGGGTTTCCTGCACTTTACGGAAACACATGGCAGCTGTTAAACATAAGTGATTCAGGGCATCAGGGACTGCAATTGCAGCTAGTTCTTAGTCACCATGGGTCAGTTACCCTCTCAATTGCAGTATCGTACCACTTTGTAGCAAAACACAGACAAAAGGCTATTTGGTAATGAACAGTGATGCAATGAAGTCAAGACAGAGAATGAATGTGCTTTCGTTTCTAGTTGTGTTTATAGAAAATGTAGAAGAAAGATAGGAAGAGACAGAAATCATAATCCTAAAATGACACTGTTAAATAGGAAATTCATGGTAAGAATAATCCACAGAAAGAATGAAAAATGGAAAATATGAAGACCGGAGATGTGGCTGTTCCTTTTTAAAGAAGAGGGAGGCACTTGGGCACTTGAAGTAATGATGTATGGACTAAAGGGTTTACTGTGTGACTCACTGTGTCACACTACAGTTTCCACAATGAGATTTCTCTTTTCTTTTTTTCCCCCTATTTCTTATAAATTTTTGTTTTATCCTGGTGGTGGGAGGTTGCAAGGGTAGAGGGCAGATGGGGAGGGATAGGGAGATGAGCAGGATCGAGATGCGTGGTGTGAAATCCACAAAGAATCAATAAAAAGTTAAAAAAAAGAAAAGAAGAGGGAGGACTGGGGATGTGGTTCAGTCAGCAGAGGGCTTGCCTGATATGCAGTATCCCCAGCACCTCCTAAACTGGGCACAGGCCTCTTATTAGAGCACATACATGGAGGCAGGAGGACCAGAAGTTTAAGGTTATTCTCTGCTACATAGTGAGGTCAAAGCCAGCTTGGGATACATGAAGCCCCTTCTCAGATACACACACACACACCAAAAAAAAAAAAAAAAAAAAAAAAGGAGCGAAAGAGCAAGAATTCCAGACATCAGATGACTTCAATACATGTGTATTCAAACCAAAGATGAGGTCATTGCTGCGCCTGAGAAAAGTGTTGGCTTGAAGGAATGCCAAAATGTAGTAAACCGCACTCACTCATTCACCTCTCAATAATAATACATAATTGAATATAGAAGAATATGTTAGTCAAAATTTAAAATTATTTTTATTCTTACTTATTTAATTTTTAAAGATTTAGTATACTATTTGTTTATGTGTATGTGTGCATATGTGTGAGTAAAAGTACCAGTGGGGGCCAGAAAAGGGCATTGAGTTCTCTGGAACTGGAGTTATAGATGGTTTTAAGATACCACGTGGGTGCTGGGAATTGAACTCAGGTCCCCTGCATGAGCAGCCAGTGCTCTCAACCACAGAACTATCTCTAGCCCCTATAATTATTTTAATTCAGAGGTAAAAGAATTTATTTAATCATGGCATTTTCATAATACATTTTTACTCTGTTCACATTTTTCTCCATTAAAGTCTCTTGTCCTGCCCCACCCCTTTTCTTGGTGTTCTTCTCTAAGAATAATACTTTTATGCCATATATATACATATATATATGTATATATATATGTAAGTCTAGATGCTACACAGGAGATAAAACATGTGACATTTGCCTTTCTGAATGTGTCTTATTTAATGTACATTAACTGTCCTTCAAAAAGTTAACACACACTATCACACCATTCTAATATGAGAAATGATAAACATTATAGGTTCATTTGTGTCATACCGAAATTGCTATTTTTATTACATTTTGCACAGATTATTCCTGAGTATATTTTACTTTTAAATTTTTGTTCACATCTGTATGTCTGTGTGAATGTCTGCCATGTGTGTAAGGGTGCCAGCAGGGGCCAGAAGACAGCATTTGATCCCCTGAAGCTGAAGACACAGGCAATTGTGAATTACCCAATGTGGGTGCTAGGATCTGCACATGGGTCCTCTGGAAGAGTAGGGAGTGCGTTTACCACTGAGCCGCCTCTTGACCCTCGTGGGTATATGCTTTGTTTAGCAGATTTCAGTGTTGCTGCTCAGATCTGTAAAAATCCTCCAAACATTCAAAATGTAGAGTAATACTTGGAAAACTAAGAATGAGAATTTAGTTCTGCCCTAATTCTTCATGATCATATGATTGGTGTTGTATCAGCATAGAAATGATCATATTTCCCTTTGCTTTTTAGCATGGGTTGAGAAAGATTTGTCCTTAAAGGTAATAAGCTTTTTATTCTTATCATGAATTATTAAATATATCTTACATGACATATCTAACATTTAAATATTCTGCTTTAAAACCTATTTAGTCTGCCGCTGAAGTGAGAGAAACTGTTCCAAATGAAGTGGTAGAAATAACAGAGCTGCTACCATCCACATCAGGTACAGCTTGTAAAGTGAATCATTTTGGATAGAAAGAGAGTGTATGAAATGCTTGCAGACTTCGCCATCCTAATTCTGTTTTCCCCCCAAGTTGATGGTATGATATGTTATAAATGCAAATGTTATATTAGCCCCCATGTTTTTAAAAGAGCATTTGTGAGTGCAAGATGAAATCTTTTAAATGTAAGTTCAGTGAGGTGCTTCCAATTTTGTATTTCAATGTCCCAAACTTCCAGTGTGGGATCTCTGTCATAAGGGGATTTCTCCACAGTTTAAAAAATGCTGCTTGGAAAACTGGGTTCTATGCTGCATGCCTGTAATCTCAGGTACTTGAGGATGTTTTGAACTAGGATGTGCACAAAGCAGCATATTGTCACCTAAAAATCAAGAAAAGCAAATTTATTTCTACTAGGGGGATGCAGTCCATTTGCTGTCTGGATCTAAAGTGTTTTTTCATATCTATGATATTAGTTCAGTTATTCAGTCACATATCCTATCTGTTACCACAAATCACTAATTACAATGTTACACAATTGACTTTAGGTTTCAAAGCCAAAGATACTTATAAAAGTGTCCAGGTTGCACTTACTTTTATTCCCCCCTCCCCGAAAAGTCCTATATCTGTCCCACTCCACCTCTTAATAGTCAAACCACCCATTAACTCTAAAAAAAATCCAGCCCTAACGTTTTATTTTCATTCTCCAAAACCTCATGCCATTTACTATCAGGATGCAAAAACAGTTGAGTCAAATCTAGAAAAACTGACTCTACACGGGTGTTGGAAAAGATTGACAGCTCTAGTGCAGGGGTGGGAGGGAGAGACACGGGAAGAATGATTGACAGTTGTGGTGAAAGTCACCGAAGTACTGAAGCAGGCAAAGGAAAGCTATAATCAGGGAAGACGCCATGCGTTAGTCTGAGCCTTGGAGAAGAAGCTTGTCTGATAGTTGGTGGAAACATTTTCACATGTTGGAAACCATGTGATCATAGACAAAAATGTATGACTTAGCTATTTTTTTGTGAGCAAAATGCTTAGCAGATGGTTTAAGATACAACATTATAAGATAAAAATTAATGCACATTATGAATTTATTCATTGCTAGGGTCTTTGGAAATTTGTTTCTGGAGGCTTTATTCATGGATGAATTTATGTGCAAATTTCTATGATGTACAACACCCTCGGATGCTTATGAGTAAATATCTTTTGTGCAGGATATCGGATATGTGACCCCCATGTTGAGAACCACTGCTTTAGACAACTAGAAATATCCAGCTCAATATATACTTAATTGAAATTCTTACTTGGGAAGTAACAATATAATGTTATTTTTAAGTCATTAAAACAGTCCTTTTATCATACAGACTATTGCTTTATTTGAATTCTATGCAATTTAATTAGATAAATGTATTTGCCAACAGAACCAGAGTTGGAATTGATGTCAGTGGAAGAAGATATGTCCAACGAAAGTGAAAATAATCAGCCACGGGTATGAAAATATTTCATTTAAAATATCACATAATATTGTTTTCTTTTGTTTAGTAGTATGGCATTAGCCCCATGAAGTCCTATGTTTAGATTACTTAATAGAATCAATAGATCATAACTAAATATTTAATGTTTAAAACATTTTCCCTTGTTATAAAATTTAACACAGCAAGTTCCAGGACAGCTAGGCCTATACAGAGAAACCCTCGAAACAAAAACAAAACAAAATTTTAAAATGTTTTAAAACTCCATACTAACTTATAGCTAAACTTGAAAAAAATTTATTTGTTGTTTGAGGATTTTGCACAATGTGCTTTGATTATATTCTTCCAACCCCTTCCAGATCCACCTCAATTCCCTACCCACCTAACTTTATGTGACCCTTCACCCCCCTTAACCATGGGTTAATTACATTCAGTAGAGAAGGAAGAAGAACTGAAAGCCAGATTCACAAATAGTTCGGAGCAGTTGCATAGGCACAAATAGGTGGGTATGTGTTACAAAGCATCTTATATTTACATCACTGTAGAAATGACATTTTTCAGTCACTAGTAAACCACTGTCCCATAGCAGCCATGTGTACATTGAGGTTTTCTGGAAACACACAAGAGTTTTAAGCTATGTTCAAGCTAGAAAACCATCTATTAATTTTTTTTTTTTTAACAAATTCAGATTATGTTGGCCATTTTTTTTGAAACTTTTTTTTTCCTGAAGAAAATACAGTTGCAGTTTCTTCATGCCAAGATAACTTGTAGGGAGCTAGAGAAAAGGACTGGAGACTCTCCTCCCCAGGCCAAACAAATAAGTCTGATTACCTCTCAGTTGTCAGTAACTGTAGAAAAGCAAGAAAAGTTTCGTTATTTTGACTCCTCTATTCTCAAATTCTCTTAATAACTGCGCAGTATAAAACTTACCTCCAGTACTTAGGAACTGATGCATCTTCATTTTAAATAGGAGCCTTTACCTTGAGAAGTACACAGCCATCTGTTACCCCCTCCCCCAGCCCAGTTTCTCTGCACACTTTCTAGACCTCCAAGAAATCATCTTTATCTGAGCTTTCACAACTATATTATATAGATATTCCTTAAAAAATACCCATCAAATACAGTGTGCTACCCAGATATTCTTGGATGTGTAGTCATCCTTTGGGTTGTGGTAGACTTTCCAGGAGCTACACTTGAAGAAAACAGACCTTTCCTCTCCCAGCATCTAACAACTGCTTTATAGCTCCATGGCTAGGGGTGGGGTTCTGTGCTCAATTTCTCTCTCCATGCTGGGATTATGTTTGGATTAGGCTTACACAGCCTTTTAGGGGCTAGAGTATATAAGTGCAGCTGCCCCACGGTGCCCAGAAGACATTCTTTCCTTCTAGTCAGCCACCACTTCTGTAGTGATCATTGAGCCTTGGAAGGAGTGGCATGGTATGCATACTCTATTTATGGATGAGCATTCTGCAGTGTCTGGAATTCGGTCCATTGTAAATCTCTGTGTTAATCATCATTTACCATAAATAGAAGCATCTTGAATGAGGGTTAAGAGATGCATTGCTCTATTAGTATGTCAACAAGTCATTAGAAGTCAGTTTAATTACTATGTCCATTTAGCAGCATAGTAATAGTAGACTCTTTCTAGGACCTGTAGTTTGTCTAGCCATGGGTTCTTCACCTGATAATAGTTCCAGGTATGGTTTCATTGTTGTGAGCAGGACTTAAATTCAAGCAGGAAGTGGTTGATTACTTTTATAATGTTTGTGCCATAATTATATTAGTGGGCATGCATTGGCAGGCCAGCCATTATTGTAGCTTGTAGGGTTCATAGTTGGGTAATTGATAATTTTTTTCTCCATTAGCATGCATAGCATCTTCCAGAGCAATGAAAACTAGCTAGTATGGATCAAGTTTCTGGTTCAGCACGAGCTTAATTTCTTTATATTTTATCACTCAAGTATATGGTGTCTTCAGTACTAGGGTCTTATTTCAAGTTTTGGAAGGTAATCAAGAGCATGCCTGTATTGTTCAGCATCTATGTGGCCTTACTGTCCAACAACTACAAAAGAAATAACCAATTTCTTTCATTGGGCTTTTTTTTTAGTTTATCTATGGAATGTAGTAGGGGTATTGTTGCCTTGTTACAGGCTTCTATCTATCTTTTATCTATCTGTGTTGTGGGATATTTGTATACTGTGTGAAGATGTACTGCTGTGATTGATGTAATAAAAAGCTGAACAGCCAATAGCTAGGCAGGAGATACAGGTGGGACTTCCAGGCAGAGAGAGAAAGGAGGAAGAGGAGGAAACCAGATGAGTGAGAGGGACACGAGACATGGAGGAAGCAGGATGGCAGTACGTGACAGAATGTAGATGAATAGAAATGAGTTAAGTTATAAGAGTTAGTTAAAAGTAAACCTAAGCTAAGGACAAGCTTTCATAATTAATATAAGTCTCCATGTCATTATTTGCGAGCTGGTGGCCCAAAGAAAAATCTGACTATCTATCTGTCTGTCTATCTATCTATCTATCTATCTATCTATCTATCTATCTATCTATCTATCTATCATCTATCTACCTACCTATCTTCTATCTATTATCTATCTATCAATATCTATATCTATCTATCTATCTATCATCTTTTTATAATCATTATCTATTTATCAATAATCAAATCTATCCATACATCTGGTAGCTTTTACACTACAAGGCTTCCATATGGCCTTTTTCAGGATATCAGGTCTTATTTTGAAGTTTGTGTTTGTGCAGGATGAGAGATAAAGGTTGAGTTTCATTCTTCTACATGTGTTCATTCAGTTTAACCAGCAGCATTTGCTGAGAATGTTGCCTTTTCTCCAATAGTATTGTTGAGCTCTTTGATAAAATCACGTGATTGTAGGAGTATGAGCTTGTGTGTTGGTCCTCAGTTCTAGTCCATTGGTGAATGAGTCAGTTTTTATTCCAGTATCATGTTGTTTTTATTATTATAGTTTTGAGATAGAGCTTATAATCTGGGACGATGCTACCTTCCACTATTTGTTGTTCAAGATGTTTCGTCTATCCTGACTCTTTTGTATTTCCATATGAAATTTAAGATTACTTTTTCAATCTTTCTGAATAATTGTATGGAATACACACAGGGCTGTGTTCAATCTGTAGATTGCTTTTGGTAAGACAGTCGTTTTCACAACGTTAATCCTACCAATCCATGAGCATGGAAGGTCTTTCCATCTTTTGATATTTTCCTCAATTTATTTTTCAGTAATTTGAAGTTTTCTTTGTTAAATCTTTTACTTCATCAGTTAAACTGATTCACACACACACACACACACACACACACACACACACACACACACACACACACACACACGCTGTTGTAAATGGCATAATTTTCCGGATTTTTGAAATTATTATTATACAACCCCCCTTCCCTTTCCTTCCTCCGAGCTCTTTTTCAAGTTTATATCATTTTCTTTATATCTTTCTCAGTTTGTCATGTACAGGAAGAGTGTTGGTTTTTATATACTTTAATTTTATATTCTGTGTCTTTGCAGAATGTATTTATCAGCTGTAGGAGTTTTCTTAAGGAGCCTTTGGGTTCTTTTAGGCACAAAATCACATCATCTGCAAGTAAAGAAATGTTCCTTTTTAAACTTAAATTTCAAATTGTTGTTAGAACGTCTTACATGAATTTATAACATTTATATCATTTCCACCTCTCCTTCTACCCCATTCTGTTCTTCTTGTGCCCCCTCATACTTCCTCTCATATTCCTGCCTCTTCTTTAAATTTTGTTGTCATATTTACACATATGTAATTACATGTATATGGACATACAAACACACACAGGCTTATGATCCTGTTCTTACTAAGGCTTGCTATGCTTTTTGGAATTTCTTCATTATGAAAGAGTTGCATATTATATCTAATATTTTCATACTATTATTTAAATACAGCATAAACAGAAATTTTCTAACTTACCATTCATTTAAGCATTTTTTTAATCAGCAAATGTTTTATATAAAAATCATGTATGATTTAAATGTTTACCCATACCAAGCAACTTCTTCAATGTTTTGTTGATACCCAACATGACAAGCTAGGAATTCTTTTTATGGAAAAGATCTTCTTCTGCCTCTAAGACAATTTCTATCATTGGAGAAGTATTCTAAATGTTAAATGTTGTACGACAGCAAGTGTTTTTATTTTTCATATTTGTCTAAATGTGTCTTTTTGAGAATTCTCCTTTTTGTGGGTATACAAACTAGAGCCAGGTATTTAGACGTTAATCCTTATTAAAATATGCAGACCAGCCATTATTGTGTACATGCATTTTTCTCTTCTGGCCTTCCCTGATCTGTTTACATAGTCAGCAAACCATATGACAGAAAAGTATTAAATTGATATAAACAACATATACAACATCCTCGTCAAGTGTTTTATTGCCTGTACAACTTACTCTTAATTTTCTAGTTTAATTGCTTTTGAAGATGGAAAATCAGATATCTTCTTAGAAGGTTGCTAGGAGATATTTATGTAACTTACTAACACTTATTTTAACAGAGTATCTTGGAGGATCTTCCACAGATGAATGCTGGCCATTTATCTGGTGCAGGATATCAAATGGGAAAAATTAATATGAATGGACAAATGAAAGGTAGGAATAGAATTTAATTTTAAAAACTACTCTATGTTTTTTATTATTTATTTGACTTATTTATTCAAAACAGGTGGCTGCCATGTAATACTAAAAATATTATAGGTATCCAGTAAGAAATAAGAATAACAAATAACAAGTTGAATAACTTCAAATTTTAGCAATATGCTAAACTGATGGCATCACTGAAAGATCTGGACTATGAATCATGTAACAGGGCATTCTAGCACCTGAGGAATTCTGATATTAAGGAAAGGATAGAAGGAGAATGTAGAACAAGAAAAGTAGTGATTATAGGGAGTGAATGATGGGAAAGAAGGTATTATACACAGGAGAGAGTGGGAGTTATGAGACTACTTTAGCTAAAGTATGGAATTATAAATGTTGTGAAATCATAAACTGAGCTTCCAGTATCTAAATATGTTGAAGAAGTGGAATGAAATGTCCCTATACTTGTTTTTATCACTGAAGTCATTAAGTACTCCATCAAGAAAAGGTACGCTCTGTGTACCGTAGATAAATAAAATTATGTATGGTCAGACATACATATAAAAGTTTAATGTCAGGTAATGTACTGCACCTTCGTGGGGCTAATTATGTATATATGTCACACACACACATGCACACACACACACACACACACACACACACACACACACACACACACACACATATATGACAAAATAATTGAATTGGAAAAAAAAAAGCACAGGATTACTCATTTCCTAATTAGTTCAGAGAACTTTTTTGGAGAAGTTACCACTTGTGTGTTATTCCTAATTTATGGCACAAATTGAAGAAGGCAACAATCTTATCCTTAATGATTTAATCTGTTGACAGTGTTTTAGTGAAATATATGATGCCTCACTCAACCAACATCTTTGACAGTTAAACATTCTCAGAGTCATGTTTTGCTCCTCTGGTTAGAGGTCATTTTTCTCTGCATCAGTCAACACACTCACTACATTGGCACATGTGCCTAGTCTGCTTCTGGTACAGTTATTAGAGTCACAGTCTCCTTTGAAAATATTTGTGAAAAGCTCCTTTCTTATTTTTATTCATGATATTTCTTTAACGTAGCTGCCTCAATCAGAAAATAAGAGAACAATCCAAAAGTTGCACAACCCCCAAAACTACAGTAATTGTTACTAAAGACAAATGTGAGGACTCAATTTGATCACAACTCTGTGTGACTATATGTGGATGACTTCATGATATTTACTTAGATTGACTGATGTCCATTTGCCATTTTAGAGTCTGACGAGGAACATGCTCAACTGATGGTAATCACTACTGTACTTTATCTTGCTGATGATCCTCACCACTGGGTGAAGTATGCAATATTTATTAAGTGTCCTGTTTCAAATACCCACCCAGACTCCTGTTGAAATGAATGACACTGTTTTCAGAGAAGCATGGACAGCGAAGAATGCATCAGCCTTCAAACCAGGTGAAGTATGCAATAACATTACCCTAGAAGGAAACATTTTTAAGATTTTCCAAGTGCTTACAGGTTTCTCATTCCCACTTTGAAAACATATCCAGATGGGTTTGCGCCTAGTCTGATTGTAACTTGTGAGGCCATATTTGGTTGACATCCCAGGGAGGCCTCCTCTTTTCTGAAGGGAAATGGAGGAGCAGTAGATCTGGCGGGGAGGGGAGGTAGGTGGAGGCCTGGGAGGAGGGAGGGGAAACTGCAGTCAGAATGTATTGTATGAGAGAACAACAAAAAAACCTGATTAATTTAACCATTGTGTTGAGCTAAATCCTTCAGAGGTCATTGGTGGTGTAGATAATTGAAAATAAAGGCGTTTTCAGGGCTAGAAAATTGTGTTGGAAGTGTGTGCTTTAAACCAGAGGTTTCTTCTTTCATGTGTTGTTCCATAAGCTTTGCCTGATTTAATACCATATAACAATTAGGGATTTCTAGAGAGCAGTTGTGAAAACCTAAGGTTTTTCTCCAAGTCTAAAATAGTAGTTGGATGGTTGAGTGAATTGTCATTTGCCTGCTGATTCACTTACTCTGAAAAATAAGAGCCTCCCTTTAATACACAATTTCAAGCAACACAATATTAAATTATACCTATAAATAAAATGTTCATTTTTATTATAATTGGGCAGTCTACTGATTATGTACATCTATATGTGTTTTAAGTTGCATATTTGTTATTTCCATGCCATTAATCTATCATGGAATCAGGTCTATCACAATAAATTATACATTGTGATTTGACATCACTTGTGCCTTCCTTTTGCTCCTAACCTCAAGACTGTATTTTATAGATTTCAGTTGCTCTGTAGTAGTACCAACCTCTACATGCAACATCACATACCTGTATACAATTGCTTCATAGATGCTATTCATGTAATTTACCCAGAAGCCAATACCTACTATGATGTTACGCTTGATGGGTTTAGCAGATTAAAGAATCAGTTCATTCAAAACAAAACATCAGCCTGGTCCCCTTATCCTCCTAGTAAGATGTACACCAGAAAAATGGCAAACACAAGCAACTTAAACATAACTCACTTTATAGTTTTCTCAAATGACGAGTCTATTTCTCCAAGGATACAAACGTACCTAAACGTTAATTCATTTAATACAATTTGGTTGCAGGAGACACTGATAAATTTATAACCTAAATATTCCTATATTTATCCTATCAGTTATGGTCTGTATAGTGTTTATTTTGCTCAAGTAACTTTTTATAGAACATCTACCTCCACTTATGCACACATTGTGCACATTCATTGTCCAACCAACTTGATGATTCATCTGCATTGAAAACGTTAGCATTTCATTTTGAAATGAAAATGTCTAACCTTCTTAAAATACCAGAGAAGGCTCTTATGACTTGTGTCCAACACTGTATCATTAGCACATCCTCCAGTCTTCCATTTCCTGTGAATTTACTAGACTGCTGGTGGTATCTTTTCTAACAATCTGCTTTTAGATAGATCCCTACTAAACATAGTACTCCCTCTTGTTACTTCCTTTCATGTCCTTGCACTTTCTTTTTTTTTTTTTAGGTTTTTCGAGACAGGGTTTCTCTGTGTAGCTTTGCGCCTTTCCTGGAACTCACTTTGTAGCCCAGGCTGTCCTCGAACTCACAGAGATCCGCCTGGCTCTGCCTCCCGAGTGCTGGGATTAAAGGCGTGCGCCACCACCGCCCGGCCGCACTTTCTTTATTGATGTCTGACTAACCTCATATTTTAAGTATCAAGCAGGCATTATGTTTAGAAAAGCCATCCACATACCCATTATTTGCATTCTTTTCTATACAGTGCCAGCACCTAATAAGAATACAATAAAGTTATTTTACTAAATGAAATAGAGCCTGCTTACACTGCAATGACTTAAAGGATTGTTTCCTCAAGGGTAGATGAAAAGGAATAAACATGTAAATAAATAATTTGCAGGTCTAATGGTAAAGATAACGTTGAAAAAGTCAATAAAATACTCAGACAGACCCAAGGAAAGAATTATCTATTTATGTAGGAAGAGTCAAAACTCAATACTTTATATGATGAACTAAGTATTAAAAGATGAAACAAAAGAGTTACAATAGTGGATAGAAATAAGTTGAACATAAGGTAGCAAAGAGAAAGGTGTGAAGGGCGATGGAAATTTTGTTTAGAAAATAATTAGTGGCTTATTTAAAAGTTAATAATAAGAAACAAAGAAGAGTGTACTCGCATGCATTTCTGTGATTTTTTTAAAGTTTCACTTCTGAGGGTTTGCTTAGTTATATTGAGTGGTTGAATGTGTAGATGAATCTCAAAAATGCTTTTTACATCTAGAATCTGTCACACTGATCCAAATCCTGGTGGTGACTGGAAGCAACACTTTAGGAACTGAATATTTGGCTAACTGTTAAGCTGGATACAAATTAATTGGGAAAATCCAAAATGCAATTTTTATGAACCAAATTTTAAGACATCTCCATCTATTTCTATAAAGACTATTGTTTTATGTATAATGTATTAATAGTTTGTTTAACTAAATATATTTATTAGTAGAGCCTGACTTAGAAGCGACACCAGGGGAAGATCACAATAGATTTGATGACAGGAGAAAAATCCAGTCATTGGTATGTAAATATCAATTAGAGTTTCTGGTATAAAAATCTTTGTTGTTCAAGGGTGTTGCATGAAGCCAGGCAGTGGTGGTACATGCCTTTAATCCTATTACTTGAGAGGTAGAGGCAGGTGGATCTCAGTAAGTTCTATAGAGTGAAGCCTGGTCTACAGAGTGAGTTCAAGGTCAGCCAGTCCCATTACACAGAGAAACCCTGTCATGGGAAAAAAAGAAGAATGTTGCATGGACCAAAGGAAATTGCAGTTTAGACAACCAAGAATTGATGGCTTACAATTTAATACTTAGTCTTAAAGTCTTAAAGAATATTTTATCATCTTATGGAACATATAGCTAACATTTATCCTTAGATAAACACTATTTTTCCTGTGTTTATTAACCTTAGGAGCAAGATATTTTAACAAATACTGTCTGTATATATTTTTTATCTGAGAAAATCCATGACCATTTTTAAGTCTTAAGTTTGTGCATGTGTACGTACTAACAAGGTAGTGGTGATGAGTCCAGCATGAAGGAAATCAAATCAGTGAATATCAAAAAGGTGATCTGTTCTCTCTAGTGGACTTTAGAACATATTTGAGCAACTTAATGCAGAATTTCTACAGATGAGATAATATTAAATATATTCTGAATTTTTTGAAGAACAACCTGTAACAGAAATATGAATAGCGCTTGAGGCATTACTGAAAACTTTTTAAGTATTGAGACCTGTGCTGCCTAGTTTTTATGTCAACTTGACATGAGCCAGAGTTATCTGAAAGGAAGGAACCTCAATTGAGAAAATACTTCCATAAGATCTGACTGCAAGGCATTTTCTTAATTAGTGATTGATGGAGAAGGGTCCAGGCCACTGTGGGTGGAGCCATCCCTGGGCTGATGGTCCTGGGTTCTATAAGAAAGCAGGCTGAGGAAGCCATCATGAGGAAGCCAGTAAGCAGCACTCCTCCATGGCCTCTGCATCAGCTCCTGCCTCCAGGTTCCTGCACTGTTCTGAATTCCTGTCCTGACTTCCTTTGATGATAAACAGTGGTGAAAGCCAAATAAACTCTTTCCTCCCCAGGTTGCTTTGGTCCTGGTGTTTCCTCACAGCAATAGAAACCCTAACTAAGACAATACCAAATAGTTTTTGTTATTGAGGGTCAATGAAGTACTAGCTAGATATTTAAACACCAAATGTCCCATTTTCTAGTGAGAATGGCTAAACAATACTCAGCAAGTACTTTTAAATCACTATATGTGGATTATGTGAAAAAAAAATATCAATTGACACAGCATTGAAGGAGTTTGTTGATAGGATGGGGCTGTGGGTGGTGGTGCAATTTTAAATTTAGAGAAGATTTTTTCGAGTGAGAAGTAACTTCTAATGAAAGGAGGGAGACATACCAACCAAGTGAAATCCACAAGATGAGCACCTGGGCAGGAGGAGCGTGTATCACACCTTCTCTTTAGCTGGCTCTTACCCTGCATGACCAGGAAGCAGGGCGTGAGATAATCTTCACAATAATCACTTTACTCTTATAACATGTATCTGCATATAATATAAATGTGCAACTAAGGGACTTGTGCAGTACAGTCACTTCAAAACTCAACATCATTGTGCCGGGAGTTCTCCTTCATTAAAAAAGGTTGTATGCTGATACGTAGTATTGGTGTAACATTATTCAGCCATACCACAGAAAGTTTTTTGTTAACTTGTTATTTAAATATTTTTAAATTAGCATGCAAAGTAAGAGGTTTCATTATGGTGTTTTCATACATAATTCAGGCTGATCTTCCTCCTCTCACCCACTCTCACCTCAGATCACGCCCTCCCATTCTCAGTGGTCCCCCTTTTTCATTTCTTATTATTCTATTACCTTTCCCACTTCCTTTCTTTAAAATCTTTCCCCCTTAATCTCATGGTCCTCTTCCTAGTTTTATTTTTTTTATTTTATTTTATTTTTTTTTTTGGTTTTTCGAGACAGGGTTTCTCTGTGTAGCTTTGCGCCTTTCCTGGAACTCACTTGGTAGTCCAGGCTGGCCTCGAACTCACAGAGATCCTCCTGCCTCTGCCTCCCGAGTGCTGGGATTAAAGGCGTGCGCCACCACCGCCCGGCTGTAGTTTTTTTTTTTTTTTTTTTTTTTTTTTTTTTTTTTTATAAACTTTGCCTCGACCCCCACAGAATACTCAGGTCTAAAAATTAGAAGCTAGGATTTACTTATGAAAGCATATCTGCCACTTGTCTTTTTGAGTATGGGTCCCCTCACTTAATATAATAACTTCCAAATAAATCTCTTTTCTCACCAACCTCTTGGCTTTCTTTTCTCTGTGGCTGAATTCAATTCCATTTTGTATCTGTACCTCATCTTCATTGATTGGTTTCATTCCACTCTCCCCTCTGTGAGGCTGAATTCCCACCTTCAGTTTAGGTTTCTAAGAATGTGAACTGTCTTGCTGCCTGAATTTTGTGGTGATGGATGATTGGAGTTTTGGGATATACTTCCTTTGGTGAGACCCACGTCAGCATGAGCATATTGGTGTAGTTGGTGTGCATTTGGGCTTCTTTGTAGAGAAAGTCTTAGCTAGTTTTATTTCTGTTTTCTAGACTTGGCTCATTCCTCTACTAGTAGCTTTTTGATTACTTCCTCCCTTCCTGTCTACCAGTTGTGGCTTCCAATGTGTTGTCTTGCCTCTGCTCCCCAATTTGTCATTGATTAAACCATTTTTCTACAATCAGTAACTGATTTTAACAACAACAGCAGCAGCAGCAGCAGCAGCAGCAGCAGCAGCAACAACAACAAGAAAATACAGACTTTTATCCCTAATTTAAGTGAAGAAACTTCAAATTCTGTCCAGTTCTGATTGTGCAAACAGTAGTTTGCAACACATCTTGCATCTGATTCTAAAACACCTGCTGCCATTTTTTTTTTTTTTTGGTTTTTTCGAGACAGGGTTTCTCTGTGTAGCCTTGCGCCTCTCCTGGAACTCACTTGGTAGCCCAGGCTGGCCTCGAACTCACAGAGATTCGCCTGGCTCTGTCTCCCGAGTGCTGGGATTAAAGGCGTGCGCCACCACCGCCCGGCCTGCTGCCATTTTTAATTACCCTGGATATTCAATGTTGTTTTACATCAAGTGCATTTATGAGAAGTTGTTTAAGTACCTATTTTTTTGTTGTTGTTGAAAAAAGTTCTCTAAGTTTTGTGGGGAATGCAAAGTAGATTTTGATATGCAAAAATAAATTCTGACTAAAATATATGAATCATCTGCTACTGTCTACTTGTATGATCTTTTGGTCTTCCCTGTAGCTTACATAGTCAATGATCACATGAAGATAAAAGTTAGGATGGATCTGAAGAGCACGTATGAGGTTTTTATTTCCAAATATTTTAGTTTTTAGTACATGCTTCTTTTATATTCAACCCTATGTAATTTTAAAATATGAAATTTAGCACCTTCATGAAATTGATTGGGAGGACTTTGCACAATTTATGATCACTACTTACTGTAACAGAGAATCTCCGGAGATCTTCCAAACGTATCTGGCAATATATCCGTGGCAGCAGTTTCAAGAAGAGAAAAGACAAACAGACAAGCAACAGGTAGGAAGTACATTTTGTGGAAAAGTCATTTGGTGTGATGCTAATTTATGATAGGAGGCCAAAGTAGGCTACTAACCAAAGAGAATCATCCATAAATGCGGAATAAGGAAAACTGATAATGCATTATCAAGTTTCACTGACAGTTTAAGAGTATCAGTAAGGAAGATGAATTGTGAGTTGTATTTCTAGGTATTCTAATACCAATGACATGCTAATAAGTTATAATGAGGTGAGGAAAAATGGGAATGAAGGATGAGAAAAACAGTGATAATAAGGAGTAAGGAAAGTATGTCAGGTATATGAAGTAAAGGGTTAGTGTCCTAGTTTTTCTCTGATTACTGTGATAAAGTACTCTGAACAAAACAAAATAAGGGAGGTGGAGTTTATTTTAACTCAAAGTGCCAGGTCTAGTTCATCCTAGAAGGGAAGTCAAGCTATGAGGAGCTAGGTGCTCCCATTAGGACCACAGTCAGAAATGTAAAAGGAATACATACATTCTAGTGCTCAATTCCCTTCTTCACCTAAACAGCTCAGTTTCCCCTGCATAGAGAATGGTGTTGCTCACAGTGGTGGTGCTTTACACCTTAATTAATATAATAAAGACAACCACCTACAGGCAAGTAGGCCAATATAATGTAGATAATTTCGACATTGAGAGTACCCTCCCAAGTAATTTAAGGTTGTGCTAAGTTAATAATAAAATTGAGAAAATTAAAAAAAAAATATGTGGCAAAGAAAAGTAATGTATTTGACTTGTGAGGAAAATGTGACTTGAGTGCCTAGATCCCAAGACTGTCTGAAACTAGAACAAAGTGTCCCACTCTTCCTGTGTTCTTCATTGGTGAGAACCCATTAAGGATTCAAATACTTGCTTTTTCAAATCTACATCTTATTACCAAAGAACATTATAACTGTAACAATTGATCCACTGTAAATGTATATGTTTTTGTCCATTTGTGAGCATCACCACTTCAGCAGGTAGTGCTCTATAAGTGGAAATTGAAGAACTGGAAGTAAGAAACTCATGGGGTTAGATTAAAAGTCCATTATAAAGTTTGTGACTGCTTATATAATCTCAGATTGGGTTCTGACAGCATAGATTCTTAGAGTAGATTCCAAATAGATGTGTATCAGCATTTGGAATGAAACTGTGTTGGCCACCGCATCTCAGACTTTGGTGAATCATCTGCTTTGGCCTTGTTAAGGATAAAATGGTGTTCTTTATTTGTGATGAATTCTCAGTTGGTGTAGATGCTCCCGGAAGTCATGGTGTATGATGAGGAGGGAGGATGGAGACTTTGATTAAATCTGTAGAGATAATTATTGTAGAAAACATAATGGGCCCAAAATAAGGTATACATTTTGCCCTTACTTTTGAGTTTGTTCCTATCCAGAAAGAAATAAACAAATATATATGGAAACTAAATAATTCTATGATTCCTAGGATACTAAGTCTGTGGGGTTCTCTATGGCTATAAAATACAATTCTTTAGTTATTAGATATTCTTGTTAAATAAAGATGAAAGAAGTGGTCATATAATCCATAAACTAGTACAAAATTGAAGTAGTAGTTTGTTACAAAGAAAGATTGTCTAGACAAGAGAGAAATTGCCTAGAAGGCATGAAAGTTCATGCTGAGGAGACTTGAAAGAACTCACTTTCGATGCTATCAGTGTATTCTCATTCAAACCATATTACACTGTTGTGTTCCTGCATACACTATTGGAATCAGGAGGTGGTATTAACCACCTGGAAGCAGGAATGGAAGCAGAAACCACGGAGAAACCATGCTGCTCAGTGGCTTGCTCCTCGTGATGTGTTCAGCTTGCTTTCTTATACAATCTGCCCAGGGGTAGCACTGTCCACAGTGGGCTGGGACCTCCTACACCAATCACCAATTAAGGAAATGCACAACAGATATGCTCATAGGCCATTCTTTTTTTAATTGAGAAATTTTTATTCACTTTACATACCAATTCCTTCTTCCCTCCTCCTGCCCCTCAAGCCTTCCTCCCCAACCTATTCCCTATTCTCTCCTACAAGAAGGTAAGGCCTCCCATTGGGAGTCAGTAAGCCTAGTACATTCAGTAGAGGCAGGTCCAAGTCCCTCCCCTTTCCTCAAGGCTATTCTTATGGAGGCAATTCAGCAATTTAGGTTCCCTCTTCTCAGGTGACTCTGGTTTGTGTTGACAAAACAAAACAAAACAGAACAAAACAAAAAACCAACAAGAATGCCTTAGAAGTCTTTTAAATTATAAACTGTTCCATTCTACAACAGCTTTAACAGTTGATATGAATTCAGGGTTATGATTTGCTTCTTCCATTAGGAATCCCTTTCCCCCTCATTTATTAGCATATTCATATTGTTATATGTGCCTTTTGTATTTCTGCTATGTTTATTACATAATAATCTTATTTTGAAAATCTGAGCAAGTTTAATTAAAACTAGATTTTAATTTTTCTTCAGTATATTTTTTTTCATGTTATGATCCCAACTAGACACACAAGCAAAATAAGCAAACGCCAAACCTGAAAAGCCCAAATGTAAAGTCATTCTTTACAAAGGTAGCCAGGGGGGGCTGAGTTCCAGTCTAATTCTGCATGAATTGAGGTTGATTGACTTATTATTCATAACGTTGATTATCTCTTTGGCTCTTTTAGAATCTGCGAAGGAGTATCCACCCTTGATGGTAATATAGCCTTTATGTTTTCACTTTGGTTAATTTACATCACCCTAAATGAAATATGATGCAATTATTGTTCAATTGTTCCTTCAAACCCCTTTCAGGCTCTCAATGAAATGAGTGATTCTGTTCTCAATGAGGCAGTAGAGATGAAGGAAACACAGATAACGCACGTGGGTAAGTACTGACTTCCAGCCAGCTACTCTGGAAAGACAGACTCTAAATATCTGAAATCCCCACGGACTTCTCACTCCTATCCCCATCCCCGAGATTAGATGAGACAGCAGGATTTGTTCTAAACTACACAATGTTATTGTGACATAGATTTTACAGACGCCATTAACAAGTTGAAGGGACTGGTTTGGAGAAGCACCTTGAGTTAGTTCTTTCTACTTTCATGTCTCAACCTGATCATGGGTTCCTTCAGTAGCAGAAGATGTGCTATGAAAAGGACAAAGTGAACAAAACCATCTTACACACAATGGGCTGATCATTTCATATCTCACTTCATACCCTTTGTCAATCATTGAGTAACATCTAACTCCCCATGGAACAACACTTGTAAATTTATGCACTTAATCAAATTTGTTCTTTACTGGGCACTGATAATTTATAACTCAAAATTGTCTGGAAACTTCCACTCCATTTGGGGCTGCTTCAATTTAAATTTGCACTGTTGCCTTCTACTAAATAATTTCCATCCACTTAGTCAAGGCTCCCTTATATTGGCATCTCTGCCACATTTATAATGTTCCATGACCACATCACATGATAACACAGACCAATTTAAAAAATGCCAATGATCAAGTTTTTGTAAAACGGCCCACAGGAGGCTTTGATAGGTTTGAGCCAAGGTGCCCCAAAGACGCCATGCAGATGTGGTGCACAGTGGCATGGTGTGGTGGAAAGTTACTCACACCATACACACACAGCATCCATATGGAAAGTTTTATTATTATTATTATTATTATTATTATTATTATTATTATTATTAATTTTGGTTTTTTGAGACAGGGTTTCTCTGTGTAGCTTTGCAACTTTCCTGGAACTCACTTGGTAGCCCAGGCTGGCCTCGAACTCACAGAGATCCACCTGGTTCTGCCTCCCGAGTGCTGGGATTAAAGGCGTGCGCCACCACCGCCTGGCGGAAAGTTTTATTATTAAAGGGGAAGGAGAGAGGGAATAGAGAGGAGAAGAGAGAGAGAGAGGGGGGTAGAAAGAGAGGGATATATATATAGAGAGAGAAGAGAGAGAGAGAGAAAGGAAGAAGGAAAAGGGGGAGGGGTTTTCTCTCAAAGAGGACTTCAGATAAGATGACATGAGGATGCTGGGCATGTCCCCAAGGGGTGGGCCAGAATGCTAACACAAGCCCCTTATAATTACACATGTTTTCATAATTAACTTCCATCCAAATCTCTACATTGAGCCATTTTTTGATGATGTTATTCCTGTCACCGTATTGCTACACCGGCACATCCTCCATTTGTTACTTCTTTGTTGTCCCAGTATACCATGCTCTTCCTGTTTGATGTCCCAGTGTCTGCATAAATCATTCTTTACCTGTGAGATCAGGCATTATGTAAAAAAAAAATCCACTCAGTTCTAATAATTTACAGTCCTCAGGATCACGATAATGAATTGTTCAGTATAGTGATTACTGGAATTTATGCAAAAATGATTTACAAGAGCACCAATGTAGTCCAGGAGCAAAATGAATAGACCTATAAAGAAACAATTTCCAATGGAAATGACAAATATACAAAGGGAAGATGAGCAAAAGCACCAAGGGGAGTGCCATGGAAAGCAAGTGTGGTCACTGAGGCAAAGAGAACCGTAATGAAGAAAGACAGCCCGTGACACTGAGCGTTTAGAGAAGGAAGCCAGCCTGTAAGAATAGTGGACGTAGTGTTTCAGCTCTAAGTTACATTAACTATACCTTAGAGTAACTGCACAATGATCTTGTCTATAACCAGTCAGTTTTACCAATGTAAATTTCAAGTTCTGTAATTACACAGAATGAGCAGTCAGAGAGGATAATGGACAATAGATTATGACATGTGACTCAATACAGAAAAATGTATTTACTGTAAATGCTGTAATACTGCAAACACTGTAAATCCATGTATCTTTTTCTATTTTGTTTCAAGTGTGTTCATTGATGTTTAATGGAGTGATTGTTACTGACTCTTTGAGATGTGTATGTTGTGTACATGATACACAACTTGACTGCTGTCTAAAGCACAGAAGCTTTTGATATTTAAATAAGTCAGTAGTTATCCTGTTGAGTAAACCTATTTGAAGAGTCTAACTGGAAAATCAAAAGCCCAGTTGGTGATATTACTAATGTTTAATTTTTTCTGTATATGGAATAATTGTTATCATGCTTTTTAAATGTTTTCCTGGTTTATTTTAATCACATATGTGGACTTGTCAGAAGGATCAGCTGTAAAATTGACATCAGAGGAAGAACCAAATAGTCATGATGGCTTTGAAAAGAATCTGCCACTGGTATTTGAATATTTAAATTTGAATTACATATTGATGTTTCTCATTGTAAAATAATGTAAAATGAGTCCCTCAGAATCAATAGATCACAACTTAATGTTTAATTTCAACACCATTTACTTAGTTATGGAATAAGAATGTTTTTACAATATAAGACTAACAGATAACCTTGATTCTTGGATGTATCTGAAAAATTTTATTTTTACTATTGTTTTCCATTTTTATAGCCTACTTACCTATTTAAAGAATAGATCAAATTTGAGACTTAAAACTAATCACTTTAAAGTTTGAATGATTTTAAGGGGACCATCCCACAATTTGATGTACTAGATGGGGCTATTAGTCAAAGTAACTCAAAAATTGAGGTTTCCTATGACCAGCCAGTACTATCAGTGCATAAGTTTCATTTACTCATTTTGGGTCCCAGCATCTCTGGTGTGGGAGATATCACAGGTATACACAATTAGTCCCACTACCTATAAAGACAAAGTACCATCAGGGCCAGTGGTGCTATGCGCTAAACAATAACCTTCAAACTCATCATATTTCAATAAAGGGAGTCAGAAACTATATTAAAATGTTACCTGGTGACTTTACTGAATACCAGAATGTATCAGGACTGAATTTAGTGCAAACTGTTATGAGTTCATGTCAGTATGAAGATGTCTAGTTTGGAGAAAACTATTGAAAAGCATATGCTATTTGAATATATTAGTGTTTCAGGCCTCACAGTAGTCATTTTACTTGCATGACTTTGAATAATGTAAATTACTAAGTATCAGCTAAGAACTAAGTAATTAGGCACTCAACATACAAAATTATGACAAAGTGAAAATAGAATCAGTAAACACTAACTTCTTCATATAATGAACATATTTGATGTCAAGATAGAGAATTTGATGTATTCAGATGTGATGGCACACTGTGGTAGGATACCCTGAAGAGGCAGAGGTGGGAAAAGATTGCTGTGCTTTACTTAAATTTATGATTGGAATGATAGTGTGAACAGAAATAAGAGCTCAGAGAGATATTTCTGAATGTAGAAGGACATGTGGAAGAGAAGAGGAGTTGTCATAGACTTATTACTTGAGTATCTATCTATCTATCTATCTATCTATCTATCTATCTATCTATCTATCTATCTATCTATCTATCTATCCGTCTGTCTATCTATCAATCATCTATCATCTATCTATCTATCTATCTATCTATCTATCATCTATCTATCTATCTATCTATCTATCTATCTATCTATCTATCTATCGTATATGAATATATATGTGAGCTCATAAAATAAGTTGTCTTATGCCCTTTTCAAACATCCTTAGTGTTATTTATCTCTCCATCTTCCCTCTCTCTTTGTAATACACTTCTTACTCCATCCCAAGTCAAAACACTGCCCTCTATTTTCCCCATTGTAGCTCCTGTCTCCTGCTATCCCAGTCTCTATACCTCCTTATCTATTCTGTCCCCCATGATCCTTTCCTATCATTGGAGTGTGTTCTACCTACCAGAGCCACACCCTTAAAGAAAACTGATTCTTCTTCCCCCTAAAGCCATTAGCTGTCCTTAACTCTTCAGTTAGGGGAGAAGATTCATGTACTCATTCCCAGTTCCTTCTAGAATACCGAATGGTTTGATCTTGTGATAATCTTGTGCAGGCAATTATAGATTCTTTAAGTTGTTAAGTACAGCTATTTTGTCACATCCTGAAGACACTATTTTGCTCTGTTCCTCCCCAACCCTTACAATCTTTCTGTCCTTTCTCCTATAATGATCTCTGAATTGCGGGGAAGAGGTGTGATATAGATATTGCATTTGTGACTGAGCTGTCCACAGTCACTTACTCTTTGTTTTTTGACCAGTTTTGAGTCTGTGCTAATTATAATCTTCTACATGAACACAAATATCTGTTGAGGTCTAAGATCTGCAGGTAGAGAAATGTAAACTGAGAGGACAATTTAATATTATGTCCCCTTAGTAAAATAATAGTTGCAGGTATACCCTTGGGGCCTGTGAGATCATCCACCAATTATGGATTTTTAGCCAGAGGCACAGTACCAGGCATATGTTTCTTCCTGTGGAGCAGGCTTTAAATCAAACGAGAAAGTGGTTGGTTACCTCTGTAACATTCATACCACTACTACAACCATAGGCCTTCTATGATGATCATTATTGCAGTTCACAGGGTTCACAATTGGGTAAGACTGTTCATAACATTACTCTTCAGCTATTTACACTGCCAACTTCCAGTACCATGAGAGCTAACCAGCACAGAGGAAGTTTCTTGGTGAGTCCCAACTTGATTTATCCACATTCTATAACCAATGTGTGCAGTGTCTTCAGCAATAGGGTCTTATCATCAAGTTATGATGGTCAACCAAAAACAATGGGAATAATCTCTATTGTTTTGGGGAGGGCTTCTCAGGGACATATCAGAGCAACAAGTTGAGATGAGGTATCCCACACTCAGGCCCTGGAAAATTGGACAATGTATGGCTTCTGGGATAAGCATAGTGCCCTGTGTAGGGTAGCTCCAATTGAACACCCCTCCACAAAAACACACACATTTGTGTATTTACATTAGAATATGAGATGTTCTAGGTTTTTTTTGTTGTTGTTACTTTGATAAAAACCATGACTGAAAGCAACCATGGAGGAACCAATTTATTATGTCTAACAGATTAGAGTTAATCATCAAGGGAAGCTGAGGCAGGAGTTAAAGTAGGAACCTAGAGGTAGGAAATGAAGCAGACACCATGGAGGAACTGGCTTGTTCTCCTTGACTTGTTCAGCTTGCTTTCTTATACAAGCCAGGGCCACCTGTCCATGTCACTGCCCATAGTGGTCTGGGCCCTCCCATATCAGTCATTATTCAAGAAAATACCCACAGACATGCCCTAAGGCCAATCTGATGGTGATAATTCTTCAGTTGAGGTTCCCTTTTCTCATGTGACTCTAATTTATGTCAAGTTGACAAGCAAAACAAAATAAAAAAGTAGCGCAAAAAGGTCTTTCCATCTTCTGGTATCTTCTTCAGTGTCTTAAAGTTTTCATTGTGCACTTGTACACTTCATTAGTTAGACTAATTCCAAGATTTTTTAAAAAGGCTGTTATGAATGGGACTGTTTCTCTGATTTCTTTCTTGATATCTTTGCCATTGGAAGGTTACTAATTTTTGCATGTTGGTTTTGTACCCCTGTACTTTTGTGAATGTGTTCATCAGGTTTAGGAGATTTATTTGATAGCTCTCTACATAAAATTTTTTGAAATATATTTTTGATTTAAATAGAATTGCATCATTTTCTATCCTCCTTTTCCCAGCCAGCTACCCTCCCTCAAACCCCTCCCATGCATGACTCTCCATTCTCAAATTGATAACCTCTTTTTATTTACTATTATCTACATACATACATGTGTATGTATATATGTATATACACAAATTTATATAAGTAAACATGATGAGTCTTTTTTTATTATAATATATTTTCAATACATACTTATTTTAAGTAGGATTTTTTTTTTTGTTTTTGTTTTTCGAGACAAGGTTTTTCTGTGTAGTTTTGGTGCCTGTCCTGGATTTCGCTCTGTAGACCAGGCTGGCCTCAAACTCACAGAGATACACCTGCCTCTACCTCCCAAGTTTTGGGATTAAAGGCATGCACTACCACCATCTGGCAAATCAGATTTTTAAAAAATTTTTAAATTAAAATTTAAAATTTGTACTTACATATAATGTGTTTGGATCTGATCCACATCTCATTTCCTTCCCTCCAATTTCTCCCTGCCTCTTAAATTAATTGATTAATTTAATTGATTTTTAAAATAGAAAACTGAGATTTTGCTGGAAAGTGATTTGAAAATGTTGTAACTGATTGCTGATGCTTATTGAACAGAATATCTTCAAGCAAATTCAAACACAGGATATTGGTTATTTATCAATGGCTGAAAATCAAAGAGGAGAAAAAATGGTGATGTGTCAGGAAAAAGGTGAGGAATCATACAATAAAAAGTCCTTTGATAGAATATTCGTTTGAAACACAAGAAGTTATGTATACGCTGAGCCAGAAAAGTTACCTCTTAAATACTAAGTTACAGAATATATTAGGTTGCAGTAATCTGCAGGTCAAGGACAAGTTTTAAGACAGGCTAAATGAAATGTATCACAAAGGGGGAAAGTTTGAGTTCCTTCTCAGGTGTTTAATGCCTAAGGGAGGTTAGGATGTAGGTGGGCGTGGTGAAGAATGGGGATACATTAAGAATGGTAGAAAAGATAGAGAGGAGATGAAGGGAATGAAGAAAGGGATCATGGGGGGCATGAAATTCATATAAAAATCATGGGTAGGGGATTGCTCATGTGAAAACACCATAAAGTGAGCTGCTAATGCAGAATTGTGTGTGAGAGACTGAACAATGTGTTCCCATAGTCTTGTTTCCTCACTTTGGGGAAGGTATAAAGATCTGACGTATTAGATCCTTCTTCAGTGCTATATCTTGTGTATAATCAACATCTGCTCTCAGCTATATATATTATTTAATGTCAGTTGAAAACGTTCTTAAATCCCAGTATAATACCACATGACCTAAAATAGCACCAGAGAAAGGAAAGACATGAGGTTTTAGTCATAGGTTGATTAAGAGTCTCCATCAAGAGGTCCAAAGAATGTTTCAAAGTTCACGGTTTAGGATGCTGATTCAAACTGGGAGATGTGGTGGGATAATCACACTAAATAGAGACTAGATTCTGTAGAGTTCAGTTATAGCAAAGGAATTTTGGAAGAGACTCACTGACCAGAGCTGCTCAAATTTTCATGATCAACCTGTTGTGGACAATGTTTGAAATAATTTTGGTTCAAATTTTCTGGGATTCCTCATTTCTAAGAAGGTGTCTAGTGGTGCAGTTGGTGTTCTAAGCACACCAATGTGTGTAGACTTTTCATTAAAGAAATTGAGAAAGATCCTTTGGGGATAGTTTAAGACAGTATCTAAGAAAACCTAAATATTATTATTATTTCTGAGGATATTTCTGAAGGGAAGAATAAACACAGAAATGCCATTGAGAAAATGTAATTCAATGAGATTTTTTGATCACCAATCCCATATCTATTCTATCTACATGTTTGAAGATTTAATTTCCACAGTTGTATCAACACCAAATGAAAAGGAAGGGAACTTAACTTATAAGATCAATTTACTAAGAGAATGTAAAAAGGAAATAATGTGCTGGAAAGATTTTGCAGTGGAACTGAAGATAGGAAGTGTCTTATTTTGCTTTCTGTTGTTGTGGTAAATGGCATGACCATAAGCAACTCAAGGAGGAAAGGGTTTATTTGGCTTATATATCCCTGCTCACTGTCCATTATGGGATGGGTGCCAAGGCCAGTCCCTGGAGGCAGAAACTGTAGTAGAAGCCATGAAAGAATGTTGATTATTGACGTGCTCTTCCTAGCTTACTCAGTTTTCTTTATTATATACCCGAGGAGTGGCTGTACTCACAGTGGGCTGGGATGTTCCATAGCAATCATTAGTCAAGAAACTGTTCCACAGACTTGCCTGCAGAAAAATCTCTCTCACCCGCCAGTCCTGCAGCCGCTCAGACCCAACCAAGTAAACACACAGAGACTTATATTGCTTATAAACTGTATGGCCGCAGCAGGCTTCTTGTTATCTAGTTCTTATATCTTAAATTAACCCATATCTATTAGTCTGTAAGTTGTCACGTGGCTCGTGGCTTACTGGTATCTTACATCTTGCTTTTCATGGCGGGGGCTGGCAGTGTCTCTCTGACTCAGCCTTCCATTTCCCAGAATTCTCTTCTCTCCTTGTCCCACCTATACTTCCTGCCTGGCTACTGGCCAGTCAGTGTTTTATTTATTAACCAATTGGAGCAACACATTTAGCATACAGAATACCCCACAGCACTCTATCTTGTGTCTTGTGTCATGTTGATTTAAAACAAACAAACATATGCAGGAATAAATAAGCAACATATGCAAATTTAGAGTTAATGATAAGGAACTGTAGAGAAACCATCTCAGAAATCTTTGATATATGTTGACTCAAATGAAAATGAGATTATTGCTATTATATGAGTGATTGGAACCAAGAGGGAGTGAGAGTCATGTGGTGAACTACAGCACTCAGTTATCTCTGTAAATGTAAGGTATCAAAGATGTAGATTATAATGATCTTAGGGATTCAGAAGAGATTTATTTAAATGCAGAATCATCATCTGGTTTTGAAATAATAGCTAACTTCCTTATAGGATTGTTAATTGATGAAATTCTATTTGACTGTTTCTATGCTTCACCAAATAATATAATTGTAAAAAAAGGACATACATGGTTATTTATTGAATACATAACATCTCTAATATTAAGCACTGCTCTGATTTGAGATGTAGCAAATTAGTACTTTGTAATTCTTTTGTGACAAGTTAGTTTGTTTTTTGTTTGACAATCATATCTCACAAAGTGATTTTTAATGAACTATTTTTGTAGTTGTTTGTACACACACAAACATATATATATATACATATATATATTAATTTTGAGATATATTCACACTCTTGTATCCTCCCTTTTCTTGTAGTTTGGGTTCACATATATTCTGAAAAGCATTTACCAAAAAGACACATACACTGCAAAAAGGAAATAAAGTCTAAATGTCTAAATAGTAATCCACATATGTGTCCGTTGAGGAGAATCTTTATACAATGTCATTCTGCACATGAATACCCGAACTGATAAAATTTGAAAACTATAATACGTAAATCACTTACCTCTTTGAAGTTTTAAAGTTGACTGGCAGTGCAGAAATTAGAATACGACATGGAGAACATGAATAGCTCTTATAGTATTGTTTCAATGTCTCTTAAATGTTTCATTAGAGATATGTGCTGACCCATTCAGCTATCAACTTCAATAAAGGAAACGCCTCCTCATGTCATGATTTCTTCCTGAAACCACAGATCAGATTTCTTTTAATCAGTTAACAATCTCACATAGGTATATATGCTTTTCCTACTGGATCATATTCTTTTGCATAATTTTAAGTACAATTTACAACTACAGTTTAATTTTGTTCATTGGATTTCTGCATGTTCCTTAGTTGTCTAAAATAAAACAAAGTAAAAGTTCATTAAAAGAAAATTAAATAGCCATTACCAAGTGATCCATGATGATTACTTTTCATAGTCTTTATAAATATATAGTCAATATTGTCATATTTGTGTTTAATTGATTATGTTTCTTGAACATTTCAGAATTTTCTAAGAAATGCCCTCAATCAAAGGTAGTTACTTTTAATTTTACTCTGAATCATTAATTTCATATTCTATTACTGGTACAAGAGTCATTAAATATCTTTTTTTAAAAAAAATTCATACAGCCTACCATCGTAAAGGAACAATCTCTTCCAAAGGAGGCCTGGGATTTGACTCCAGTGAAATCATTTTTAGCAGGTAAATTTTGTAATATTAAATTTCCATGGGACAAATACCTCAAAATATTTGAAATGCTCACAGTCTGCTCATTACTGTGCATATTCTCCAAATTTCATTGAAGAATATGAAGTAAATAAAGCAGTTATTAGTGTTAATCTGAATGTTTCAAGAAAATTATTTGCTACTTCAAGGTAATTTGTTTAAAGTTGATAACAAATCATGTATCTCCTCTTTTATATGTCTTTATTGTGATGATATATTTCTCTAAAAATATCTCATGCTTTCAAGGAGACTGAATTTTTGCCAGATCCTATAGTCAAATCAATAATATGCCTTGGTGGCACATACCTTTAATCCCAGCACTCAGGAGGCAGAGTCAGGCAGATCTCTATGAGTTCGAGGCCAGCCTGGTCTACAGAGTGAGATCCAGGACAGGCACCAAAACTACACAGAGAAATCCTGTCTCAAAAAAAACCCCCAAAAAGTATGCCTTGAGATCATCTAAGACTGTATATTCAACCTACTATCCTACCATGTACTAAGCCTGATAAACATGCCAAGAAATGCTGGAAGTAACACGTAGATGTAGATCAATGACATCTGCATATGGTTTCAAGTGCTTTTTGGGGTCAGTTGAAGCCAGCTTGAGCATATGAGACCTCAAAGCCTGCCCCCACAGTGACACACTTCCTCCAACAAGGCCACACCTCCTAATAGTGCCACTCCCTATGTGCTCTTTGAATGGGGGCCATTCCCATTCAAACCACCACAGGCAGGCAATAGGGACACATTAGTAACACACTGTAGAATCACAAATTACAGAGGGAAGACAGGGAGAGAAGCAGAAATTTCAAATTTGGGTTCACTCTTGGTTAAACTACTCCAAGAAGAAATTTCTGTTTTCATGCCTTAAAGTGACATGGGCATATTTTTCATGACCTACTCTGAGGTTTCTCTAGTCCATAACCAAGACAATTACATCGATGTTTCTATTATAAAGTCTTCTTAGATCCTAGGAAAACACCATGCAGGCCTAAAAGAGAGCTGAAAACAAAGGCCTGGTGTTTCAATCATAAGAGGGGTCAGGAAGGCAGCCAAAAAGTAAACAACTCTGAACTGTCATGGTTCCTATTCTGCTTCAAATTTAATACTGGAGGAAAAATATACCAATTATATGTTAAATTCAATAAAATTACAGTAAATAATTTGGACAGAGACTTCTTTAGCAGACTTGTTCTTTTTAATTTTTCTGTGGCAAGTCAATTTATTTTTAATTTTGACAGTCTATTTCATAGTGTTTTAAATTAACTTTTTATATACTTACATATTACATATTGAACACTTTCCACTCCTAAACTCATACCCTGGATATTCTTATAGTTTAGATTTACACACATCCCCAGAAATATTAACTAATAATTTAAAGAATTGTGTAGTATAAGAGAACCTAATGAAGTTCCAATAATAGCCAAAATGTGAGTGCATAGAGTAGTAGTTCTTAACGTTCCTAGTGCTGCCACCCTTTAATACAATTCCTTGTGTTGTGGTGACCCCCCAACCATAAAATTATGTTTGTTGCTATTTCATAACTGTAATTTTGCTATTGTTTTGAATCATAATGTAAATATCTGATATGTAGGATATCTGATATATGACTCCTGTGAAAGGGTCGTTTAACCCAGGGTTGAGAATCACTGCCCTAAACTCAAGTCTGCTCATATCACCTTCATACACCCTTGCCTACCTCTGGACATTCAGTTCTGGCTTTGTTTGTTGAGTTCCTTAAAATGCTGTCCTCTAGGACTACACTTCAAGATCTAGATCCAGATACCAACCCAGTATGAGACAGGCTAGAATCTCACATCAAATACACAGCAACAAAAGAAGCCAATATGCCAAGATCACAGTAAAAAACAAGCAATATGAAAGATCTTTCCACCTCTTCTGAAGTGTTCCCTTAGGTGAGAGAGATTTTTCTTTTTGTAGATGTATCCATTCAGACTGAGACCAAAAACTTTGCATTCTGATTGGTTATGGTTTTTATGTAGTGGTCTCCATCTGTTGCAAAGAGAAGTTTTGTTGATGAGGGGTGAAGACTGCACTTATCCTTTGGGAGTGATTGTCAATTGAGATAGTTTCTTGGTTAGGGATGGGGAGCCTGTGTTCCCTTCCCTGTCTCAGTGCTGGAACATCATTTGGCTGAGACCTGGGCAGGCCTTGTGCATGCTGGTGCAGGTCTTGTGCATGAGTTTATCTGTTGGTCCTGTTGTGTCTGGAAGACAGTGTCTCCTTGTTGCTATCCCATCCCCTCTTAATCTTACAGTCTTTCTGTCTCCTCTCCCACATAGCTCCCTGAACCTTGAGGGGAGGAGTCTGGTGAGGATAATCCATTTAGGATTGAGTGCTCTAAGATTTCTCCTCTACACATTGTTCAGCTATAGACCTCTGTATTATTGATTATCTACTGCAGGAGGAAGTTCCTCTGATGTTGGCTTAACAAGACACTGATCTGTGGGTGTAGCAAATGTTGTCAGGAATCATTTTATCGCTATGTTTCTTAGCGGAACAATAGTATTGGGTTTTCCCTTAGGTCCATGGCCTATTGAGTCTCAGATTCTTAGCCACCTGAGCAGTGTTGGGCATGGTTTCCATCTCATGCAGTGGGCCTTAAATCAAATCAGATAGTTTTTGGTTATCACCAAATGTTTGTGCCTCTATTGCCTCAGTGTTATATTTCTTTGGATTGTGCTCTTATTTTGGGGAAACTTTGAGTTTGTTTTCTGGTATTGTGTTATTTTTTTCCAGTTGATATTTTTGAATTGCTCTTTCTTGGCTTGGCCAAACACCATTAGCCATGCAAGAATCCACCAAACTTTAACATGAAAATACCCATTCTCATTCATGAGGATTATTTTCTATACTAATTCTACATGAATATATATGGTCAATATCAGGTTTCCATGGAATTCACTGTTCCTCTCTTTGACATTTTTAGACACCCTAAAAGAATATCCTCTATCAAAGGTAATAATCTTTTATTTTTTCTGTATATTTAACCTCATTTTTTATGAAGTGTTCAAGAGTTACTAAGCACCATATTTCTAAACCCATACAGCCTACTCTTGAGGAAAATGATTCTGTTCTAGACAAAGTCCCTGATATAAAGCGTGGGAAATGGTTCCAAGAAAGTGAGTTAATAATATTAATCTTTATGAAACAAGTAAATATAAATTTTTGAAATGTAATTTCATTACTTATCCTATTTAAAACAAGTAGTTCCTTTTTAAAAGTAGATTCAATAATCTACCTTTTATCTTATATCTATATTCTCTCTTTTTTTCTGAGTAGATTCACAATTCTACCTTTTATCTTATTTCTATATCTTCCGTTTTTTTTGAGTAGATTCAATAATCTATTCTTTTATCCTATTATTTCTATACCTTTTTTTTTCAGAGTAGATTCAATAATCTACCACTTATCTATATCCTCTTTTTTCTTTTTTCAAACATTAACAGTTTTTAACATTGATTCTGTCCTCATATTCACAATTATCTATGTTGTAAAAATGAATATGAAGGATATTTTTTCAAATATTAATGTGCAACAATCTTTAAGTTTTATATAAACCTTTGATAGTCTCTTCCCTAGCCCTTCAATATTAACTCTCCTGATGTGACAGAACAGCTGGTAACATCTAATTTCTTTTTTTCCCATTTTTACATTTGTCACTTAGCAGTCTCTTTTACTAATTATTTTCATGGTCTTATTCTTTTTATTCTCAGTTTTCCTAAGATCACTCTTTAGGAGTCAAATCAAGCTTTACTTCCTGAAGTTCACGATTTAAACTTTTGCCAATGACTTTTAAATTTCAAGGCTAGTTCTTGCTAGGAACTTCATAAATAATTATTGAGTAAAATGAATTAAAGACTGACTGTAGAAAGATGAAGCTAAAATTATTCTCTCTAGTCCAGGAGAAAATGGTTATATATGAAGAAATAACTTATAATTAATGTTATAAAAAATGTGTTGAAAAGTGTTATCAGCATACCACAGACAGAAAATTATATCTTACTACAAAAATATAACTACAATAATAATATTTTCAAATATTATATTAAGTCTTAGGTGACAAAAGAAGCTTGTCAAAGCACCAGATAAAATTAAAATTCTAATGTAAGGAGCAGAGTGTTCACAAAATTAGGTTTGGAAGGGAATAGTAATTATTTGAAGAAAATGGCTAATTGAACTCTCAAATTTACTCTTATAAAGTAGAGAATATATTTCAATATGATTTTGTTTGATCCCACATGCTTTTTAGTTTTGTTTCTCTAAATATGTTCAGGCATGTTTGGTAGAATAATTGGGAATGGGCTTTAGTATATAGTCATGCCTTTAAGATATCATTCTTTACTGACTATGTGTATATGAGATATTGAAGCTGTTTGTAATCATGTGGATTTCCCAAGTCAGTCAATATCCAAATAACCTTAATCTTCATCAAAGTTTTTAACTGGGAAACTAGAAATTCAGTTTTCATTATTTTGGATATTCTATAGGTATATAGACTATCATTCAAAAAAGTCTTCTGAGAGTATTTTAATTATCTATATGGATTTCTCAGCAGAATCAGCTGTAAAAGTGACATCAGAGGAAGAGCAGAAATGTCACAATGGTCCTGAAAAGAAACATGGAGTGGTACATAAGTATTTACATTGAAATTTTTGTTTAAGATAATTTTCTTTGGTAAATGATGTACCACAGTGCACACAAAATTTCTCTAGACTGCTCTTAAGAATCAATAGAGTTCCAGGAATGTCGCAAAGCTACACAGGGAAACCCTGTCTCGAAAAACCAAAAAAAAAAAAAAAAAAAAAACCTTTTATTTTGATTTAATACTTTCTTATCCCATAAGAATATATATTACCTTATAAGTTACACAGCTTAAGCAAAACCCGGTCCTTGGATTTAATCCCACATTTTCTTCATTATTTTTGCACTCCAATCCTAGAAATTCCTTACATGTTAAACATCAATCAAAATACTTTTGACTAAACAGGTAAAGTTATGAGCAATATAGCAGTGTTTGCTGCTGAATTTATTTTGTGCCTACGTATTGTCATTCCCAGTCACCCAAAGTTGAGTTTAACTCAAATTTGAAATACCAGTCATCATCTGAAGTTCAGTTCTTCCTTTGTTACCTAGTAATCTCCAGTAGTCTTGCGGCAGAAAAGAAGTGAGCAGCATCATTGCCTGTTTAATCACGCTCTACAATGGAACTTGTGCTGTTCTGCTACAATGTATTGAATCTTATATGCATTTCAACAATAAAACCATTAGTATACTAAACATGGTACCCACTGACTTTCTTGGAATTAGACTACATCAAGACTCAAAGAGCATACATGTGTGCTATTATATGGTTTTATAATTTATACTAAACCATTGAAAGACTCAAGCTGTTGTAATGTAGTTATTAGTACTTGAGGCCTCTTTGCATACCTTTCAATTGTTTGGACTTTAAATAATGTGAAATTATTCAGTATTAATCAAGTGCTAGGCTGTGAGATCCTGGGGGTTGTGGTAGAAGATGGTAGTATAAGAGCAAAACAACAAAATAATAGGAAAAATAGCATAAATGTTATATATGAAGAGACTATATAGTATTAAGTTGGAAGGGTTTGTGTTTAAGTTGAGTGTGGTAGTGAGAGAGAAAATTTTTATTGCAATAATTTATTTTGGGATGTGACTGTGAGGGTCTTAACCAAAGGACAAAGAAGGGGCAATGGGAAGTGATGTCAGAGATCATGAGAAATAAGGCAACAGTGGGTCATAAATATTACTCATTTGAGATGCAACATTTTGGACTGGCCAGAAAACTTGAAGAAATAGTGTTATCCTCATCATGGTCATCTTGCAGCTTATAGAATATGGGAAATAAAGTGTGTAAATAAGAACCTGGTAAATTTTGTACACTTAGAAGAAATGTTTTTATGTCTTTATTTTAATTAATCCTTGCTGTAATTTTTTGTATTTTCTTCAGTGTGAAAGGCCTGCCTATACAACCTCATATTTACATGTTATTCAAATATATCCTAAATTGTTTTTTTCACATTTCTTCACTATTTTATATAGCTGATTTTTTTTCCATAGGAAAAATTCCTCACAAAATATTTAGGCCATTAATCCCAAATGGAGCCTCTATGACAACATTTTGTTTGGAGTAAATGTCATGTACTTTGAAGCCTCTTAGACATCTTCTTTAAACACCTGAGGCACTTCTGCCATTGAAAATGTTTTAAACATTTTGCACAGTGCTATTGCAGATTCCCCTATGGGATTAAAAATCATTATTGTAAAAGTCTTCACAGTTTTCTGAGGAGTAAATAATATTTAGGTATTCTGAAACTAATTGTTCATCAAAGTATGCACCTTGGCTACCCTCTGTCCATGGATATATCATCTTTAGGCTTCCCTGGCTTGTTCACACAGAGAACCTAAGAAAATACAACATAGTCTATATTTAGAAGACACATATAAGGGATTTATTTATTTTTCTTAATTTTCAGTACTTGCCAGTTGTATTGTGAATAATTTCTTTAAAACAGTAAAGGAAAAGAAACAGAAAATCTCTAGGTAACCCATTACCAATGCTAATTTTAACAGAATATGTTCAAGCGACCTCAGCCAACGGACATTGCATATTTATCCAAGGCTAATGACGAAAGTACAGAAAATACCGCCGAAGGCCAAGAGGAAGGTAACAACTCCATTTTATAAAAATTTCATTTGAATTTGACATGGTGGTGCAAGCCCATAATCCCAGCACTCAGAGAGAAGAGGGGAGAGGACTATTGTAAGTTTGGGATGAACCTGGTTTTACATAAGGCTTCTTTTTAAGAACTCTGTCTGTCTGTCTGTCTGTCTGTCTGTCTGTCTATCTCTGTGTCTCTCTCCTTTCTTTTCTGACCTGGGCTGCAACCTTAAGCTTCCTCATGCTCTTTACCTTTCCAAAAGTGCATGTTTCCTAAGTTCTTTGTACCTCACCTGTTCCTGTCTTTCGTTAGGGACCTGTGTAAGAAGAACAGGCCATGGGCCTGTGTTGTACTGCCCTGAAGTTTCCTCTGCCTAAGAAATTAGTCATTACTTTTTGGTTTAGCCTCATACAAATTCTCAGGATACTGGCAGAATGCTGATAGGTTCTTTGCCAAGACAGCACGTGAATGGCCTCTATCCCATGTTCTGATAGAGTCTTTATCCTCTTCTAAAACCCCATGAGCCATGCCTCTACTGCTCATGTTCTTCTCAGTGCTACTGTCTTCTGAGCTTTCACTAGAATGGCGTATTAAGCTCCTTTTGCAACGTTCAATGGCTTTTCCTGCCCAAAGTTCCCAAACCATCCACATTATTCCCACAAAGCAAAAGTCAAACCTAGAAGCCACATAGGTCTACCACAGCAACGAGCTCACTCTTGGTATCAATTCCTGTACCAGTTTCGTGTCTGTTCCTATGATTAAAATACCCAGACAAAAAAACTTAGGGGAGAAAGGGTTTGTTTTGGCTCACAGTTCCAGAGGGATTGAGGAAATCACAGTGAGAACGAAATGGCCAGAGGTAAAGAAGGTACAGAAGCAGGAGCAGGAACCCGACTGACCACATTGCAGCATATACAAACAGGAAGTAGAGAGAACATCAAGCAAAACCTGGCAATCAAACCTCAAAACTTTCCTCCAGCAAGGCTCCAGTTGTTAAATGTTGTATAATTTTCCAAAACAGTGTCACTGGATGGAGAAATATGTGTTTAAACACACAAAGCTATGAAGAATATTTCATAATCAAACCCAATTGCATAGACTTCTCTTTTTAAACCATTTATTTATTTATTTATTTATTTATTTATTTATCTATTTCATATATTACATCCTGACCACTGTTTCCCCTCCCTCCTGTCCTGCCAGTCCATTCTCCCCATCTCCCTTCTCCCCCAGATCCATTCTTCCTCTGCTTCACTTCAAAAAAGACCAGGCCTCCCAGGGATAGCAACCAAGCATGGCATAACAAGTTACAATAGGACCAGGCACAAGCCCTCATATCAAGACTGGATGAGGCAACCCAGTAGGAGGAAAAGGAGGAATCTGGCAAAAGAGTCAGAGACAACCCCTATCCCACTGTTAGGAGTCCCACAAGAAGACCAAGCTACACAACCAAAACATACATGCAGAGGGCCTAGGACAGACCCATGCAGGTTCCCTGATTGTTGCTCCAGTCTCTGTGAGCTCCTATGAGCCCCAGTTAGTCAACTCTGTGGGCTGCGTTTTTTTTGTGGTGCATAGACTTCTCTTAAAGGAAATGTATAAAAGGTCCGTTCTCTAACAGTTTACAATATAACTGAAGGAAAGGAAAGCCTAGATGCTGCTCTTACTTCTGAGCAGAGCACTAGCCAGAGAGAAGGGAGCCCAGTGAGGGCAGACAACACATAGAATTCTGTGAGGTTTCTGGGATAAGGAGTTCATTGTGTCTGTATATTTTGAGAAGGGTTATTTCATGATTCTGCAAATGCAATCACTCATGGAGAGGATAGGAACTTTTATCCTTCAAAAGTTTAAAGGCTACTAATCTGGAATATACTTTGACAAAAAGTATGCATGCTGGCATGACATAGAAGGAAACAGAGTTAATGAGAAAGAATTGTCTTTGGACAATTCTATTTTAGTACTTCTTGTGAATTATTTGTAGCTGAGGTTCACATGCCTCCTGATAAGTGAACTGAAATAGTTAGATGTGTAAACTAGAGAGGAAAAAACACAGAAATGCAATCCACAAACAAAACAAAAACAAAATAAAAAACAAATGCATTCATGTATATACTGATATGGAATATTTTCCTGTACCATCACCTGTCATAAATGTCCAACCTTATAAATTCTTTAATAAGAAAATACTGGTTCATGCTATAGTAATTGGTTTCAAGGGAGATGTATATCTTTTTTTTTTTTCTTTTTCGAGACAGGGTTTCTCAGTGTAGCTTTGCGCCTCTCCTGGAACTCACTTGGTAGCCCAGGCTGGCCTCGAACTCACAGAGATCCGCCTGGCTCTGCCTCCCGAGTGCTGGAATTAAAGGCGTGCGCCACCACCGCCCGGCTGAGATGTATATCAATGTTCCTGATGAGATCCTGACAGAACAATCAAAGTAAAATCCTATCAAGATCAAAACTTAAAGTAACCATTTCAAAAGATAGATATAAAAAGCACCTTTTCACAGTAATCTTAATGAAAGTACAGTCCATTTTATCATATTTATGCATAATTGATTATATGACTCTTTGGCATTATAGATTCCCCAGAACAACATCTTCAATGGAAGGTAACTCCTTTTATATTTTGTCCTGAATCATTAACTTCTTTTCATGAAATATATGAGTTATTGTCTATTTGTTTCTAAGTCCATGAAGCCTACAACTGAAAGAAGAGATCCTGTTTCCAGTGAAGGATCAGTAGTGAAGTATGTGAAATCTTTCCTCACAGGTAAATATTGCCATAATTTATGAACTGAGTAGCTCAAAACATTTGAAATGCTTTCCTCCTTCTTGTTTCTATGCATTCATTCCTCTAATTTCATGGAAGGATTTGATGTAAATAATGAAAATATTGCTAAACATTGTTTCCTTAGCTTGAAAATATTCAGAAGTTACAAACTTCGGCTTAGAGATTTTGAATCTTAAGTCTTAGTAACAGAGTCATTTCTGCATCCCCGTGGTCCCCAGGGATTACTTGCAGTCAGTTATGAAAGACCATCATGTTTTCAAAATTTGCTAGTTGCTAGAGTGGGGTTACAGTGCTTCACACCTGTGTACTCAGCTGCCTGGGATGTTACAGCAGATACTTCCTATGAAACTATGAGTCTGGAGTGATCCAGAACTTACGTAACATATTCCTGCACAGTACATGTACCAATTACACTCATTAGTTGAACTTGGACATACAGTCAACTGATTGTATCTATGAATTGATGTATTGATTAATTTAGTGCCTTTAGTCTATCATGGTAGAGGGTCTGTAGTAAGGATTCATATACTATAATATGGTAAGCTATATTTTCCTAATATGTAAGTATCATTGAAAAGCAAAACTGGAATCAAAGAAATCATACTGAATACTACTTTCTACCTTGTCAGAATAACATGGTAAACATCAGCTAGGCATTTCCTTCAGTCCTTACTCTTACCTTTCAATACCATGTTCCATTGTGTGTTAGTGGAATATCTGCATAGTTCCATGAGATTTATGTGTGTTCCATATACCTGACAACTTCTACCCTCCATCTGTACCACGTATTGAGGCTTTTGGTAGTTACTCATATCTTCTTAATTTGTAAATATCTATTTTAAATTTTATTTTTGAGATTATAATATAATTACAATGTTTCTCCTTTCCCTTTCCTTCCTCCAAAATCTCCTATATACTCCTCCCCATTCTCCAATTTTATAGCCTCTTTTCTTACTAGTCAGTTTTGCATGGATTAATGTATATATGCATATATGTATAAATACGAATATAACGTGTTCAGTCCATATCATGATACTTGTATATGTGTTTTCAGGGCTGACCAGTTAGACTGGACAACAAATTGGTGTGTTCTTCCCTTAGGAAGACCATCTCCCCTGCTCCCAGCTTTCCTTAGTTGCCTGTAGTTCTTTGTGTAGGGTTGAGGCCCCGTGGTCTTTTCTCTGTGTAGTTTTGAGTGTTCATTGGTGTCACCCTTGTTCAGCTCATGTTTAGTCAACCATGTTGGTGAAACTCTATACTGTAGCTTCTGTTGTTACTATGAGACCCAATCTCACAGCAACGTCCCCGATCCTCTGGCTCTTACAATCTCTCCATCCCCTCCTGCAATGTTCCCTGAGCCTTGGGTATGGGACTGTTTTGTAGATGTTCCCATTGGGATGGGTTATAAAAACTATCATTTTTGTCAAACTTTCTTTAAAGTTTTTAAACTAATTATATTACAGCAGAGCCAACTATAAAAGCATCAGAAGGAGAATGGCGTAGTGGCAGAAACATCCAAAGACAGGTACATGAATATTTAAATGAAAACCTTTAAAGGCCACCGTTTACACTGGTAAACAGTGCACCAGGAGCCACATGAAAGTGCCATTGTCCTTGCCCTAGAGAACCAATGGATTATTTAATTTTCAGTTTTAACACCCTCCTAAGTACTTAAGCAGACTGGTGTAAGTTAAGTTAAAGAATGCTTCTAGATTTTTAAAATGTTTTCCATTATTTTTGATATTTAAAAAGTTATACCAGGTTTGAGACTTATTATTAAGTTGTAGATGTTATGAACAGTATCAGAGTGCTAACCCCAGGATTTGATTCATTCTAAAGCGCTATCTTTTCTAGTGATTCAAAATTTGATGTTGCCTATTACCACTCAGTACTGCCAAGGTTAAGCTTCAGTTATTTATTTTGGTCTTTAGTGTTCTTACTTGTTTCTGCCATGGAGGAGAATAGACTGTATAATTAATCCCAGTACCCATAAAGAGAGTGATTCCTTCCAGAATAGAGACTTTGGTGTTCTGTAGGCAAATTAAAAAAAGTTTTCAATAAAGAAATTCATTAAATATAGTACTGCAGTAGACTGACTTTACCTAGCATTACAACATATAGTGATTGCAGATAGCCCTGAAAATTTACACAAATGCATGCCACCACATGGATTTATAATTTATAGGAATTTTATCAGAATATGCTATTGAAATGTAGCAAATTGTGCTTTGCTCCCTGTAGGCATTTTATGTTGGATAATTTCTAGTTACTGAATATCAAGCACTAAACTGTTGAACACTGAACATAGTAAATTAGGTTATATGCTACAGTTTAGGAGCAAAATGTCTAAATAATTAGTGAATATTATATGTGAAATTCCCCACTGAGAAAATTGATATGAATAGATAGAATGATAGTGAGTGTTGTATTCGACATGTGTATCAGAGTGAGAGTTGAAATGCTTGCTCAGAAATGATCTTTGTGAGTGTGAAGATTAAGTTGCCTCCTGAAGAAGACAGAGAAAAGAACCATGACAAATTCTAGCAAGAAGACAAGGGAGCAAAGAAAGCAGTGGTCCACATCTATGTGTTACTTAAATTGGAACTTCCTGGTTTTCCCCGAAGCAAGGTGGAATATTACCTTCATGATTGTTTTTAATTCTCATATTGTACGGACAACACAGTGTAAAAAAGGAACTGGCACCTTATCCACGCTTAGTGAAAACATGTTTCTCTTTGCTATATTAAGAATTGTTATTGTTCTGTAGCTTTGATTTACTTGTAAAAACCTATAGGTGATAGCTAATGTTTATATATTTGTATTCAGTCATAACAAAACTTTTGTATCAATCTTTTTTTTACAACTAGCTTTTTCATCAGTTAAAAAAATGACCCAAATATTTACTACTTTAATCACAAATGGAGTAACTACTCCAAAGTTTTGTTTGAACCAGCCCCATATTTCTTCTTTAGATGTGAAAAATATTGAGGTCATTGGAACTGTTCATAAGTAATGGCATTGTATGACTGACTGGTACACAGGTCATAATTTGATGATATATGCATTTAAAACCCTTGTGTAATTTGTGAGGAATGGAAATAATTGATATTCTGAAATTAATTCCTTGTTTAATTATGAACATTGGCTTCTCTAATGTCTATGCACATGTCTCCTCTGAAGTTCCTTTGTCAATTTTTATAATCAGAGACCCAATGAGGTGAACAATGCTTAGAAAATACATACATACCAATTAAAATTTAGTTTTTCAATTTTGCTTCTTCTAATTTCAATCTAATTACTTTTAACATAGAAAACTGAGGTAATTTCTGAGAAAGTAATTAAATTTGTGCGATTCACTACCGATACTAATTTTAACATTATATCTTTAAACAACTTTGACCAAAGGGCATTGGCAATTTGTCTTTGGCTGAAGATCAAAGATACAGGAGCACAAGACATGAGGAGGAGAGAGGTAAGAACTCTATTTACAAACATTACTTGACCACATGCTTGTTTACAGGGAATATTGAGCTGTTTTCCCAGTGAAAGAAAATTGTTTCTTAAATAATTATTAAGGAATAGGATATTTTCAGTGGCAATAATTATATCTTATTTTTTCCAAGCAAGTTAACTTGAGAATATCACTGAGAAAGTGAAATGATGAGTTAAATTATGAAGTAAGGGTTCTGGGGAACAAGAAGGAATAGTGAAATTAAGAGAGAGAGAAGGCCTGGGAATAAGGCTCAGTGAGTTAAAGCATGGGCTATTAAGGCTGGAGTTAGACCCAGGAACCCAGGTAGTGGGAGGAAAACTGACTCTTGGCAATTGTCCTCTGACGTCCACACTCACTCAGTGGCACAAGACATTCACATGCTTCCACATTCAAAGTAGATCAAGTGTAATAAAAAATGGAAGAAGAAAGAGTATAGGAACCAAATTAAGTAAAATAAAGCAGGAGTATAGAGGAAAAAGCATGAAAAAAAACTTTAGATAATGAATGATGGTATCAGATCTGTGGGAAGACTCTAGTGTGAGCTGATTATACAAATGCTGTGTAAGTTTGTACAAGGTTCACTGGGGTAAAGCGCTCCCAGTGAACCTTGTCTTCTTGACCTCAGGGAAGCCATTAAGGATTAAAGCAATGAGACATAAAGGTCTGCATTTGATTTACAATAGATAAGTCTGAGCACTGTGCTAAGCCCTGTATTTGAATAATTTTCATCACATAGTGTTAATACTTTTCATAGTGTTACCACATAAGAAAAAGAAAAGTACATTAGGTATGAGAAAATATAGATTATTTATGCAGTGTTAAGAAATGACAGAATTGGCCCAAAGCCTGATTATTTATTTACTATTACATTAAAATCATTTAAAAATTTTTCATGCATTATATTTTTATTGTATTTTCCTTCTCCCAAGTCTTCCCAGATTCTCACCACCTCCATACCCATTCATGTTCTTTTCTTCTCTCAAAAAATAAAACCCTAAACACAAAACAAAACAAAAAACCCCAAAGATAAAAAAACACCAAACCATAACAAAAAAGGACACACACATACACACACACACACACACACACACACACACACACACACACACACACACATACACACACACATACACACACATTCCTCAACCAACCAAACAAGCAAACAAAACCATGGAATCTATTTTATGTTGGTCAACTATTTCTGGGATGGGACCTATCCTGGAATGAAATTGATGACATTGGAGAAAACTGATTTTTTCCCCCTATCACAGCAATACCAATTGCAAATCGCTTCTTGTTTAGGGGTGGGACTTTGTGTCCACTTCTCAGTGTTGGATTTTGTTTAATTCATGCTGTCGCAGTCTCTGTGCGGTGTTCACAAATGCCAAATCCTCTTTAAAGGGTTATGGTACCTTATGTCATTTCAATTTGGGAGACCTTATAGGGAAAAATAGCTTTAGGTTTTAGCTTCTAGAGTCTAAAAAATCAAGTTATGGTAATGGAATATGGACTACTTCATAATGATCAGAATTTTTACACCTTTCATGTGCAGTTTGTTGGGAGCTATGTTCAAAATGCTAATTGTGGTGAGAAGTTCTGGTCCTCATTTTGAAGTTGTCATGTGGTGTGGATGCTGCCAGAGTTCTGAACTGAATTTTAGTGACAATTACATAGACATCTTTCTAAAGATGTCCAAATAACCACTGGGTAATGATCCAGCACACAGAAAGGACAGAAGAAAGCAGAGACTTTGCTATTAGTCTTCATTCTTTTCCCAGCCAATGGAAAAGAATACAGACAGGCAAACATAAAATAATTTGTCTGTTTCTTGAATAATAATCTCATATGCCTCCAAGTGTTTTTTAGGATTTTAATTCCAAGTTTGAAGTTACTATTGTTAAGCTGAGAGGAATGGAAGTTGTCAGACACATTCATTTAAAATGTAGAAATGAAAAATAAAAAGGTGAATGATGTGGAGAATATTTTCATAGAAAGGTCAACCAGGTAGACAGAACAAGGAGGGGGAAATCCCCTGTACATTCAGTCACAGATGAGGAGCTTGAGAGAACTCAGCTCATTACACTTTCATATACTTCCCTCTAAATTAAAGTCTAGACTATTATTGGAAGGAGAGTGAATGGAAAACCATGGCGAGTGGCAGACACTCAATTCTCCACTCAATCACTTGGAGGCAGCAAAGGCCATGGTTACCTTAACCTCTCACTTTCAGTGGGATACATGCGAAAGAAGAAGCCAATTTGTAGAAACACAGGCTGTTTGATATAATCTAGTGATAAGTTACATGATACACCAATCGTTGGAATAGTAGGGCTGTCTTGTATAAACATGGCTTACATTTCACATGGAGCACTTTAGTAATCTCCCATTCTCCCATAAAAGTCAAGCTTCTTTAAACTTTGGCAATCATTCAGCACTAACAGCTTCTTATTCCTCATGTGGATTAGGTTTGCATACTATTTCCAAAGTGCTCACTAAGAACTTAATTAAGATGTGAAAACTAGAGGAAACCCAGAAATATGGTCCTAAAAATAGTTCACAAACATGCAAAAATGAACAATTCTATGTACTATGTTTTCATGAGTGCATTCAATGTGATTGACTCAGAAACTTCATTGAAATAATTCTCCTTTCTCTAAATATTGGTGCTGCTTTGAGCTTCTAAACTTTATCAAAAATGAGGACACAGAGAACTCACATTCAATATTGGCATGAATGATATGGAAATATCTTGCTAAAGAGCTATTCTGTTTCTTGCTACAGTCAGAGCGGAATTATTATTTTTGGGTCACGATATCATCCCATAATCACAGTTTCATTTAGTTTTCCAACACTTAGGAATGCCATACTGATGTAGGTTGTTTTTACTCAATTAGAAGAGAAAAACAAAAGAGGTGCCCCCAACACTAAAATTAATAATATTTTGAAAGTTAACCACCAGGAATATTTTTTTGCTAGTAATTCTGTATGGGAAGTATGTTTAACTTTATCATGTTTACATATAATTAATTATGTCTCTGACTTTTTAGACTCTCCTGAAGACTATGCTCAATTGAAGGTAATAAGTTTTAGGTTTTTATCTTACATCATTAAATTCATACTATTTGAAATAAGCAAGTGTTACTTTAAAAAAGATGTATGTATTTTTGTGTATCCACCTGAGGGTGTATGTATTTATTTTTGTGTATCCACCTGATTGTATGTGTGTATGTGTGTGATTATGTATATGCCTATGCCTGCATAGAGGCCATAAAAGGGCACTGGTCCCTTTGAGTTTACATGTGTTTGGTGGATGCTTGACTTGTTACATGGGTATCAGATTCCCAACTTTGGTCCTCATGGTTGAACAGCAAATGCTTTTAACCACTAAAGCCATTTAAGTGTCTTGTTTTAAAACCCATACAGAAGAAAACTCCTCTTCTGTGTGAAGCACCAGCAATGGAAGAAGTCAAAGCATTTGACCCAGGTACATTCTGCAGTTCTGGGAAGATGCTTCAGAACAGAAAGTGCGCATGGTCTTGTGATTTCCATCCTCTGCCCTTCAACTTTTATGTGAAAATTTGGTACAAATAAAGTATCACTGTTTGGATTATCTTTCCAAAAAGCTATTCAGTAACAACATAATCTCTTCAGATTTGTAACTATAACTCAAATATTTCATCTTATGTCTTAGTACCCCAACACTCTCATTTTCAAATCACTATGCTTTTTTTTGCTGTGACTCCTTTAAATTTTATTTTATTTAATTAACATTTTCATTCATTTTACCTACCACAGTTTCCCTTCTCTCTTCTCCTCCCTGTCCCCTGCCTGATTCCCTTCTACCTCCCCTCCCTTCTACTCCTCCTCTGTTTCCATTCAGAAAGGGGCAGACTTCCCATGGACTTGAATGAAGCATCACCATGCTTCTTATGGAATAGCTGCAGTTGTATGTAAAAGTCCAAGGATTTTACTATAGATAGAGTTTTTCTGTGTCCTGGCAGTCACTCCCAAATAACTGAAAAGAAGTTTAATATTCATTAAAATGCTTGCCCAATAGCTTAGGCTTGTTTTTAGCTAGCTCTTATAACTTAAATTAACCCATTTCTATTAATCTTTGTGCTGCCATGTGGCTCATGGTTTGTTACCTCGTTTTGTACATGTCCTGCTTCCTTTCCATCTGGCAATTCCTCTGACTCCACCCTTCTTCACTCCTAGCATTCTCTCTGCCCCCCAAATCCTGCCTAACCATCAGCCAACCAGCTTTTTTTATTAACAATGGGAGCAATATATATTTACAGTGTACAAAGATTGTTCCACAGCATTTTGCAAAATTTGAGAATATTGTTTCTAGTAGTACTTGCTTAATAATGGTGTAGAGACTAGAATTTTCTTGATATCCATATGTATGAGGTATTCCGAGCTATCTGATAAGTTCATGTGCATTAAGAATTCAAAGTGTGCTTATTAGTTGCACTCAGATACATAATCTTTTGGTTATCTTAATCTAATTTGATTTCTTTTTTAAGAAAAAGTTTATTTTATCAAAATGTGGAAAAGATGAGGCTACCACATATGGTACAGTTACAAGAATCTAAGTAAGAGTGGGTTCTATTCAGTTTCACAATTTGCTAGTTTCTCCTGGATAGTGCGGTGCTTAATAGACAGGAGTGAATGAGTGTGGGTTTAGATGATATAGAAGCAAGATTATTTTCAGTCAGGATTGTAAACTTGCATTGGCCTCTACACTTCTGGGGAAATATGGAATTGTTCAGTCTAAGATTTTAACTGAGAAATAAAAAGTACAACAAAGCCCAAAAATATGCAGCTCCTGGCTACAGGTACAGAAATCTGTATCTAGTTGGATCAGGGGTTTCCTATTCTTTTATTAGGATGATTCCAGAAGGATTTAAATTTTGGCTAAATAAAGCCTCCATTTTTTCTTCATTGAACAATGGAGAAAAAGTCAGGGCAATTTCTTTTTCTGTTCCTACTTTGCATCCAAAGAGACCTTTTGCTGCCCAGTATGTGTTACTAGAAAGAAGTATTTGCTCAATGTACTGGCTCGCAGTCTTTTATTTATTGTTTTTGAGACTGGGTTGTACTGTGTAGCCCTGGATGTCTTGGAATTTACTATGTAGACTTAAACCCTCAGAAACCCATTGCATCTGCCTCCCAAGGTCTAAGATAAAAGCAAGTGCCATCATGCCTGGCTTCACTAGGATGCTGGGTTCATAATTATTGTCTCTATGACACTCTTCTACATACATTTTCTTTTCATTACAAAATTGTTCTCTGAGAAGCAAGTGTTATCTTGCAAGACTTCTCTGTTGTGGTCTAAGGTCATACATTCAGTGGAAAATATGGTAGAGTTCAGCTTTATTCAGGCTTGTATGTCTTCATCTAATTTGTCTTTTAGTCAATAGACTCTTGAACTTATCGCCCCTGGTCAATTATGGTAGCAGGTCTATAACTGGAACTAATGTACAGGGTTTTGTTTTTTATTTTTGTGAAACTGGGTCTTACTGTGTTCACAGCTATCCTAAAACTAACTATATAGACCAGGTTGGCCTTGAACTCACAGAGGTCCATATGCATCTGCCTCTTGAGTGTTGGGAATAAAGGCAAGCACCATCTGGTCTTCCAATAATACAATTTTAAAAATAAAGCATACTCAACTGATTTACTATTGATTGTTATAATTTATTTTTATATTATCAGTTACTTAAGTAATGCCCTTAGTCAGATATGATACCAAATCTGTAACAGGGGCCTCACATTATATATATATATATATATATATATATAAATATTACACTATACTTTCTAGTTTTTACTTTAATCTGCAGTATTAATTTTATTCTTTAATTTAGAAAATATCCAGAGACCTCCAAGAATTGTTACTACCAGTTTTAATTCCAAATCCTTATACTTATAATGTTGATACATCTACCTATTGTCTTCATTTGTTTATTTTAATTGGTTTGGAGAATGAATCTAAATCCACAGATATGTTACTCACATATCATATTAGCAGGGTAAACTGTAATCCTTCATATTGTTTCTTGAACATGGTTGTGTTGGTTAGTTACTGTGTCAACTTGTTACAAGCTGGATTCATTGGGGAATAGGAAACCTCAGTTGAGAAAGTACCTCTATCAGATTGGCCTATAGGCAAGTTCTGTGGGGGCATTTTCTTGATCAATGATTGCATTGGTGCCACCCTTGGGAGGGTGGCCCTGTGTTGTGTAAGAAAGCAAGCTGAGTAAACCAGTAAGCTGTGTACCTCTACAGTCCCTTTGCTTCAGTTCCTGCTCCCAGGTTCTGCTGTGAGTTCCTGCCTTGGTGATAGAGTAGGAAGTATAAGCTGAAATAGATCCCTCCTCCACAGGTTGTGCAATCCTAGTTATGGAAGGAAAACCAGGATAAGTAGAGAGGCAATAGAGATAAGTGTCCGGTGTGATTTCATTTGATTTTCTTACATTTCAGTTTTGCTCTTATTGGTGTGTCCATTTTTTTAGTAGAATAATTTGTGAATGCATGTTTGAGCTGTATACAGGCCTTATTCATGGAATGACTCATTGTAGAAGTGACATATTGGAGCTTCTGGTAGTTGATGTATTTCCTAAGTCAGTGTAGGGCCAAGAACACTGCAAACAGCTGCAGCAGCAGCAGCAGCAGCAGCAGCAGCAGCAACAACAACAACAAATGACAGTAATCAATATACATCTTTCAAAATAATGTTAAATATTAATGAATTCAATTTCCCAATCAAGAGACACAGGTTAACTGAATGAATTAAGAAACAAACTCCATCTTTCTGCTGTCTACAAACTCAGTTTACCTTCAAATATACATGATGTCTTAAAGTAAACAGGTAAAGATTAGGGTATTCCCCCCCTCCCAACTCCTCAGATCCTCTTTACCTCTCTACCTACCCAATTTTATGTTCCCTCATTCTCAAATTAAAAAAAATCAAAATAAGCAAACAAAGAAAACCAGTAAGACAGAAAAATGGCCAAAATAAAACTAAACCAAATAAAAGCACACACCAGAAAAACACGGAGTTCATTTTGTGCTGACTCCTGGGCATGGGACTTTCCCTGAAGTGTGGTTGTCACTCCGGTGTCATGCCATTTGAGGGACTGATGTTCCCTTTGTCAGAAGGTATCGATTGCAAATAGCTTCTTGGTTAGGGGTGGGGATTTGAGTCCACTTGGTCTTTGTAGTTCTGGGATTTTGTCTGGTTTGAATCTTGCAGGTCCCGTGCATGCTGTCACAGTCTCTGTGAGCTCATCTGGGTTTCAGTCATGTTGTGTCTGGAAGATGCTTTTTCTCTGGAACCATCCACCACCTATGGCCCCTATAATTTTTCTATTTCCTCTTATGCCTAGATCCTTGAGTACTGAGGGGAGGGGTTTGACAAAGACATCCCTTTCAGGACTGAGTGCTCCAATGCCTCTCACACCTTGTGCACTGTCTAGCTGTGGTTCTCTGTGCCATTTCTCATCCTCTGCAAGAAGAAGCTTCTCTGATGAGGGTTGATCTATGGCTACTTCAATGTCCTTAGGAGTCATTTTATTGCACATTCCTTTAGCAGAGAAGTACTAGTAGCTTTTTCTCTTAGACCCATGACCTATGTAATCCCAGACTCTTGGACCCTTTAGCAATTCCATCTTATGGACTGGGCCTTAAACCCAGTGAAAAGTGGTTGGTTACTCTCATAACTTTGATGCCACGATTGCACCAGTATATCATGCAGGCAGGTCATTCATGTTGCCGGGTTTGTAACTGTGTGATATTGATGAAATAACTTCTCCTCCACTGCTGTGCCTCAATCAAAGTTCCTAAATTAGTAACTAAATATCCATTTTGTATTACCACTAATTATTAGCTTTCTTCTCTATATTATTATAAAGCCTACCTCTTTTATCAAACTGTCTTTGTAGTTTATTTTAACTAATATTTTATTTGAACTAATATGGATTTGTCAGAATCAGATGCACGCTTGTCCTCAGAGGAAGAGGAAGAATGGCCTGATGACAGTGAAGGGGAACACCTAAAGGTACATAAATATTTCAACAAATTCTCTTTTTTAAGATTTTCACTGGCAAATGTTGAACCTATGGGTCATATGAAGTTAGTGTTTTACTTCCATGAAGAATCAATAGATTGTGATTTAATATTTAATCTCAACTATGTAGCTAGGCAATATGCTAGTTTTAGAATCAACAGTGCCGTAAAATAAACCTTATCCTTGGATTTGTTCCAATTAAAAATCATTTTTGTGTGTTTTTCAGTTCTTTAATGTCTTCACATGTTAAAGACAGTCAAATTTGAATTCTATCAGTCAGAAATTAAGTTTTGAGCAGTATAACGGCAATTTCCCCTGAATTTAATTCATGCTAAGGAGTTACTATCTTAGTGACTCAAAATTTGTACTACCTGTTGCTAATCAGTATTTCACAGCTTCAAGTTTCCATCCATCGTTTGGTTCTTCAGTTGTTGTCAGTGTCTCTGTTATGTGAGAAACATGTAATCAGCCCTATTACCTATAAGGAGAATAATAAATCATAGAAAGTGGCTTTTGGTGTTATCCTCTAAAGAATAAATTTTAGGGGCTGGAGAGATGGCTCAGAGGTTAAGAGCACTGGCTGTTCTTCCAGAGGTCCTGAGTTCAATTCCCAGCAACCGCATGGTGGCTCACAACCATCCGTAATGAGATCTGGTGCCCTCTTCTGGCCTGCAAGCCTACATTGTAGGCAGAATACTGTATACATAATAAATAAATAAATCTTTAAAAAAAAAAAAAAAAAAAAAAAAAAAAAAAAAAAAAAAAAAAAAAGAATAAATTTTAAACTTGTCTGTTGCTAGAGTTTTCCTGCCTGGCCCACAGTCAGGACAAATCTCTCTCACCCGCCAGTCCCAAGCCGCTTAAACCCAATCAAATAAACACAGAGACTTATATTGGTTTCAAACTATATGGCCGTGGCAGGCTTCTTGCTAACTGTTCTTACAGCTTAAATTAATCCATTTCTATTAATCTATACCTTGCCACGTGGCTTGTGGCTTACCGGTACTTTACATCTTCCTTGTCCTGATGGCGGCTGGCAGTGTCTCCTCTCTCAGCCTTCCACTTCCCAGTTTTTTCTCCTCCTTGTCCCGCTTATACTTCCTGCCTGGCCACGGGCCAATCAGTGATTTATTCATTGACCAATCAGCAACACATTTGACATACAGACCATCCCACAGCACCTCCCCTTTTTCTTTTCTTAAAAAGGAAGGTTTTAACCTTTACACATCTCCAAAGTCAGCTTGGTATATTTGGGAATTTGGGCGTAGCTTCTCTTACTACTTCCTGCTGGAGGGGGGCGCTGTATCTTATGGGGACACAAAGAACATTTTAGGATTATGGAGTAGTCCGTGAGGCTGTATCATCTGAGCCAGTTGCCTTGAAACGGTTCTGGATGTTGGATCATCTGGGCCATGGTGTCATCGGAGACCTTTCAGGTGGTCTTGGCTGGTCAGACCTGATGTGTCTTAATCTGGAACAAATCCATAGCCTCTTGCTTTCTGTGGAAACAAAAGAGACTCTTTTCCAAAGCAACATATCCTTACATCCAAATTTTGAAGTCAAAGTATCTTTAAAATATACATACTGGTTTAACTCAGCTTCCTTTACAATCAAATATCTCTCTGTAGTTAAGAATCCCAAAGACAACACAATCCAGACTCTCTGTGTAATAGTCATCTCTACGTGGCTTATTTTTTATATTAATTTTACTGTTTCTTTAAAGACTTTATTTTTTAAAACCATGTATTTGTTTCTATACTGTACTTGTCTTTGTTTCAAGGACAAGAGTCAGCAAATATAATGAACGATGTTACTCCTTCACTTTACTTGGTGTTAGAACATGTCAGGACTGGACAGTGGAACAAGAATACATAAATGTATGCTACCTTGTGGATCTTGTATAAAACTGTTGAAGGAATATACTAATGGAATAGAGCATGTAGTATCCAAGGCTTCTTTATACACATTTTAATTTCTTTGACCTCAAATAATTTGTGGGTTTCCAATATCAATCATGTATGAGGGTGTTAAATGTAGAATGTGTCACATGAGTATGTAGACAGTATTTTAATAGTCAAACAAGTAATGAGAAAACAACATCTGTGTTCCAGCTGGAGAATACATGTAATGCTTGGTTGGAGAATGTTGCAGGGGTGAGTATGGTGATGAAAGCAGAACCTGTACTCAGAGAAAAGTCTTTCTGAAGGCGACTGTGAAGCTCCAACCAAAGGAGGGAGAGGGAGCCGTGAGAAAGTCCGTTTGGAAAAGAGAACAGTAGATCACATCAGTCCACTGGTTGAGACTTAGCATCCTGGATGGTACAGGACGCATTGAGTAATAGAACCATCATTACAGTCATTTCATTTATCATATTCTATGAAAAATAAATTTCACAAGTAAGAAACTATAATATGGTTTGCCATATTTTTGAAGTTCTCTCTTAATTGGGAAAGAACCCTATATGATATCTAATATTCCTTGTCTTTATTTAGATAATCTATGGAAAAATTCCCATATTAATTTATCACTTTGTTCCACTAGCTTTCTTCTTCATAACATTTTTTTCCCCAGGATACCTAAATGGGGAAGCTCCTATAAATCTTTGTTATACTCAGCATCACATACTTTGAAGCCTCTCTTTATAGTTCTTTAGACACAAAATGCTTCTGTCATTGGAAATGTTTTGCATCATTAATGATATCATAAAACAAAATTCTTCTAAATTATAAAAGCACTTTGTAATTTTCCAAGGGGATAATATTTTGGTATTCTGAAGTTCATTCTTCATTTAAGCGTGCACACTGGCTATGTTAACGACTATAAATCTATATCCTCTGGGTCTCCATGATTAGTCTACATGGTCAGCAACTCTCTGAAGATAAAACATAGACATTATTAAGAAAACATATTTGATGATTTTTAAATTTTTATTCATTTTAAAAATTTTTCAGCATAATTAATTTAAAAAATAGGAATTGAGATATTGTCTTGGAAAGTGTTTAGTGATCTCTATGTATAACTTATTTTTGATAGTAGCTTCAATAATATATGATTAAGTGGCACATTTGTTCACAGCCAAAGTGCAAAGAAGAGAAAAATATCATGAACCTCCAAGACATCCATACTTCTACCTCCTCAATGATATTATCAATATAAATGGTTTAAAACTTGATAAGATATGCAGTCATGGTCAAATAAAATCTTAGTGAATATTCAATAGATAACTGTGGGGATAAGGAATGACTCAAGTCTCCTGCTTTAAATATACATTTTCCAATGAAGTGCATTTCCTTCCTTCCTTTCTTTCTCCCTATCTTCCTCCCGTCCTCCTTCATTTCTTTGGTCTTTCCATCTTCATTAAATTGTGTTTCCATTCATGATTGTTTTATTTTCAATTAATTTTAAAATAGAAATTGAATTTTTTTTGAAAATTGATTAGGAAATCTCTATGCAACTTAATATTGACACTAATTTAAAAATATGTTTAAGCAACCTCAAGATGCACATTTACCCACGCAAGATGAAAAAGGAGTAAATGTCATGAGTGGCCAGAAGAAAGGTAAGAACTCTATGTTATTAACAATTCCATTCAAGAGGCTCAGGGAGATTTCTCATTGCTTAAAAGCATTTCCTACTCAAGTTGACAAACCAAGTTTGATCCCCAGAACCCATGTAAAAGTCCCAATGTGGTGGTGCACATCTGCAGCAAAATGGGAGAGAGAGATAGAAGAATCAACTAGTATTTTACAGGCCAGCTAACCTCTAGTACGTTGTGCTGAAAAAGAAGGGAGACTTTGGCTCAAGGAGGTGGAAGATGAGAAGAAACTGAGACCTCTGACTTCAACATGTGCTCATGCACACCACACCACACACACACACATGCACATGCACACGCGTGTGCGCGCGCGCACACACACACACACACACACACACACACACACACACCACATCTCCCATATGCACACGCACACATACACAAACACATACTGTAAAAAATTTAAAAATACACCTGATAATGCTATAGACAGAGGGAGTGAGATATTTTCCTACCCACCCCCAATGTAACCTATTACCTATTTAAGTTACAATTTTTAAATGGAGGGAATAGGAGAACCACTCAGTTGGTAATGTTCTTGCATTTTAAGTAAGGATATGAGTTTGAACCACTGAACCCACATAAAAATGATAGGTAGGCTTGGTGATATGTGCTTATAGGAAAGCAGGACTGGGAGAATACCTGAGGCTCACCCACCAGCCAGTCTAGGTTAATTGATGAGTTCCAGGACATGAGAGACTCTGCCTAAAAGAAGTGGATGATGTTCTTGAGGATGATGCCCAATGTTTTCTCCACATGCATACGCATTCAGTTGTTTGTACACCTACACACACATGTGCACCCATATAGATATGAATATGTGCACATACAAGAACACACAATAAGTATATTAAATGGAAACAATTTATATATCTCACAAAATCTGGAAAAAAAACAGGTTAAATTGAGAGTGGCACTGGAGATGAGTTACACTATTAGGTGTTTCCCAGTTGATGAATATTAGAAAATGAGAAGAAGTAGAGGGGTTGAAATGAAGGTGAAGACCTTCAACAGCATAGGAAGCACATGAAGAAAAATCGGGTAGCTTTATCTGAGTAGGGACTGTGAAAATAAAAGTTATTTTAGAGAATGGAAGGTTATTAGCCGTATAGGAAGATGCATCTTAGTGGCAAAGATGCATGTGAAGTTCAGCTTCAAACCTCAGTGTCCCTGTACCTTGGAAGTGCACTTCAGAACTCCCAGCTCCACATAAAGGTTCTACAATATCATTCCTGCCTAACACTGTGTTTTCAGCCTTTTCCAACTACTATCAAGTACTCCGATTCTACTAAACAGCAGCTCAATCCTCATTATTTTTAGACCAGTATTTTTACCATTTAATACTTCTTTGCCACAGTGTTTCATGCCCCGAATCTTCCCTCCATCTTTCTAAACTTAATCTACAGGAGTCAAATCCAGGCTTTCTTCTGATGGGCCATCCATCCCTGACACATTTGCCTACATGTTTTAAATTCTGGTGTCAGATACTAATAACTCAGAAAATAATTTTGAAACAAACTGGTTACTCACACAATACAACAAACCAATGCAGTTTTGGAAAAGAGCACACCAGGATTGTGCATTATATTGACTGTTGTACTGATTGCTATGATAGCTGGTTAGTAACTGCTAATTATTTTGTGAAAATTCCATTTATTTTTATATGACAATTCCATTTCACTACAGTAAACTTCTTATGGATTGTATTATGTTTTAGATTCTCAGACCTTATGAGAAGCATTTACTTAAAAATGTAGGGTATTTTAAAAAAGCCAGGCAGTGGTGTTGCACACCATTAATCCCAACACTTGGGAGGCCAAGGTAGGTGGATCTCTGTGAATTCGAGGCTGACCTCATCTACAAAATGAGTTCCAGGACAGCTATGGCTACACAGAGAAACCCTGTCTCAAAAAACCTAAAACAAACAAACAAAGAAAAAAGTTAAGAGTATTGTAACCAGAGTGGAAAAGGAAATGTAGTCTTCACAATAATCCATATGTATCAGCAAAGGAGGAATATTTTTACATCATTATTTTTAATGTTAGTATACAGGTTAATCAAATTGGAAAGGATTCTTTAACAAAAAAATTGACTTGTGTATTTCCCTGGATTTAATGACTGTGTTCTCTGTTCTGAATTAATAATATGGAGAAACAAATTCTTATTCTGAAAATTTGACTGGCAATATATGCAGTGTCATGCTACTGTTCATTTTGACATCTAGGTTAGATAATGTCATTTCATGAAAGAGGTTGCCTTTCCCTCCATCAATTAGAAGTGAAATACTGGCATTGATATGAGTCTTTTCTATTTAGCTGTGATTCCTGGAATCATAATCTCACATTAAATAGTTTCATTTAACTTTAAGTTAAAACCTCATTTTATCCTTGATTTTTACTTAATCTCCTAATAAGACTATAACAGAGCAAAGTGAAGATAAACCAAACTCTACTCTTAAGAGAAATATTCCCAATGATAACTATGCTGATTATTTTCAACACTGATTCTGCATGCAATTTTGATTGACTTTGTCATGTTAACATACAGTTAATTGCAAGTCTCTGGTTTTTCAGGTTTTCCTGCTGAATATTCTGAAATAAAGGTAAAAATGTTTACATTTTCTTCTGTATCCTTAATGTCCTACTATATGAAATATAGAAGCGTCATTAAACATCTTGTTTCAAACCCATGCAGGATGCCATTGAAAAACAAGATTTTGTGCTAACTGAAGATTCAACAGTGAAGCAGGAAAAATCATTCATGGCAGGTACATTTATCAAACACATGAATATTTGAAATGTCCAATTTTTTCTTCCCTACAATATAGTTCTCTAATTTAGTGGAAGGATTAAATGTAAGAAATGTAAATATCATTTAAGCATTATTAACTAAAAATGAGGTATTTACCAATTAAGATTCGGTTTTCAACATTATGAGTTACCACTCAGGCACTTTGGTGGTTATGTATCAGCTCATTTGAATTTCAATTTTGGAATCCATACATTTCCTAGTGATTAGTTGAGATTAGTTATTAAACATCAGGATGCACAAAATGTAACATATCTTCTTGAGTGTTTCCTCAAAGCTGTCTGTGCATTCACATCCAGTTAATTGGGAGGCTGAGGCATGACCAGGAGTGCTGAGTGATCCTTTGAACATCATATATTATTTCACAGTGGTTATGACAGAATGTACAAAACCTGTAAGAACTCAAGGCTAAATCTTAGAATGTGGAAGGGAGGTGGGCAGGAAGTCCTATCCACCCCTATGAGAGAGGCAGAGTCAGTTTTCTTTAAGAGTGCAGCCCTACGTATGCTGACCATGCTCCCGTGGAAGACCACATATCAAGAATAGATGGGCAGCACAAATTGGACTTGATTTCTTTTTTTCAAAAAGGACATAGCATGGGATGTATAGGGGCAGATCTGGGAGGAGTTGGGGGGCGAACATGATGAGAGCACATTGTATGGAAAAGACATAATACAATATAGAAATAACTGGTCTAGTGAAATTACACAGTATTTTGGAATCCATTGTGGAAACAGTCTATGAGCATGATATATCTGATTTGTGCCTCAATTAATGTACTACTTAAGTCAGTGGCCATGGTCAACCATGATATCTAGACTGCAGCTGGAATTTACATACCTCAATGTAATATAACAGGTTGTCTTACCTATCACTAACCAAAAGAATTAATTTTATAATTTTTTAGAACAGTGTCAATTACATGCAATGAGAGTGAACATAAACGTATCCATCATATAATTTATTAATGGGAATTTTTATGAGAAACATACATTCATGAGAAATATTAAATGAAAATCACCAACACAGCGAGAAAGGAGAAAAGGGTAAAAGCAAACAGAAATCACTCAGTCATTTCACTCAGTTCACCACGTGTTTCACAAGAAAGCAGTATCAATATCTAGTTGTTTAGGGGTCCAAGTTTACATTACATTCTTTTAATGATTTTTTTCTTACGTATTTTTTTTTTCTGAGCTAGTATTGTTAAATGTTCTGGAACCTTTCCCCGAGTTCAGAGTTTCATGAGTTTTCAGTTTCGTATCCTACTCAAAAATTTGTCTCCATTTTTTTTACATGCCATTCAAAAATATTGTCCTTCTCATATCTTGAGTCGACCTGCCTTGGTTGCAAAAGTGAGAGATGAACATTTCCTTCAAATTTTAGTGTTCAAGCATCTTAACATAATACAGTAAACCTTAATGACCTGATTCCTTCTCGGCCTTCCCTTTCCAGCCCTTGACCATCTCTACCAACTTCTCATGTACTACTAATGAGGTGATAACCTACCTATAATTTTAGATGTATCTGCAAGTTCAAACTCTGTGATTCCCTTAGTATGCTCACATACCACTTTACCATATCCATCACTATATACTTACCCTCTTGTCATTAAGAGACAGATCAAACAATTCTCTTGTAAGGGCACTGCTGCAATACTTGCTCACCCCTTTACATTCCAGGGCCAGAAACCAGTAAAATTCAATGAATAATTCCAGAGAAAAACAATTCAAACACTAATTTTACAAAATCTTAAAAAAATGTCACTTCTAGACTGGAAATAAAATATTTAGGTATGTGAATCAATAATTTACACTTCAAATGGGAAGGGAATCTTTGGGAAATGAATGCAGTGTTAAGGATGCTGTGAGAAAAGCATCATGTATATATGTGGGAAAAAAGAAATAGAATCAAGGGATATTTAACTTATGCTGAGGTCAGGAAAGATTTGTCAAAGTAGTAGACACAAGCGCTGCAGGAATGAGGGGTAACCAGGCTGAGGACATGCCTAGATGATCTTCGGTATGTTACTTTTAGCAAGTACAGAAGAATGAGCATTGTGAGTATATGATTCATATTGTCAGTTTCGTTACTGAAGACGTGTTCATTTCTGTTTATTGGAATAATAAGTGCATATATCTTTATCATGTATATAAAGGGATGAATATGGTGACTCCTACTGTCTATATATAAGATCTATGAAGCTTTTGATAATGACATTTATTTCTGGATCAGAAAACATCTGGTTGATATCAAGATTAATCGAACATTTTTATTGCAAAATTATATCGCAAAATAAAAATCTAACATTTTGTTCTTTTTTGAAATTTTTGTATCTAAGGTTTTGTAGCTGATAGCATTTATTTCACTGATTTCTTGGCTGACTTTACCCATATGTATTTGTCAGGAGCCAAGACTGTGCAACTGAGGTCGGAGGGAAAACAGATAGGATGGTGTGGTGGTGGCAAGAAGCAGTGGAAGGTATTCAGGAGTTTGCAATCTCACATCAAGATTCTTTTCATTGGTAAAGGGGGAGGGATGTCTTACATTGCACAGCCCTAAATAGAAATGAGGCCATCATCTAAAATTTAATTTCAGTATCCTTCTTGTTTTTATTTGTACAATCTATGCTGATTTCAGAATCTACAGTAACTAGCTCCTAACCTTATCCTTGGATTTCTTTTCATCATTGCTCAAATTCTAACTACTTGCAAAGTAAAATGTAAGTCAGTGGAATTCTATGCTCAGTCACTGTATGAAGAAATAGAGATGTGATTTAGGAAGTATATATAAGAACTCTCTCGCTCTCTCTCTCTCATCTATCTATCTATCTATCTATCTATCTATCTATCTATCTATCTATCTATCTATCAATCATCTACCTATCTACATATGTTTACTCTTCAGGACATGCTTCTTTTATTTATGTCTAGTTGTTTTTAAGAAAGGAAATTGTGATGTTTTTGGAGGGTAGTTAGGAAGTCTCTGTGCAAGTCCTTACTAGTCCTAATTTTAACAGCCTATTTTTGAGCGACTTCAACTGAGACGGAATGCTCGAGTATCTGTGAATCCTGAAAAACACGTGAAAAATACAGGAGCTGAAGAGAGAGGTAAGAACTCTACCAAAGGTCATTGCAAGCAATGCCTGTTAAAACATGAGGATGGAGCTGCTCTCTTCACCAAAGACAACTGCCTAGCCACTATTCATGAGCTAAAAACTAGTCTTACATGACAAAATGTGTATATTCTCAAGCCTCCAACAAAAGTTACATCATTGAAAGTGTCTCTGAGAGAGCTGATGTGTGATTGGAAGTATTAAAGTCTTTACTCAATATGAGAAGTATTAGGAAATGGAAGAGTGTTTAAAAGGAAGGAACACAGATTAAAGTAGTCAAAATTATAGGGATTAAATGAAGGGAGTCATGCAGGTGTGTATAGGGGAGAGTGTGCAGATAAATTCTTTACAAAATGAAGGGTGGCTGTATTAGATATGTAGAGAGACTTATTATAAGGTAGGGCACCAAAGAGTGTAGGAGCCTGAAATTAGAAGTCATCCTGCATCCTGCATGCCTCCTTACTGGGAGGACTTTGGGCTGCAATATTGGGTCTTATATATCTAGGTTTTCTGCACAGTAGATAAAAGGCTATGGCCAGTCAAACATGTAAATATGTTAATATGTAATGCTACTCCAATACATCCCTGCCTTTTTTCCTTGGCTTCCATGCTCTTGCTTTCCTCCTCTACCTCCATAAACTCACTCTTTATGAGTCACCTCAGGCAATACCTATGTAGAATCATCACTGACATATTTCTCTATATCCTCCAGATCCCAGAGCATACACAAGCCTAGAAAAACCCCAAGAAATGATTATTATTAAAATAAGTATGATACTAATTTTACAAAAGATGATTTAAACATTGTCATCAGTAGGCCAAGAGCCAAAGAGTTAAAACAATCCAAAGAAATAATTGACAACTCCAATGAAAATAAAATTTTTGAAAAATGTATAAACTTCTAAAGTAGTTAAAAGAAAAGCATGCATGCTGACCTGGAGAATGAGAACTATTATCCAGGAAGAATTCAGATATAGTGATGTTTTATAAGAAGGAAGAGGCTGGTCCAAAAATAGAGCAAAGCATTTCAGATAGGAAGGAGATACGAAGTGTAAGATGTAATTATTAAGAAAATGCCTAGACACATTCCTCTCTCCAGGTAGAGAATAGTGTGCAGTATGGCAGTATTTGGTTCCGTGTAACAACTCTCTTAGTTAGGGTTTTTATTACTGTGAAGAGACACCATGACCCCAGTAACCCTTATGAAGAAAACATTTAATTGAGGGTCTTGCTTACAGTTTCAGAGTTTTAGTCGATTATCATCATGGCAGGGAGCATGGCAACATGCAGGCAGATGTGATGCTGGAGCAGCGGAGAGTCCCACATCTTGTAGGCAACAGGAAATTGACTGACTGTCACACTGAGGGAAACTTGAGCAAAAGAGACCTCAAAGCCCACCTCCTATAGTGACACACTTAATAGTGCCACTCCCTTTGGGGGGCATTTTCTTTCAAATTACCATATCAACCAATTCTGTTTCTAAAGTAGGGCTAGTTTGTGTCTACTGGAATCACTTGTGCTTGCATCTTCAACGTGTGGTGACTAACTGTAACGTGGTTTCTCTGCCTATGTATCTATTTGGTATATGACTCTCTAAATAATTAAATACCAGTAAATACCTAGTTGAATATTACAGTGAATCTAACCATTTAATTGTTAAGTTGAAAACCCAACTCTTCATTTACTTTTTCAACATTTGTATCAGCGGGTAAATAGATGATCCTGGTTATTCCACTGTGTTAATGCATGATTTTAACATATATTGCCTCTCCCAGGAGCCACAACTGCACAACTGAGGCCAAAGAAAGAACAAACAGGGAGGTTTGGCGGTGACAAGAAGACGTGGAAGGTATTCAGGAATTTACATTTTCCTCTAAGATTCTCCTCATTGGTGAATGTTGAACATGGGCCAAGGCAGTTATGGTCACACTGTCCTAGAGAATAATGAGACCATGTCTAACATCTAATATCTAATTTTAGGACCTTTTGCCAACTGTGCCATGCATAACATTTTCAGAATGTACAGCAACTAACTCCTCCTCAGCCTTATCCTTGGATTTCTTTCACAACCTTTTCTTATTGCTGGAGTTCCATTCCTGTAACATCTTACCTAGTACAGAGATAGACCAGATTTGAACTGGTGACCAAGTGGTCTAAAGTATGAACAGTAGAAGAGTGATCCTTCCTGAGCCTGATTTGATGATCATTCCCAATGACTAAAAATTCACCTAAGATTTCCTACTAACTAGCAGCATAACAGAGGGTAAGGGTTTGTTTTCCTTTGGACTCTTGCTGCCTTCATTATCTCATGTGTGTCAGTCTACAGGGATGTACATTGGGCCCCACTAACAATAAATAGAATGCTGCCTTCTAGCATGGGCCCTCTTGGGTTGTGCTCCATGTAATTACATTTAATGTTATCATTATTTCAGTGATGGACATCAGCAAATATAATACAATATTACACATTGACTTTGCTTGGTGTTAGAATAAATTGAGATGGGCACTCAACTATAAGGCTGAGATTAAGGGCTCAGGGAAAGGCTGGTGCTCACCTATGACCTCAGTGCTTAGGAAACTGGAACTAGAGAATCATCTGAAAAATTAAAATTAAAATGGTGTGGAGAACGGAATTAGAGCTATAGTCACCCTGTCAAACACCTTCTGGTATTTAAAAATTATAAATGTATTATATACAACAAAAATATATAAGAAAAAAATAGTCCTAATACAGAAGAGCAAATGGGAGGTCATCAGCAATGTCACAGAAATGATTCTTAGGGACCTTGCCCATGTCCACAAGCAGAGGGATGGGGCCCCGGGGGTAGCAGAGTGTGCTATAACTGTGTGGAGGCAGATAATGTGTTCTATAAGCTATACCTCTTTGCTTTGCCATGACACTGGACACACACTGCTTTCTTTTATAGTGGTTTAGAGATGATTTGGGACATCTCAATATTGTGTTGTCACTACGAAAGCCAGTTATCTAAATGGTTACCCATGTCATGTTTTAAATAACTTCTCTAGGCATGAACATGTTCATATGATTTGGCTGCATTTGCTCATCATGTCTCCATTATGCAACTAGTGATATAGAGAGCATATGTAAGATATAGAGTGAAGATGTGATATAGAGAGCATATGTAAGGATCTCATCACATATGCTTTTCTGAAATGCATCTTTTATTTATATCGAGTTGCTTTTGAGATGAAGTCTAGCTATATCTTGGGAAGGTGTTAGGAAACGTCTGTGCAGTTCCTTACCGATGCTCATTTTATCAGCCCATCTTTGAGCGATTTCAACCCAAGTGGAGTGCTCAAGTGTGTATGGATCCTGAAGAAAGTGGAGAAAACACAGGTGTTGCTGAAGAGAAAGGTGAGAACCCTGTTAATTAAAAAGCCATTCGGAGAAATACCTATTAAAACAGGAAGACGGAGACATCTTTTGCTCAGCATGTATGCTAACTTGGAGCAAATAGTATAATAGTACATGATGTTAATCTTTATTTCTTCTTAAGCTTCTAAAGGAGGTTACGTTTCTAGAGTTGGTGAGGGAGCTAAAGTAGGATTAAAATCATCAGAGTTTCTGTGTAAAATGGGAAATTTGAGAAACTGGAACAGTATTTCGGAAGAGAGAACAGAGACTGGAATGGGAGGGATTACAGTCAGTATATAAAGGGAAAGGAGGCCGCTGTAGATAGTTGAAAGCACCTTTACAAAATGAAAGTCAGTTGTGTTAGAAATATAGGAAACATGTAAGACAGAAGCATCAAAGAGTCTAATCTAAGAGACTAAGAGTAGAATGAAGTCACCAGGCCTCCTCCTTTCCTTATTACTGGTGGAGCATTAAGGATAGAAATACCAGGTCTTACGGAGCTAGGTTTTCTTCACACTAGATAAACATAAGCAGTTGTGTCCAGTTGCGCATGCGCACATTGTTGTCATGGATAGTGTGGCTCCTTCCATTCAGTTCTTCCCTGCGTCTCTTACCCTGCCTTCCACATTCCTCTTGTGCTTCCTTCCTCTCTCCCTTCCTAAACTCAGAGTTTAGTAAGGCTCCTATGTATGACCATCACTGACATGTTTGTTTATATCCAATGCATCCCAGAACATGCACCTAGTAAAAACTCAAGAAACAATGTTTGGTATATTCTCTACCTTTGATGTTTAATTTTCTATTCTCTTATCTTAAGATTTGTTCTCTGTATTTAGACAACTTGTGGTTTTCTATGGTGATATTTTATTTGTGCTGAAATGTGATTTTATTTGTATGTTAATAAATAAAGTTGCCTGGGGGTCAGAGCTAATAGCAAGCCATTTAGCAGAAGTCTGGCAGTGGTAGCACACACCCTTAATCCCAATCACATGACAGGCAGATCTTTGTGTGTTCAAGGATACAGCCAACATGGAGACACACACCTTTAATCTCAATACCAACCATAGAGACCTGGAGGTCTGTATAGACAGGCAGTGACGAGGAGGTCATGTGGTTGGATTTACAACCAATGAAAAGGCTGAACAGAAAGCCAATAAAAAGACAGACACACAGGAAGTAGGTTTCTCAAGAGAAGGACGGCAGCAGTAGCGGGTGGTAAGAAGGCAGTCTTGGTCTCAGCTCTTAGCTACTGCTCTCAGACCTCTTGGGCTTTTAACTCTGCATTTGGCTCTGTGTTTCTTATTTAATAAAGCCATTCAGAATTACATCTACAGTTTTCAGGGCTAGTCTCCTGTTTATTACAAAGAGATGCTTCTTTGATGAGGGGTGAGTGCTATAGTTACCTGTGTGTATAAGGACAAACATTTAAAATTCAGGTAGATGTTATACTGGTCTAGTGATGTGGTGGCAGCAGGTTCTTCTCTAAGATCCATGGCTTCCTAGTCTCAGGTGGTTGGCATGATTTTCCTTCTGTTGAACCTGCTATTTCTGTCTGATATTTCCAGGCCCATTTTCCTCTAACGGAGATAAAATGTTCTTTCCCTGACTCAATACATTGTTTCACATGTGTCTGCTTTTGTTTTTGCCCAATCCAACAATATATTTACTAAAGCTCTCTATGTAGAGTTTCTCTTTCATAACGAGGCACCCTGGTGCAGCAAAGCCTACTTACTATAGCCGTGCCTCATTGGCAGCAGCTTCTGCAGCCCTCGGTGATTTATCCTTCGAGTCTCCGTTGGGAATCTGTGAATCTCAAGTTGGTAGTTCCACTTGTTAGTATGTCAGTGTTGGGAGCACATGGCTGGCCAGTAAATGCATCATGAAAAGACTGTCAAAACAAAACATTTAAATTAAAAAAAATCACCTTAGATGTTTGATGCTTTCTCTTTAGTCTAATAACATAAGGACTGTGACCCAGAGGGCTGAGTGGGGCCCTTAAGTTTTACAAGTGTCACCATTTTTGGCCTGTGCCGTGTGGTAACATTAACCAAGATTGTGGTGACGTCGTCTTTACAATGTCATTAGCAAGGTGGCCAAGTCATATGGTTGCTTCCATCCTGATGAGTTCTCCCAGCCAAGATGGAAGAAAATCTGTGGGAGACCCACTCCTACTTTTACCACAGGGTACTCTTGAGGAGGGAGAAGTGAGAAATATTTAGATAGAAGGATAAAGGGGAGAGAGACAGATAGAAACACAGGGTAACTCAGGAGGGCCTGGATCCTTATCCACTGGTCCCTTCTGTCTCTTCTAAAGGGCTTTTTAAAGAAATGCCAAGGGGCAGGGCAAAAGACCTCCCCTTGCTAGATCAAAGCACACCGCACATCCAAGTGCAGACCCTTCAAATCACCTGATAACAATGCATGTGGTCAAGCAATCCTCTAATGTAGCTTTGCTGGGTAAAGCAAGCTCAGGTCTCACTAGGAAAACTTTGTGGGCCTCCACACAAATCACATGGTTGCTTTCTGCTCAAGGTGAACTCGGGCCAATGCTAAAGTGAATCCATACCCCACCAAGGCATGAGTCCCTGGGGAAATAACCATTTTCTACAACTAATGTGAGTCATTATACCCTTTTATTTAAAAGGACACTTTAGGTAGGTATGTTAGTGTGGGATAGCAGGATATGGTACCTGTGGTCTAGGCAGGTAGACCCAAACATAAACATGGGAAGAGATTTCACGGTCCCAGCTCATAAAGCTGAATCCATAAGCAGCTGATACAGTAGTTAGTTAGATTCAGAGCACAGATTTCTCTTGGAAGAGAAAAAGAGAAAGAGACGAAGAGCCTTTGGGGAGTAACTCTCTAAGGCAGTGGTTCTCAACCTGTGGGGTGTGACCCCCTGGGGAGGGTCACATATCAGCTATCCTGCATATCAGATATTTATATTACCATTCACAACAGTAGCAAAGTTACTGTTATGAAGTAGTAATGAAGATAATTTTATGGTTGGTGGTCACTACAACACGAGGAACTGTATTAAAGAGTTGCAGCATTAGGAAGGTTGAGAAACATCCCATGGTGTTTTTAGCAGTAGATACCTTCCATCTGTGGAAGTAACCAAGGGCAATAGCAATAGCCTGCAATGTTCCCGTGATTCCACATAACTTTTACATTTTGTTTCTTAAGCTGCATTTGTTTCCTTTTCTGTAACCACTTGTGCATGCTTAACTTCAACATTGTGCCTCCTCTTGTGTACCTATTTGCTATTTGAATCTCTAGATAACTGCACACATTTCCCAAGCTAGTTGAATATTAAGCTTACATGAGTGTTTTATTGTTAAATTAAAAATCCGGTTCTTTATCACTTCATTTTTCAACATTTGTATCAGCAGGTAAGTAGATGATCATGGTTATTCCACCGTGTTAATGCATGACTTTAACACACATTGCATCTCCCAGGAGCCACAACTGCACAACTGAGGCCAAAGAAAGAACTAACAGGGAGGTTTGGCAGTGACAAGAAGACGTGGAAGGTACTCAGGAATTTACATTTTCCTCTAAGATTCTCCTCATTGGTGAATGTTGAACATGGGCTGAGGCAGTTATGGTCACACTGTCCTAGAGAATAATGAGACCATGTCTAACATCTGATATCTAATTTTAGGACCTTTTGCCAACTGTGCCGTGCATAACATTTTCAGAATGTACAGCAACTAACTCCTCCTCAGCCTTATCCTTGGATTTCTTTCACAACCTTTTCTTATTGCTGGAGTTCCATTCCTGTAACATCTTACCTAGTACAGAGATAGACCAGATTTGAACTGGTGACCAAGTGGTTTAAGGTATGAACAGTAGAAGAGTGATTCTTCCTGAGCCTGATTTGATGATCATTCCCAATGACTGAAAATTGTAACAGGAAGATATATGAATACAGGGATCTATGGTGACACATTGTTCTCAAAATGTCTCTTGACCCCAAAGAGACTCAACTTTTGCTGGACCTTGCAGACAAGTTAATAATATGCCTTGTGATCATTTATGACCATGTACTTAGCCTAGTATCCTACTATGTGCTCAGCTTATTTAAGCTTACTTGGTCTTTAAGAGAACAATTTAACCAACCTTACTGTGCTTTGGATTTCCCATCCAGTCGGCTTTATAACCTGAGCTAAATGCACAGCATCAATTTTAAACTATGTACTATTCCATTCCCTTGGACAGAATAATGGATGTATATATGTGTGTGTTGTGGTAATCATTTGCCGAGAGCATCGACATGTTTACAGTAACCTTAATACATATTCTATAAATTCTGGAAGCAATGTGTGGCTATAGTTGGTAAGAGCTGTTTGCAGTTTTGAGTGTGTTCAAGGTCAATAAGGTGATTCCTTCCCTTTAAAACTCTATGAAATACTTCTGTAAAAATGTCCTGTTCCTTTCCCAAGTTTTCTGTGCTGTTACGACAAATACAGAGCAAGGCTCCTTGTTAGAGATTGACACCGATATAGACACACACAGGCACACACATACATGTAGCTAGAGTTTTCCTGCCTGGCCCACAGTCAGGACAAATCTTTGTCACCCGCCAGTCCCGCAGCCTCTCAGACCCAACCAAGTAAACACAGAGACTTATATTGCTTACAAACTGTATGGCCGTGGCAGGTTTCTTGCTAACTGTTCTTACAGCTTAAATTAATCCATTTCCATTAATCTATACCTTGCCACATGGCTCGTGGCTTACCGGCATCTTCACATGCTGTTTCTCATCATGGCGGCTGGCAGTGTCTCTCTGACTCAGCCTTCCACTTCCCAGCTTTATTCTCCTCCTTGTCCCGCCTACACTTCCTGCCTAGCCAATGGCCAATCAGTGTTTTATTTATTGACTAATCAGCAACACATTTGCCATACAGAACATCCCACAGCACATACACATGCATAGACACACACAGAGGCACAGACACACACAGGCACAGACACACACAGGCACACACACACAGGCACACACACACACACAGGCACACACACACACACATGCATAGACACACACAGAGGTACAGACACAGGCACAGACACACACAGGCACAGACACACACAGGCACAGACTCACACAGGCACAGACACACACATGCATAGACACCCACATGCATAGACACACACATGCATAGACACACAAATGCACACACACACAGGCACAGACACACACATGCATAGACACACACATGCATAGACACACAGGCATAGACACACATGCATAGACACACACATGCATAGACACACAGGCACAGACAGACACATGCATAGACACACAGGCACAGACACACACATGCATAGACACACACATGCATACACACACACAGGCACAGACTCACATATGGATCAGAGAGACAACAGACAGACCAGTAACAAACTACACAGAGACAGAAGTCATGGGGAATGAAGTGGAAAATTTGAGTTTGGGCTCACACTTGATCAAATTAACCAGAAAGGAATTTGCCACCAATCATTTGAACTCCTATGGCCTACGGACACAGACATGCCCTCAGTGCTGGACACATTTCAGGAGCTCAGTTTCCAAAAGTTCGTATTCTCCATCCATTATTAATGCTTCATATAGTTTTCATTATTCTGTCTATTAATTTTTAAAACTTGCATGGGGTATGTAACTTTCTCATGCTTTTATCTAACTAAGGAAGGTTTCCATATGACTCGGTCTCTCTAGGCAATCAGAAATTTTCTTATTAAAGTCTTAGCTAACATCTTTGGAGCTTTAATTCTATAATAATGATCTCAAAAGGACACCTCAGAAAGGCTGTTTTCTTGTAAATTTCTTGCTTTGCAACAAAAAGCATTTCTGTCCATGCAAATCATCTCAGTGTCTCATCCTGTAATAGCAAGAGAAGAATAAGATTCGTTTTCACATACATTTTTAAAATTCTGGTGGTTTGTTGTGGTTAGTGGTTTTTGTTCTTTTGGGGGGCCTGCCACCCAGCTCCCAAATAAATCACACAAGAAGGCTTATTCTTAATTGTAAATACCTGGCCTTAGCTTGGCTTATTTCTGGCCAGCTTTTCTTAAATTATCCCATCTACTTTTTGCCTCTGGGTTTTTTCCTTTTTTTAACTTGTGTGTATCTTATTTTCACTCTTACTCTGTGGCTGGTTGTGTGGCTGTGTGGCTGGCCCCTGGCACCCTCTCTCCTTGTTCCCCTTTCTTTTCCTCCCAGATTTTTCCTTCTATTTATTCTCTCTGCCTGCCAGCCCTGCCTATCCTTTCTTCTTCCTTGCTATTGGCTGTTCAGTTTTTTATTAGACCACCAAACGTTTTAGACAGGCACAGTAACACAACTTCACAGAGTTAAACAAATGCAACATAAAAGAATGCAACACACCTTTGCATCATTAAACAAATATTCCACAGCACAAACAAATGTAACATATCTTAAAATAATATTCTACAATGGTTTGTGATTATTACAAATACTAGTTAGGCATTCTGAAGTTAACTTCTTGTTCAAGGATGCACAGTATAGATTCCTCTATTATCACGTCTCCTCTGGACGTCTATGGTCAATTATCAAGTGAAAGAAAACATAGATGTGTTTAGAGAGCATATGTAAAGATCTGTTTAAATTTTTTTTCAGTTTTCTGTACATACAACTTTTATTTATATATAATTGATTTTGAGAAATTGTGATGTTTTCCTGGAAAGTGCTTGGGAAATCTGGGCAGTTCCTTACTCATGCTAATTTTATCAGCCCATCTTTGAGCTATTTCAACCAAAGTGGAGTGCTCGAGTGTCTGTGGATCCTGAAGAAAGTGGAGAAAACACAGGAGCTGCTGAAGAGAAGGGTGAGAATTCTGTTAATAAAAACTCATTGCAGCAAATGCCCTGAGTAAAAAAGGAAGTTGGAGACATTATCTTTATCAAAGAAAGTTGCCCAATAAATGTAAGAATCAGAAAGTTCTATGTGACAATAGTGCATGTGTGTCCTCAAGCTTCTGAAAGAATTTACATCCAGATGTCAGTGGAGAAACTGTCATGCAATAAAGAGCGCCAGGCTTTTATTTAAAACGAGAACTTTAGGAAACAGTGTTTAAGAAGATTAAACAAAGGTTACAATGGGTGAAGTTACAAAGAATACATAACAGGGAAATCATACCAGTTATTTTAGTGGCAATTCTGGAAGAGAAATTCTGCTATAAATGTAGGAAGGATATAAGACAGAAGCCACGAAAGTCTCAGAGATGAACAGTAGAACCAGCAGGCACTTTGTTTCCCTCAGTGCGGGTAATGCATTAAGGAGAGAAATATGAAATCTTAAAGAGGTGGGTTTTCTTTACAGTAAATGATCAGAGACACCTATAGTTAAGTGATATATATATATACTCAAGTTATTATCAAGGACAGTGGCTCCTTCTATCCAACACTTCCCTGCCTCTCTTGTTCCCGCCTTACACATCTCTGCACTTTGCTGTTCTCACTCTTCAGGAATCAGCTCAGGCAGTACCAGTGTATGAACATCACTGAAACATTTGCTTGTGTCCAACACATTCCAGGGCATGAACCAGTAAGAATTTAGTGAATAATTATTGAGCAAAGTAAATAAAACACTACTTACACAAAAGATGACCTAGACAGGAGATGGAGAGATGGCTCAGTGGTAAATAGCACTGGATCCTCTTGTAGAGCATCCATACTCAATTGCCAGTACCCTCAAGATGGCTCACAGTCCTTTGTAATTCCAGTTCCAGGGGATTTGATACCTGATTCTGTGTTCCTTAGTCACAAGTCATGTATATGATGATATACACACAGACAAAACACCCGTACATATGAAGTAATAATAATAATAATAATAGTAATAATAAATTTAAAAATGGTCTAAACATTGTCACTTTTAGGCCACAAGCAAAAAGTTAGGTATCAAAAGAAATAATTGACATTTCAAATGGGAAGGAGACATTTGAAAAAGAAGGCAACTCTAAGGTAGTTCATAGAAAAGCACATGTTGACCTGGAGAGTGAGCATCCAGGAAGATTTCACATCCTTTGCTGAGTTTTATGAGAAGGAAGAGGTGTGTCAAAGTAGTAGAGATACACATTTGCAAGATGAATAAGAAGGTGTTTGCATAATGAGGTGTAAGAAACTATAAGTACAAAAGTAGGTCTTTGACATATTCCTCTCCCCAAGTAGAAACAGTGTGCAATGTGACTTTATGTGATTTTATATTATTATCAGTTCTGTGTCTATGTGTGTATTTATATAAACTTTTTTGGTTTAGTTTAAAGGTTTTTAAACAACTGTTTATATAGATGATCTTTTTTTTCTGACTGTTCACATTGTTAATTTTAACCACTTCTATGAATTTGTTAGTAGAATCCACTATACTCTTTACACCAGAAGAACAAACAGAATGCCATGGCAGCGAAAAGAAGCCGCAGTTGGTATGTGAATATGAAAAATTCTCTTATATTATTTTCTTTGGTTAAAAAAATGGCCACAATCCTCGTCCAGTTGCTTTGTGAACTGACCTAGAGACTCACTAGATGGTAATTTAATATTTAATTTGACACCTTGAAAACTATTTCCCAGTAAGTCATCTTTTAACCATCTGCGGTGACTAATGCCTGCCCCTTATTCTTAGTAGCTTTTCACAATGTTTTTGTCTAATCTCATGACCTCATTTCATATTTACAAGGTATATTAGATTTGATTTATCACTACAATTGTTTGACTTATTAACAAGTAAGTGTATTATCATCCCTGGGCACTATTAATGTGAAATCACTGTCATTTCCACTCAATCAAAAATTTGAGATTTCCTATTACCAGACATTGTTGTGCCCCCCCGCCCATAAACTTTCACTTCATTCCTTCAGTGTGGTTGTCTCTGCTACATCTAGTGTGTGAGACAACAGGATCACATACAGAACCCCACTCACTAGGATTAGAATGAAATTTTCATGAGTTTAGTCTTTGTCTCTTGTTCCAAATAATAGCATGCCATTGGAACACAGCATTTGCTGCTTGATCCCCTTATGGGAATCTTTGGTCGCCACGGTCTTGGTAAATTTCCATTTACTGAATAGAGGAGGTGAGGATATTGTGCTATATAATTCAAGAGCAACAAAACAGGCGTCACACGCTGTGATTGCTTCACATAAAAATCAGAGATGATGTCATCACAGAAAAAATTGCTATGGTTTCTCTTTAGCATGGGGATGAGAGGGAGACTTGAAATCTAAATTCAGTGAAGGTGAAGTCATTTGTCTGTGGCTCTCTTGTGTGTGTGTGTGTGTGTGTGTGTGTGTTTCACGCATATTCACACACAATGTGTTTGTGCGTGCATTCATGTATGTGAACATGAGCACACATGCAATATGTGTGTTAGTGAGTCAGGGTTTCTTTAGTGGTTTTCTATTGGGAATTCCAGGATACCCAGTTCTTGAGTTTCTGGGGACTCCCCTTTCTTAGCCTCCTGTATCCTTGCAGAAGCATTAGGACTATAAATAGTACTCCCATGCTTTTAAGTGGGTTCTGGGGATTTGAACTCTGCTCCTCATTCTTACATGACATGTACTTCTGCCCGCTTAGCCATCTTTGTTGACTGAAGGGCTTTCTTAACATCACTACCAAATAAAAAAGAGTTAATTGAGAATTATAGGGGAGGGTCACGTGGATAAAGAGAATACCGGATCTCATCTGTTCATTTGTGTCTTAGCTTCTTGTGTTTTTCTATATACTCATCATTTTTATTCTTATAACATATGGGACAAAATGTACCAATCAGTGACTGACGTGGTTCAGTGATTTAACTTTGGATCCATCCTTTTGAATTAAAAAAATTTGCTATTATTGTGTTTGTGCACGTGGTAGTGTTGGCATACACAGGGAGGTCATAAGACAATTATGTGGAATTCATTCTTTCCTTCTACTTTTGAATTTCAGAGATTGACCTCAGATCACCAGACTTGTGTGGCATGTACCTTTACTCACTGGGGCTTCATATTTTCTTTTCATTTTTTAAAATTAAACGATAACAGCATCATTTCCCCCACTCACTGTCCTTCTTTCAATCCCTCACATAACAGCCCACCCCAACTCTCTTTCCAACTCATGGCCTCTTTTTTTTTGTTACCGTTACACACAGACACACACGACACAGACACAGACACAGACACACACACACACACACACACACACACACACACACACACACACACACACCCCACTATTTTGCTACCAAGTAAACAAGAAATAAAAACACAAGAAAGGAGCCAGTAGTCCTACCCAGACATGAAGCCTATGATCCACAACAATGACCAACATAGCAAGATATCCCTAAGGGTGTAATAGTGACATATCTTGACAGCAACCAACAGCTAGCTGTATAATTGGATTGAAGGCCCATTCAACAGGAGAGAAATATGCTTGGTGCTGGAAATCTAGCTGACTTCCCAGGGCTACTGAGGTCATGGACCTTGGAGGAGACATATTATTACCATTTTAGTTTAACCCAGCATAACTTTTAAGTTTAATCTTTATGCTTGTTCTCATATGCACAGATAAATTTAGTTCTCGTTCCCCATCATATTCTTTTTGAAATGCTCAGTAGAGAAGACTCTCATATGATATCTAATATTTGCATGCTTTTATTTAACCATAACCTAAGGAAAAGTTTTCCTCATGGGTAGGTCATTCTTTCCAATCTATTTTCTTAGTAAAATAAATCACCTAAAATATTTCAGACTTTAATCCCTAAAGGAAAACACATACTCAGCATCACATAGTATAATCTCATTTCCTTCCATATTTCTTCTTTCAACACAAATAATGTTTCTGTCCCTGGAATTCTAAGTAAGTAATTCTGCCTTACAACAATTGGAGTATGAGAAGGTGCTTAAATACATATTTTCAAAAATAGGTTTTTTTGAGAACTGCAGATAAGAATTATAAAGTTAATTTATTATGTAAATATGCATATTGATTCTGTTCTGTTTATAAACATGCCTCCTCTTGTCTTCGGTGGTCATTTAAAAATACGAGTTTTTTTTAACTTCTTCTTTGTGAATTTCATAAATACATACAATGTATTTTAGAATTATTCACCCCAGCATCTCCTTCTGGCTCCACTGTATCACACACCTCTCTCAACTTCATGTGCTATTTTCTTTTGTTGTTGTTTTTTTTAGTAAAACCATGTGTTGAGTTATTGCTGCCCATATACATATGGGTGTGGGACCATTTGACTGTCGTGGTCAATTTATGTAGTCAGAAATATGAGGAAGGTAAAATTGATTTAGAGAGCATATATGAAGATTTCCTTTGAGTTTTGGTTATTTTTCAATACTTCTAAAACTATTATTGCTTTTAAAAGAGTAAATCAAGAATTTTTCGGGGGTGGTGGTGGAAATAACTAGGAAAAGTTTATTTAATTCATTATACTACCAAATTCAACAGCATATCCTGGAGCGATTTCAGCCAAAGCGGAGTGTTCGGGTATGTATGGAGACAGAACAAGGAGGAGCCAACCCAGACGCTGCTGCTCAGATGATATGTAAGAGCTCTATATTTATAAAACAGGAGGATGGAGACAGTCTCCTCCCTGCTGGAAACTCCCTGTGGAATGTTTGCACAATGCCTCTTTCCAATGTCGGTTAAGTTGAGAGACTCGCTGAGAGAGCCCGAGTATCATTTCCAGTACCTGGGTTCTAAGTGAGGCATATCAGGAAACGAGGGGCTAGTTAAGAGAAAAGAATGAGGGAGAGACTATGGAGAAATAAGAGCAGGAGAATGAGGTAGGCGTGTGTAGTGGAGCTTGTGAAAACGAGGTGTTAGGGAATGAAAGGCTGTCCCTTACAGGGGTGGGAAGAGGAAAATGGAAACTAGCTGCTGTGCATGATGTCTGAAGGGCAGAGCAAAATCTCCCCACACTTCTTGTCCTCCTCACTTGGAGGAAGGTATTAAAAGACTGTATCGCCAGGCCACACAGACTAGTTTTCATGTATAGAAGATAAACATAAACATCTATGCTCACCTGTACTTGCACATGAATTAATGTTATGTTAATATTAAAGTATCCCTGGAAGTGGGATACTTCCCAGGTTATTTTCACATAGGCCAAAATGGGAACATGGAATCAGCTATGACATCGTCAGGAATGCCACCAAGAGATCACAGTTGATAGGAATAATTGTGGCTCTTCTGTATGAGAGAGATTCTAGGAAAAAAAAACCTAGGTTTGATCTCAAAACATTCAAAGTTATGTTATATAAATATGGAGACTCCACATTGACCTGAGCCTTTCAAATGTGTGTGAATAGCCTGTTGCGATCCCTGTATAAAGTACACGTTCTGATTCAGCAGTTCTTAGATTATATGCTAGTAAATTATCAGGAGATGCAGATGTTGCCTATGAGCTTCTCTTAAAAGAACTTTGCAACACATGAAAGCCTCAATGGTCAACAGCTCAAGATGCACTATAATAACAGAAGAAAGTACAAATTTGCCATTGTTTCTGATAATGTTTCTATCCAGGTAGAAAGGAGCACAAAAAGGAAAAACCTTTCAGATTAAGTCTTCCAAAGGAAATAAAATGGAAATCATAAAGGACAACAGCCCACAGACCATTTTGAAAATGAAGCGTCACCCATGGGAGAGGAAGAAAGATAGAAATAGAGAATGAAAACTTGGGACCAATGATGAGGAAACTTTAGAGAGCATTTGAAGAAGGGGTTGCTACATTTTTTATTGAAATCAGACTCATCATTGGCAAAATAATATAGTAGGAAAAAGTGGTGAAGTTCAGCCACTCATTTCTCTTGTCCATCAAAGTGACACATGAAAAAATGGGACTCCCATTAAACTCAATGCCATGAACTGGAAAGCAACAACCTCTATTGTTTTGTCAGGATAGTTAGATTCTTAGTAATTTTGTTGTATGTTGAAAGACATTAGATAATTCCCATTCCATGGGGTCAATGCACTTATGGAAAAATTAACTGTACATCATTCATTTACTTACATGAAAGTTCTACTTTCTAGTAAATGTTATCCTGATTTCAAATACAGAAATTTAGTAATTTCAAAATGATTTTGGAAAATTGACTTATATTTTATTGTAACAATTGTACATTAGAGGCAAAAACGAAGGCTTTATGTTGTAGCTTAGGCTATATACCTTCTACAAAGTATTCACTAAAAAGTTTCTATAAACCAAAGGAAATGAAATACATTAATACATTAATATTCCTCAAATGCATACAAAAATGGAACATTGTATGCTTTAGTATTCCACAAGTAAACATCCAAGATGCTTACTTTGAAAAAAAATCTTGGAAGATAAATAATTTACTCATTCCAGTGAACACTTATGACTGATTTTGTTTCCTAAATAATAATAACACAGCAAAACCATAAAATTCCATAGTATAATGTCCAGTTTCTTCCAATTCATTTTGAACACCACATTGGTACCTGTCTTTTTGTTTTAGTAACATTCATTTTCCTTACTGGATTTCAGTTCTGTTTCTGTCCTCATTAGACAGAACAAGCAATGTGAAAATTAACTGAATTCCAGTCTTAAGGGAAATATCCCCAGTGATAACTATGATGATGGTTCTCTACACTAATTCAGTGTTAAATCCTGACTGACTTTGTCATGTTAATATATAATTAGTTACCTATCTCTCGCTTTTCAGACTCTTCTGATGAATATATTGAATTGAAGGTAATAATGTTTACATTTTATTGTATATCATTAACTTCCCAATATATGACATATGCAAATATCATTAAATATCTCCTTTCAACCCCATGCAGACTACCGTTGAAAAGCAAGATTCTGTACCAGCTGAAGAGCCAACAACAAAGCAAGAAATATCATTCATGGCGGGTAAATGTAGAAATAGGAATTTCTCTTTAACAAGTGCTTATGAGTATTTGAGATGATCAGTCTTTGACTTCAAATTCTTTAGCTCTTCAAATTTGATGGAAGCCTTTTGTAAGTAATTCAAACATAACTCTAACTTTCATTGTTTCATAGCAAGCTACTGGTGAGTTTAAGACAGAGTTTCTATAACTGTCAGCTGTAGTTCAGCTGTTTCAACTTTTATGCACGAATATGTCCACAGTCCCATATTGGAAGCACAGTGTTCCTTAGGTTTTACTGGAGTTTAATGTTTAAAATCCACATTTAAAACAGATTAATGATGTTTCCTCAAATATTAGTTACACGTGTATACAGTCAGCTGCTTGGTGGCCTGAGGCAAAGATTTCTCAAGCATAGGAGTTTTGAGTGATCCCAAATTACACATGAAGAAACTGTGTTTTAAAAATACAGGTGGATTTTTTAAATTCAGGCTGAATACACTGTGTACTGGGCAAATTTTATGTAATTTCTATACTACAAACTTCAATTCTCCTTGGCCATCATGGTGTCTTGTTTATAGAAGGGATACATATGATATGGTAATCTATGTCTTCTCTATGGTGTAACATTAACAGTTTATTTTACAGAAGGTTTTCAATTATGTTCTAGAATAGTTATAGCCAGTAGCAAATCTAAACTCAGATACTCATTCAGTGTACTTATCTTCTTTCCTTTTCCCCTGCTTGGCTCCTTTTCTTTTGTTTTCTTTGTAATTAGAGTTCTCTGTTGGCTTGCTTGTTTATTTACCTATTTTTTCCCCTAGGTCTCCCTCCCATCCTCTTCTTATTCTCTAACGGTGAACTAAACTCTGTTCCATGATATTAGTTTTTGGGAGCCTGTTATATACAAGAAGCAGACATCCCTAAGAAGTCTTCAAAGTATTCTGTCAACACATATACACACAGAGAAGAAAACATCAAAGTATACACAATCAACATCATCATTCATGCAGTTTCTTTACATCTTATACGTGATGCTAATACCAGCATCTAACCCTCTAGGGGTCACAATTTGTATTTCCATTCTTTAAATGGAATGTTTTTCTGGACTGATCTTTAGTAGTTTTATACTTGGGGAGACCAGGGAAACATTCTTTTCTTCTCTTAAACCATTTCTCACCATTTTTTTTTATCATGTCAGCCATTATTTTTCCTTTTGCATTTACAGTAATCTATCTCAGTTGAAAAACGAATGCTAACCACGATCATAATTTATTCCTAATCATTTTAAGGCTCTACATACAATTTGCATATCTGATTCCTCCTCATTTTAAAAGTTATTTATTCAATTTTACTAATTGTAATACAAAGTAGTGAATATCATTGCAGTAGTTTAACACATGGATACTTTATTTTCATTTCCCCCTTCACCACTGTCCTCTTTTTCCTCTTTCTTGCATATCTCCTTCTAACCACATATAGTAAATGCCTCTAAGTTTTTGTCATACACATCCCATTATCTCTCTCCTTCTATACTAATAATCCACTGATACAGAGTTCAAAACAGATAAGGCAAATACAGTTACTTAGGAACTCATGACTTCATGGCAGAGCCATACAGAAAACTTAAGCAAATAATGATCCCATATGTTAGAACTGTGGTTACAGCAGAAGCCGGGGAGGAAGTTGGGGAGGAACCCCACACAGACAGTGTTTACTGAGTGGGAGTATTCTGTTTCATAAGTGAGATAGTGGATCAGTTAAGTGCTAATTGTATTGTGATTTAAATTATACATGCATATAGTTTGGTATATGTCTCAATAAAATGGCAAACAGAAAACACAGACACAAAAGTTCCAACTGTGAGATGATATCAAAAGTACTTACCAACATCTTGGATACGATACAAGAACTATAAATTTAAATATTGAGATAGTAATTTGTAGTGAACGCCTTGAGAAAGACATGTATTTTATAAGACAGTGTGTGCCAAATTTAAAATTAAGCTTAATTGGTTATTTTAAACTGGAAAGTAAAATTTTTAATTTTTAGTATAATATTTATTCTTATATTAAATTAACATACAATTATATCACTTCATCCTGTTCTTTTCCTCCCTCCAACCCTTCCAATCTCTTCCATGTCCCCTTCTACTCTTTCTCAAATTGATGGTCTCTTGACTATTATTATTATTTTTACACACACACACACACACACACATATATATATATATATAGACAGATACATGCATAATTATATAGCACATAAATATAACCTGTGTAGTCTGTTTTTGTTGTATAACTCACTAAATGTTTTACCTTTTACTACAAAGACTCACACTATATAGATGCTTTGCTTTCTTTAAGTACATTCATTTATGCTTTGTCAGAGGCAGACTTACAAGTGAAACCAAAGGAAAAGCAAAGAAGTCATGACTATGAAAATATTCAGTCAGTTGTAAGTAAATATTCAATTTCACTTTTACATTAATATCATAGTAACTAATCCACCACAGGATACATGAACTTATATTTTAGAGTTTAAGAATTTTCTATATAATTAGTAGACATGAACGAGAATTTTAGTTTAAAAATATTTAACTAGAAAAAAATTAATTAGTTGTAAAATTTTGAACTTAGAATCTATAGTAGCTTGTGTGTAGTTGAACATTATTCTGGAAAGTTTTCAGTAGGTTTCATTACTATTATTTGAGTTTCCTTTGCTATATTATGTAGTCTTTTGTGATGTGTCTTTTTTGTTAATAAAACAATTGAGTTATTAGAATTTCTCTAGATAATGCTGCAGAAAAGCAAGTCAAATTAATATATTTAGGTATGTATTTTAAGTGTCCTCCAGTTATGGGATATAAGTAGTAATCATGTATTCTAAAGTTGCCAGCTACTACTGTTGCTAATTTCTGTTCCTTCATTCCACACACTTGATCCCATTGTCAGTTTACATGGTCACCCAATGGAATTAAAAATGCACTTGATCCCATTGTCAGTTTACATGGTCACCCAATGGAATTAAAAATGCACTTGATCCCATTGTCAGTTTACATGGTCACCCAATGGAATTAAAAATGCACTTGATCCCATTGTCAGTTTACATGGTCACCCAATGGAATTAAAAATGCACTTGATCCCATTGTCAGCACTGTGATTTTTCTCCCTATTCAAATAGTTTGTTTTTAAGTTTGCAGTATGTAAATCTCTTATTTTCAAGAATACATGCTTATAAAGTAGAACATTTAGATCTTAGCTACAAAGTAATTAGGAAATATTCATGCAAATCACTACCATCATTTATTTTCCAGAATATGTTTAAACATCTTCAACTAAAGGGTATTGACCATTTATCCGTGACTTCAGATCAAAGAAACAAAACTATTGTAAGTGGAGAAGAGGAAGGTAAGAAGTGTATGTCACATGTAAATCATTTGGAAGAATGTTTACTAAAGACAAGAGGAGTGATACATTCTGTCAGCTAAAGTGAGTTGCCTTTTGTATGCGTGTTAGAGGAGGTTGCTGGAGCACACGGTGAACATACTCCTCAAGAAGTTTCAGTGACTTTTTAAGTTTAGAGTGGCAGGACAGGCAGTGAATTACAGCTACATTTTAAGTATGTTCAAAGAAGAAGAGTCATGGAAAGTGGGAAAAGTAGAGTATACTGAGTCAATGGAAGGAAAGTTAGTGAATGTAGAGAGTGGAAAAGTGAAATAATCTTTTGATACAGAACTGCGGAATACTGGGTCAGTGTGAAGTATATATGGAGAGGATGTCTCCACCCTTCTTGTCTTACTCTCCATTGGGAGGGTATCATGGGTTGAAGTAAATAATATTGCAGAGTTGTATTTTTGTTTACTATAGGAGGCTATAAATATGTGTTCAGCTGTAGCTAGAGTTTTCCTGCCTGGCCCACAGTCAGGACAAATCTCTCTCACCTGCCAGTCCCACAGCCGCTCAAACCCGACCAAATAAACACAGAGACTTATATTGGTTACAAACTGTATGGCCGTGGCAGGCTTCTTGCTAACTGTTCTTACAGCTTAAATGAATCCATTTCCATTAATCTATACCTTGCCACATGGCTCGTGGCTTACCGGTATCTTCACATTCTGTTTCTCATAGTGGCGGCTGGCAGCGTCTCTCTGACTCAGCCTTCCACTTCCCAGCTTTATTCTCCTCCTTGTCCCGCCTACACTTCCTGCCTAGCCAATGGCCAATCAGTGTTTTATTTATTGACTAATTAGCAACACATTTGCCATACAGAACATTCCACAGCATTCAGCAAATGTATTAAATCGATGAATATATATATATGTATAATTTTAAACTACAAATATTTTTTTTTTCAGCAGAGCCAGACTTAAAAGTGTCATCAGGGGATGACCAAAACAGATGTTATGACAGTGAGAGCAATCAGTCATTGGTATGTAGATATTTAAATCTAAGTATCTCCGATATTTTTTCTCTTTTAAATATTGTATCATAGAACAAGAGGAATTACCTCATAAATTTCTCTGTATAACATATATAATAATTTGACATACAATTTTAAGTAATTTAGTCAGTTGTGAGTCTTAATATATTCTTTGAATCTACAATAACATCTGTAAACTTTATGCTCCATGAGTCCAAAAATTCAGAATCATGATTTTGCGTCCATTAATAGAACCTTCTTACGTGATAAGGAAGGTGAAGTCAAATTTGAACCTTATGATTAAAGAGTTTAAACAATGTTCAAACTGAAGTCAAGGGAGAAAACATGCAGAGCAATAAAAGCTTTAACTTGGAGAAGCAGAACCATACTCCAAGCAAGCATCATCATCACCCCCACCAGCACCACCAGGAGCAACAGCAGCCACCCCACAGATACCTGCAAAGGCCAGCAGGCCAGCAGTCAGAATGAAGGCTGGACTATGGACCTGAAGAATTTTGGAAACCAGGAGAGAAGACCTTCACCCAGTGTAGCTGTCTCTTTGACATCACTGAAGTCTCTGAGGAGGAAATGAGAAAACTCAGCCAAGGACTGTCTGCTTCCCAGTCCTCTCTAACCACAGCTCTTTGCTCAGAGTGACGATGACTCTACATGACCTCTACTGTCCTGAGCTCTAGTTATAGTTTTTTTTTAAAATCAGAGGTGTTGAATTTTATCAAATACTTTTTCCTGCATGTATTGGGATAATCACATGATTTGTTCCTAAACTTGTGATTGATTTCTAATTCTAAAGCTTAGCAGGAGCCATGTGATTTCTTCAGGGGACAAAGCCCCCAAAATAGCACAAGTGTCTCTCCTTGTGGCAAAGCCATGGAGACCCTGACCCACTTGGTAAAGACCTGTGGACAATTTGCTGCAAAATTCTGGGCATGACCCTGGGAGCATGGGTTACATGTTCTCCTTGCTTTCATCATACTAGCCATACTGCTAGCTTGAATGAGTCACAGTAGGTCATAAAGTTTAATATTACATATTTACATAACTGTTCTGGAAAGAGTGACTTTAACCACAAGAGTCTTTGAGAAATGTTATTAAATAGATGATATTTGGAGTTAATGGGAACAGTCTAGGAACAGGGAGTGAAGCAGAATCATAGAAACCCACAGTTCTTTCATTTCTAATTACTGTGCAAATACCATAAGAATTTAAGAGAGATGGATATAAGCATAAGGGATAAACAGTGCCAACTATTAAGAGTAAGTTTCCAAGTTATGTTGCCTATAGGATAAATGGGAAAACTTGCAATGTCCCCAGAGGAGACAGAGCAGTACAGAATGTAGAATGGATTCATCCAGCTTTGGCTGGTGAGTTGATTGTGAGAACCCAGACCATACCAGATGTAAATATTAACCACTAGAGACAAATTCATCCTGCATGACACTGTAACCGCATATACTGCCAACTGGGCACACTGTTCTCCCTGTAGGTGTGCCCAGGTAGAAAAGTTCCTTTGTAGTTTGCAAAACTGCTTATGCTTCTAACAGTCGAGATAGAGATCAAAAAGGTAATGGCCAGTGGTGGGAGAGCTGGAGGACAGAAGGGTAAAGAAGCAAGAGACAAACCGGTAATCATTGAAATCATTTTTAGAACCTTAGGAAGTAAAAACTGATTGTAAAACTGTTCATGCAAACCATTGAAACTGATGAATAAAAACAACTCGGGCTATCTGGGGGACACTTGTTTGAACAACAACAGGTGTTCACAATTTGTTCACGGCACCTACTCTACATGTCCGTCCCATGTCATTGGACCCACCAGAAACAAGGCTCCCAGCACATACTTGTGCCCTTAGAATAAAACTCAATTTGGTGGGGCCGGAGAGAGGGCTCTGCAGTTAAGAGTGCTTGTTGCTATTGCAGAGGACCCAAGTTCGAATCCTAGCACTCATGTTCAGTGGCTCATAAGTATTTGTAACTCAGCTCCAGAGATCTGATGCCATCTTCTGGTCTCTGTGTATACACACACACACACACACACACACACACACACACACACACACACACACACACGTAAAAATAAATCTTTAAGAAATGCCTCAATAATATATAATCATATACTTCTGGATTCAGTTTGTCCAGAATTTTCATATTTGTTTTTATAACATATTATTTTTCTCAGTTTATTATTATAGTAGTTAATTAATTTTAATAAAATAAATGTGACCAAAGTACTTACTTATGATCCAATCTGCTAACCCATTAAACGTTTGGTAAAATTCATCTGGTAAAGCATCTAGCCTGTTTATTTTTGTTTTAGGATAGAGGGTATTAAATACACTTTTTAAGGTTAAAAAAGAGTTTAAATTATGAACAATATCATTTTTATGACCATTGAATTGTGTTCATGTTAAAGGGTGGAGTGGTTTAATATCTTTATTCCATTTAATAATGATGATATTTCACACAAGAATTCTACTGTTGAAGATTTAATTGTACTTTGTGGACACTGATGTCAGTGTTTATGTAGAGGGAGAGTGTAGGGTCACAAAAAAATCAATCTGGCTGTCCATTATAATGGAATAGTATCTTCTGAAAGTTTTTTTTTAGTATTTACAAACAATAAACTTATTTCAACCCAGTATAAGAAATTAGTGATTATTATTAATCTTTTATCTACTCTTTACTAGACAGTGGAACATATTAGAATTGGACATAATGCAGATAGTTCATATAGATGTGCAACACTATCACCATATATACTGTCTTTGTTAGGGTTTCTATTGCTGTGAAGAGACAACATGACCACGGCAACTCTTAAAAAGGAAAAACATTTAATTGGGTTGGCTTACCTTTTCAGAGGTTTAGTCCATTATCATCATGGTGGAAAGCATGGCAGCATGCAGGCAGACATGGTGCTGGAGAAGGAGCTGAGAGTCCTACATCTTGACCACAGGCAGCAGGTCTGAGACACTTGAACATAGGAGAACTCAAAACCCACACCCACAGTGACACACTTCTTCCAATAAGGTCACACATCCTAATAATGCCACTCACTATGAGCTTATGGGGGTCAATTACATTCAAACCACCACAGATACTTTGAATTAAAATGTAATAATTTTTCTTTTGTATTGTTGTCAATAGATTTTTGTTGTTGTTGTTTTGAGATAGCCCTGGCTGTCCTAGAACTTGCTCTGTAGATCAGGCTGGTTTTGAACTCAAGACCTGTCTGCCTCTGCGTCCTGAGTGCATGGACTAAAGGCCAGCAGTGTTAATAGATTTTGTCTCTATACAACGTTTGCCAACTGTAGTTACTGTATTTTTTTTTTTTTTTTTTTGGTTTTTCGAGACAGGGTTTCTCTGTGTAGCTTTGCGCCTTTCCAGGAACTCACTTGGTAGTCCAGGCTGGCCTCGAACTCACAGAGATCCGCCTGGCTCTGCCTCCAGAGTGCTGGGATTAAAGGCGTGCGCCACCACCGCCCGGCTCTGTATTTTTTATATGACACTTGTGGGAAACTTGCTCATTTCTCTCTCTCTCTCTCTGGCCAAGTTTAACTTAAAAGACTGAGTCTAAAGTCTACAAATTCTGGAAAATCAACTCCTACAATTTTGTTAGTACCTTTATTTTATTTTTTGATATTTTAATTTCTAGATGAAAAAGGATCAAAAAATGAAATGGGGCAGGGAAGGATAATATCTTAGTAGAGAATGGGGAAATCTTCATTTGTTATGGATGCTCCAAAATGTGACATTTCTAAATATGGGTTTTAACAAAAATGCTAGCAACTAAGGAGGTAAGATGCACTTGTGTCTTTTTGTTGAAGGTTGAAAAAACAAAGACACATGCAAGGAATGGAAGAGACGAAGCAAAACACCCCTATGAAGCTGTTGTTTTTACTGCTACTGCTGCATCTACTGCTGCTGCTGCTGCTGCTGCTACTGCTGCTGCAGCTGCTGCATCTACTGCTGCTTCTGCAGCATCTACTGCTGCTGGCGCTGCTGTTGTTGCTGCTTCTGTTGTGGATGAACTGGTTCGACAGAGAAAATCTGGAGAAATCAATAACCAGAGATTTCTTATTATGGAGAATACAGAGCATGATGGGTAAGAGCATACTATTTAGTAGTAGATAACTGCTATTGTCTTATAAAACTTCTAATTTGGGATAATTTTCATATGACAAATTTTATGCTTTTACTAGTGCATAAAATTATATTGTTAAGGATTTTATTCAAAAGGTAATAATCAGGGTTGTGGTAATGGCTGGTTTTGTGTGTCAATTTGACACAAGCTAGAGTCATCAGAGAGGAAGGAACTTCAGTTGAGGAAATGACTCCATGAGATCCAACTGTAAGGCATTTTCTCAATTAGTGATCAATGGGGTAGAGCCCCACCCATGGTGGGTGGTGTCATCCCTGGGCTGGTGGTCCTAGGTTCTAGAAGAAAGCAGGCTGAGCCCTACAGAGTTGGGCACTTAATTGCTACACTGTGCTAAATGCAAAATGATGTTAATGAAATAAAGTGTAATTTTTAATAATGTCATCACCCATATACAAGATATTTTGTTATATATTACACTTAATGATTCTATTCAAATCTTTACATGGTAAGTGGATTTTTTTCATTCTGATTTCATTAAGAAATGTAATAAAGTTTTCAGGATATTGTGCATCACATGCTGTGCAGACAGAATTCTGAGATGTGAATTCTCTTCTCTAATTGACAAGCTGTTTGCATTTGGGCAAATTACTTGGTATTTCTTTGTCTAGATTGTTGCTTTAGAAAATGCCTAACACATCCTCTATCTAATAAATTTGAAATTAGTTCAACCCATTTACAGTAATTAGAATGTTGTACTGCAATTGCAAAGTCTATCCTGAACATATACTTCTTAACATTGTTATTAAATTGTTTCCTTCATGTAAGGAATTAATCCATTTTTCAAATAGATTTTAGTGTTTGTAAAAGTTTAATTTTTTTTAAAGCATTACTCTTGTTTATTGTTGTCTATCAAAATGCAGAGAACATTAGTATTTTTCCTATATATACTTAATAAGTAGCATAGCCTAAATGTGGATAGCTTTCTATAAATAATTAATAGCTTCCTGAAATTAATTTGTGCTTCTTGTAGGCCCCGAAAGAAAACATCTAAGAAAAAACATAAGGTATTGTGAAAAGAATCAAAAGTACTTCTTTACTCACCGTGTCATATAAAAGGCAGTAAAATCTTATAAGACTCTAAGTTAAAATACATTATAAAACATCAAGTGAAGAAGTATAAAGAGACCCAAACCCATACACATCAGGAATCTCAACACTTATATGTTGAAGGCAGTGGGATTCCATGAGTGAGGTTCCAGATGATAGTATATTGTGAGTTCTAGGCCAGTGTGGGGCACAGATAAAGACCCTGCCTCAAAAATAGAGACAAAATAAAAGGTAAAGAGAATATGGAATCTTTTTGTCTAAAACCACCGTTTTGAAATTATGTTTAAGAAAAAGTAGCTATTGAGAAAAGAATCCATTTTATTTTTAAATTCTAGAGGGTAACCAAGAGCAATGACAATAGGCTTTAATGTTTGGGGTTCTGTGGGACCTCACTGGCCAAAAACTCCAAAAAAATGAAACCCATTCCTGGCACTGGCTTTTGAGTTGTTAGCTTCTGGTGTCTAGAAGGGGTGTTGTTGTCATGTTATTGGGTAGCTTCATTTTAACTCTCTATGTGGAAGAGTCTACAGTAGTAGGTTTCCATATACCTTTTTTAAAAGGTCTTTAGTATTATTTATCCCTTTCCAAGTCCTTTCCTCTACCCTACCCTTTGCTCCTCAACCCCACTTTAACCCTTCCTGCTTAATTATTCCCTTGTGAACACTTTACACCTATGCTTTCTAGCTCTCTCCTTTAAAAGCACCTGGTCACTGCCCCTCAGTAAATCCCTGAGTTCTTTGGGTATTCCAAATTAAACATGCATACTTGAAATTCAAAGCTACCATTCACAGATTAGAGGGAACATCTGGCATCTCTTTTTGGGTCTGGGTTACCTCACTCAGAATTTAGAATGGTTATCTCCAGCTCCATCCATTTACCTACAAATTTCACAATGATATTTGTGTTAATAGCTGAATAAATTTCAATTGTGCAAATGCACCATATTTTCAATGTCCACTCATCAGCTGATGGCCATTTAGGCTGTTTCCACTTCCTACCTATTGTGAGTAAAGCAGCAATGAACACAAGTGAGCAAGTATCTTTAGAGTAGAATGTGGAGCCTTTGTGTGTATTCCAGAGAGTTGTATAGTTGGAACTTATGGTAAATCTATTTTTAGCTCTTTGAGAAACTTCCACACTAATTTACATAGTTGTTGCATCAGTTTGTATTCCCACCAGAAATGAACAGATGTTCCTGTTTCCCCATACCCATCTGTAGGCCTTTGCTTTGTTGACCTTAGACATTCTGACTTGGGTGAAATGAGTTCTCAAAAAAAAAATGTAAGTTGCATTTTCCTGAAGACACCACTCTCTTGAGTCATAGAACATGACACAATCAAGCTGGGACGGATGGAAGCTTTATCCCTAGTGGTTGACTTTCATAGTGCTGAAAAGTGTGGTTGATATATTGTGCACCCCAATAAACTTATCTGGGCATCAGAGAACAGAACAGCCATAATATTAAACATAGAGGTTAGGCAGTGGCACACACGCCTTTAGTCTTGGGAGGCAGAGATTCATCTGGATCTCTGTGAGTTTAAAGCCACACTGGAAACAGCCAGGCATGGTGACTCATGCCTTTAATCCCAGGAAGTGAGCCTTTAATCCCAGGAAATGATGGCAGAAAGCGGGAGGGTATATAGGGCGTGAGGACCAGGAACTAGCTTGGTTAAGCTTTTAGGCTTTTGAGCAACAGTTCAGCTGAGATTCATTCTGGATGAGGACTCAGAGGCTTCCAGTCTGAGGAAACAGGATCAGCTGAGGAATTGGTGAGGTGAGGCTGTGGCTTGTTCTGCTTCTCTGATCTTCCAGCATTCACGCCCATACCTGGCCCTGGATTTGTTTTTATTAAGACCATTTAAGATTTGTGCTACAGAAAGGTGCTATGCAATCTACTGCAGGAGAAATGGAATCATCAACCTGACTTAGCTGTGAACCCTGTGAGCTACTACAGTAATGACTGGCCTGGCAAGCTATGCCCACTGGTGCAGTAGTGGCTTTAACATCCTAGGAGCAAACAGCTACTTTCTCAAAGATTGTATTTAAAGTTTACTCCATGAGATGAAGCCCATACCAGCACAATTACTGGCCCAAGAACTTATGGCTAGCTGGGCCATTGGGTCATAGGCCCTAGGGAAGAACCTACTATTAGTATGCTGCTAAATGGATTATTAAACTGACTTCTCATAATTTGTAATGCTCACAGATCAATGTACCTCTCAACCTTCATCTAAGAAGCTTCTGTTTGCAATAGATGGTGTTTAACACAGTAACCCAAATCAGGCTATTGTGCAAAGAATAAGGGACTACAGAATGCTCAACCTTAAACCTCAATCCCACTCCCAATGTTCCACAATCATTGCAGAAGAGGGTCAGAAAAGGTATAAGAGCCAGAGGTAACTGATGACTACAAGCAAACATTATTTTCTAAACACAGAAGGGCAGCTTCACATATGAACTCACAGTAGTTGTAGCAGCATGCATAAGACCTGTGTAAGCTAAGCCAGCCCAAATCCCAAGATGAAGAGGAGCATTAGCTACACAATCCCACCACTAGCTGTGAAGCCACTGGTAGGCACTAGTTGCTGGGAGAGACAGGTAGCCCCTGGTTGTGGAAGGCAGCACATGTAAGCATATTTTGACAGTATGAATTGATTTTGAAGGGTTAAAAAACAAGGACACAAGTTGACTGTGTAGGGAAGGAGGTGAGTCTGGGAAGAATTGGGGGAGGAGGTGAATATGATCAAAAACGTTGTATAAAACGCTTAAGGAACTAATAAAATGTATCAATTTAAAGAAAGATTTCTCTTCAGGAGTTCCTTTGGCTTTGTATATATAAAGCAAGTAATTGCTACTTTTGTATATGATGTGGTATGAATATTGAAGGTATTTTATAGTAGTATTTATCTTTTAGGTAACAAAAGAAGTAAGAGCTATGGTTGATGTAACTCAGTCATCTGAACCAGTCCCAGAGGATGGTAAGTTATTTAAATGCAAAAATGCTTTAAAGTTAATTTTATTAGAATATGTATGCAAATCAGCTGTCTAGTCCCTCTTACTTTTCAGGGTTTTCACTATTCTAGATAGTCCACATCCCTATGTAATCTTTTTCTCTTCCTTCCTTCGTTCCTTCGTTCCTTCATTCCTTCTTCTTTCTTCCCTCCCTCCTTCCTTCCTTCCTTTCTATCTCTCTCCCTCCCTCCTTCCCTCTCTCCCTCCCTCCTCCCCTCTTTCTGTCCTTCCTTCCTTCCCCACTCCCTCCTCCCCTCCCTCCTTCCCTCTCTCCCTCCCTCCTCCCCTCTCTCTGTCTTTCCTTCCCTCCCCCCTTCCTCCCTCCCTCCCTCCTCCCCCTCCCTCCCTCCCTCCTTCCCTCCCTCCCTCCTTGCTTCCCTCTTTCCTAGCTTGCTATTTTGCTTGAATCAGTAGGCGTGAAATCCAGGTCCTGGGAATAGTAGGCAAATCTTCTATCATCTCTAACCTCCATATGAATTTTATAATCAACTGCCAATTAATCCTGTTGAGAACTTGGAGATTCAAGTTTTAATAATGGATCTTTGGACTCCTCAATGAAGTTTACCTCTTCATTTATATAAACTGGATTTAATTTTGTCAGAAATATTTTTTTGGTTTTTGTATATAAGTTTTCCATATTTTTTCAGATTTATCTGCATTTCAGGTATTTTAATAGCCTGATAGATAAATTTTTTTTTAGTGAACCCAGGGCCTTGGACAGTATAGGCGAGGGCTCTCCCTCCCACTGAACCACAACCTCAGTGCTAGAAGTTCTCTTTGGTTTCCGAGACAGCACTTTGCTGGCCTCAAACCGAGGATTCTTCTACTTTCAGTTCCCAAACACTAAGATTATGAAATGTTCTCATCTTGGCTGACTTCTTGAATTCATTCTTTTGTGTCTTGGCTTAAAATCCCTCTTGCAGCAGGGACCTGGGGCATTAGGAATTCATGGTTTTCACTACCTGAAGTCCATTGTCTTGAAAATTGCTTAAAGCATTTTATTTCTGGTTTATTTGTTTCATGTACTAATGTTAACCAGTATCCTTTCTCCACATTAGGTGGAAGCAGATCACAGTATTTTTGGTACCTTTGTAGACAGTCTAGAGTCCTTTTTTACCATCTGCCTAGCAGATTCATGCTCATGCATTATTTTCCAACGTTGCCACCTTTTCCTCTGAGATTTCTTCTTGTGCACACTGAAGATAACTTTATAGATCACAGAACTCTTTTGTGTGTTTTATTTAACCACAGGTATCTGAATGGTCGTTAATCTGTCTTTTCTACTGGACTTTACACTAGGAACATAGCTCTAATGTGTTCTTTTTACAGAATTTAGTTTAATGTAATTTGCATCAGAGACTTTCAGTCTGCACCTGTGCAGAATGTAAATGAAAGGCGGTCAAAATGTATAGTTTTTTTTTTTTACACAGACAAGGTACTAATGTATTTTATTTTATCTCTCTTTTCCTTCATGCAGATTCTGGAAGTTCATTAAAAATACAGGAACCACTTAATTCATACAATGCATTAGTAGATCTTCAAAAAATCAATGAACTACTTAGGAAAAAAAATGAAACAATGGAAAATGAGAATAATGCTCTACAGAAGGAGATATCAGAAACAAGAGAAGAGAAATCAAAGTTAGAGGATAAAATAGTGGAACGGGATGAAGAATTATGGAACCTGAGGTATGATACCCTGCTTTGAGAACTCTATGTTACAGATATGGAGTGGAAGGTCCTGAAAATTGCTGTTTTTCCCTCTAGAGTTTTGTAGGAGAAAAAAATCTGTGTCTTATGGGATCTAGAAATTGTTGGGAATAATAAAACAAATTGATAATCATGGATATCACTAATAAATATATACTCTTTAAAATACCAGTTTTAATGTATATATAATAGACATCCTCTATTTTGAAAGTTCACTATTTATCACACAGTATTATTGGGGTGATTATTAAGGCAACTCCACGTAGTTAAAAAGGAGGTTTATTTTGGGGTAACTTACAGCTAGTAAAGGGGTTGGTTACAGGATTGAGGAGAGGAGAGGAGAGGTGAGGAGAGGTCCAGCGGTGTTCTCTGGAGAACTCGGCTTGGTCTACCATCCAGTATCCAGGATCACCAGGAACCAAAGAGAGCAGGCACATCTGGATCTCGGGTCTTAAGCACTCCTGTCTTGGCCCCACCTCAGGGGCTTGTCATAGGTAGGTGCAGCAGTTACCGGAAGCCTCACTAGGTAGTACTTCCTGGTCAAAATTGGAACAACTACCCACTACATAGTATTGAGTGGAATTTTTATTGTATTGACTTAGAAATAATTCAGCAAGTATTGTCATTTAGTTAAACAATTTTCTCCATTCTTAATTATTTACTTTTAATTGAGTTCATCAATATAGAATCATGTATTTAAAATATACAAAATTTAAAAATGTTTTTGATCAATATTTCCAAACATTTTTTAAGTAAGTTAATATCCATTTGTAGTTCTACTAGCAGAGCATGAAATGGTCGTTTTAATAGCCTGAAAACTTTTCCTTTAAAAAATATACTTTGTTATTGATGTGCTGAAGATGAAACTCAGATCTTTGTGCATGCCAACCAGGACTGAAAGTTATACAAATAATGGGCTTATTCTAAATCACCACACATCAAATAACATGTAAAATGGGAAACAATTACTGATTATTCAGTATCACTTTCATCTATAGATAAGAAAAAGATATCTTTATTTTTCAAGACAGGGTCTCACTGTGTATCCCTGGTTGGCCCAGAACACAGAGATCCAATTGTCTCTGCCTCCAGAACACTGGGATTAAAAGTACATGCCATATAAAGTGGCATGACTGCTCCAAGGTATGGTTGAGGGGAAGGTTTCTGTTGTAGATATGAGAGAGAGTATAGCCAGAGACATGTGGAGGAATCCAGAGCATGGAGAGAAAGTAGTACACAGAGCATGACCAGTGCCCCAACGGGAGGAGTGAAGAGAAGAGTGGGAAAGGAAGACCAAGGGAGAGGGAGCCAAGAGAGAGGAGGAAAGGGGTGGAAGAGAAGGAGGCATGAGCGGTAGAGCGTGTGGCCAAAATGCCAGGGTTTGATGGGAATAAGAAGCTGGGGGACGAGAAGCCCATGAGCTGGAGGAGTTCAGGGTAGCAGGTGGGGTGAGAAGAGCCGAGAAGAGGAGCTGCAGGTACTGAGTGAGCCTGGAGACCATCACACACTTCGCTATGCTCATAGGCACCACGGTTAACCATGTGCCCCAGGTTTCTTTCAGATCTGAAATGGCAACATGCCTGTGTGGCTGCTCTCTGTTGTGAAAGAACATGATATGTAACTATTCGTGATTGTCTTATTCTAAGTGCAACTCTTAACTTTTTCATAAATTACATAGCAATCAACAAAGTAAGTTGAAATTGTTAAAAAAAAACCCAAACAAACATAAAAAGCATAACTGAGGTTAGACTCTATAATCTAGTCTTTTTTTTTTAATTTAAAATTTACTTGGGCTTATAATTACATTTCTCTATTTTCTTTCCTCCTTCCAAATCCTCCCTTATACCTTTGCTTGCTCTCTTTCAAACTCATGGCCTCTTTTTTAAATTATCTGTTATTATATGTATATATACACATAATTAATATATATAACAATACATTATATTTAATAATATGTATATTATTAAATATAACCCACTCTGCCTGTAGAATGGTTAACCTAGTCTTCAGTCATGAAATTTGAAATATAAGCCTAGAAAGTAAAAGTATCAAACTACATGAATTCATTGTTTTTGTTTTACATTTTTCCATATGATTTATTATGGTAATAACCTATCACGATCAGTGTTGAACACTGGATTTTCTGACAAATTTAATTTCACGATAAGCACATTTAACTTCATGTTTACTTTAAGGAAAGAACTGGAGGAGACAAGAAATATTCATTGCTTTTATAAGAATATTAAGAAACATTTACGTGAAAAAGAAAAACGACTCAATGAAAGAGCTGCAGTAACACAGCTTGAGTCACAGCTGAGAACACGAGATTTGGAACTGAAGAATGCAAGGGACACCGTGAAGGAGGTAAACCAATTTCAAGTAAAACATTCAGCTCTTGACTCAGTCTCTCCAATACTACTTATACCAGCCCTCTGGTGAGTTAATGTGTCTATTGTACTTAATGACAGGAATATGATCTGTTGAATATCTTTTGTCAATTTACATCACCAGCCAACCTCTCATAATCATATGCTCACAAAAACTTTAAACACACTGCACATATCAGTAGGCAAGATATTATTGCCTATCTAGCCTATTCATATATTTTTAATTTGTTATCATTTTGAGCTTTTCTTTTAATTTTTTTTATTTTCAAGATTATAATATAATCAGATCATTTTCCCCCTTCCCTTTCCTGTCTCCAAACTCTCCCATAAACCTCTCCCCACTCTCCTTAAAATTAATGGACTTTTTTTCATTAATTGCTGTTATATGCACACACACACACACACACACACACACACACACACACACACACAGGAGATGTATTTGGTTTTTCTTTGGGCCATTAACCAGCTCCCAAATAAAGACACGGAGACTTATTATTACTTATGAATGCTCTGCCTTAGCTTAGGCTTGTCCCATTAGCTCTTTTAACTTAATTTAACTTGTTTCTATTCATCTATGCTTTGCCTTGGGGCTTTTTACCTTTTTTCATTCTGTATGTCCTACTTTCCTGCTCCCTCTGTGTCTGTCTGTCTGGTCTCTGGTACCTCTCTGTCATCTCCTTCTCTTCCTCTCTTGAGCTTAAATTCCTCCTCCTACTTACTCTCCCTGCCTGGAGGTCCCACCTATACCTCCTCCCTTGCTATTGGCCATTCAGCTTTTTATTAGACCAATCAGGTACTTTAGGCAGGCAACGTGAAACAGCTACCTATCTTTACATAACTAAACAAATGCAACCCATCTTTACACAGTTAAACAAATATTCCACAACACACATATATACATACACACACACACACACATATATATATATATATATATATATATATATATATATATATATATATATATATATATATATATTCATATCTATCCCTAAATAGAACTGCTCAGTCTGTATAATGATACTTGTATGTACGTTTTCAGAGCTATTGGGTGTTGGGTAACCAATTTTGTGTTCTCTTCTCTGAGGAAGACTGTCTCTGCCATGTTCAGTATCCTTAGTCGCCTGTAGTTCTTTGTGTGGGATTGAGGCCTCCCAGGCTTTCCTCTGTCCATGTTAGCATGTCCGTTGTTGTTGTCACTGTTAAACTCATAGGCAGTCGTGTTGGTGAGACTTTCTGAGTGTGGCTCCTTGTAGTTGAAGTTCTCCTGTGTCCACCTGGCTCCTGCAGCCTCTCTGACCCAAGTAAACACACAGAGACTTATATTACTTATAAACTGTATGGCTGTGGCAGGCTTCTTGCAATGTAGTTCTTATATCTTAAATCAACCCATTTCTATTAACCAATAAGTTGCCACGTGACTTGTGGCTTACCGGTACTTTACATCTTGCTTTTCATGGTGGCGGCGGCTGGCAGCACCTCTTGACTCAGCCTTCCTCTTCTCAGAATTCTCCTCTCTGCTTGTCCCACCTGCCTGGCTACTGGCCAATCAGCATTTTATTTGTCAATCAATCAGAGCAACACATTCACAGCATACAGAAAGACATCCCCAGCAGCTCCTGACATTACTAGGAGACACAATCTAATAAACTCTCTGATCTTCAGGCTCTTACAATCTTTCTTCCCCCCTCCTGCAATGTTCCCTGAACCTTAGGTGAGGGAGTTTCTTTCTAGATGTATCTACTGGGACTGGCTTCACAACTATGCATTTTTAATGTTGTGGTTTTCTGTAAGGGAATATATGAAAACCACAGAGATACTTGCACATCCATGTTTATTATGACACTCATTCACAATAGCTCAGATATAGAGCCAGTCTAGATGTCAATAAAGAGTTGGATGGGTAAAGAAAATGAGGTACATATAAACTAATAGAGTTCTATTGGGATGTGAAGAGTGAAATTGTAGAGATGGAGAGATGGCTCAGTGGTTGAGAGCATTGACTGCTCTTCCAGAAGACCCTGGTTCAATGAGTGACTTGGTCAAGGCATGCTATTTACATTGTGCTATATCATTCTTGCTTAATGACAGCATTTAAGCCATAGATTATCAGAAATGGATAATATTATTGTTAATGAAATGAGTGAAAGTTTCACAAAATACTGGAATTATATTCTGGGGCTCTTGCCCCTATCCCATGGAAAATGCTGCTCCTTAAGAGATCAAATTTTATTACAGAACAAAATACTAACATAATATTAATGCTAACAGCAATTACGTATCACCACAGGTCACATAATCATAATCTGTGTGCATTCTATTTGAATCTTCCCAGTAACCCAGTGAGGTAGATACTGTCATTATGTCTATCTCATAGATAAAGAGACTGGAATACAGAATGTTAACGTGTTTATGAGGAAGAAACATGTAGTCATTGGTGGCACTTGATGTTGAGGCATCTGTGCAGATATTGCTGTCACCCCTACTTTTAAGAGAAACAACTAAAAACTGAGATGTCATGTCACTGTGGCACTTCACTGGCAGAGTTGTGGCCATTAACATGTCTAGGAACTCTTTGTACAGTACTGATGATGTAGCATTCAGAATCACACACACACACACACACACACACACACACACACACACACACACACATCATGAGGGCCTTACCTTTTCCCCTTTCCCAAGATATTCTATGTTTCTATGCAATAACATACAGTTTAAATTTAAGAATAATATATTTCAGTACTATAGAAATATCAAGACATGTTTTTATGACAAGAGATAGTATTACTTTGTGAGCTGCAATACTCAGCTATCTGGGCAGTTTCAAAACCAAGGTTACCACAAACAGCATGTTCAGGAAAGAATCTAGCTGGGTTCCCCAAGACTTCAGTGCATTAGCAATTAATGATTGATGACAGAATGTTAGTAAAATTATTTTCAACCATTTTTTTTAGTTGCAAGAAGCACAGGATCAATACATAAAAGCTCTAAAAACTGCCCAGGAGATGAAAGGTCACTTACAAAGGTATGGTTTAAAGTAGCATTTGATATGACTTGAGTGTTCATATAGCAAGTAAGAGATGTGGTGGGGAAGTACGCCAGTTATGAGTTAGTATATTGCTGTGAAGCCTGGACATGCGCTTCAAGTCACTTGAAACACAATTCAGGGTTTATGAAGTACCTCAGTGGTAGAACATATGCTCACATGGATGACAGTCTGGGTTATTACCCTAAACAATACAAAAAGATTTTTTTAAAAAAAAGAATCATGCCTAAATTTTGCACATTCTTACAAAGTAGGACTGGAAGATGACACAATTTCTAAATCACATACTTTTCAGATATGTCATAATTTCTATAGTTTCTGTTTCAGTTTTCTAAAACCATGTAGCATTGTGTACAAACAATGTGTAGGATAAAGAAAGAGGAGAAGTGGAAGGGGAGCAAGGGATGTAGGGCCAGGTCAGAAGGGGAGCAAGTGGCTGTGACAGGATACCTGTGACACAAAAGCATGGGGGTAGGGGGAGGAAGTCGGTCCAGCTGAGAGAAGGGATGGGGACAGTGGCTAGAGACAAGAAAGAGCAACGTTTAAGGATATGCATGTCTACAATGTAATAAAGCCCATTACCTTGTGAGCTAAATTACAAACCATTTAAAACTGGGTGGTACTAAAAAATGAGTCTCTGAGAATAACCATTTGAAAACATGCATTTTTAGGATTGAACAGGAACATTCTGAGTTAAAAGTTAAAGTAAAAGAGCAAGCTAGGCAAATCAAAGAGCATCATGGACGCCTGCAAAACTCATGTCTAAAACTGGAGCAAAATAAAATATCGGTAGGTCCATTGCATTAATTTTTGTCATACCAAAATGCCTTTTCTTCCCTAATAACATATGGTAATATTTTAGGGAATGTATTAAGTATCTCATTAAGAAAATATTTGTTGTATTCTTATTGACTCTGCTGGCTACTCCTGTGCTTTAGTCACCATGACTTTCCACGAGAAGCTGATGTAATAGAATTGATGACTTTGGTAGCAGTTGGTTATACTGCAGAAAGGATTTTTGGAACAAAGCTTTCCTAAGGTCATATATATGCATATAGGAAGTGTTCAGAAGAAAACAGTTGATAATCTGTTCTTCATAGACAATTCCACAATTACAAAAGAAAATAAGGTGAAGTGTACTGGTTAACATCAACCTGAACAGAGACAATTACACTCCCCCTTAATACAGGAATCATGATAGAACTGCTTCCAGCAAAGAATTTTCAGGAGTAAAGTGCTTAAAATCACACTGTGTCCTGGCAGCTTATTAAAGAAACATCTTACTCGAAGGAGTAATTGGGCTTTCTAAATCTTAAGGTGACCTGTATGGATGTAAACATGGAAAGGATGTAAACACGGGGATCTTCTCCATAGAAACAGGCCTAGGGGGCCAGAAAGAATTATGCCCCATTCATTTTATTCAAAGAGCAGTATATTTGTTTTATTAAGAACTGTTTTAAATGATTTTAAAATTCTTTATTTATTCTTGGAGGTAAGGAAAATGAAGATTTATTAGAATATTCAGAACAGGCTCAGGATGTGCCTCAGTCATCAAGTACTGGTTTAGTATAGATACCAGGCCCTGTGTTCAATCCTCCCACCCTCCCTACACTGAAAAAAAAAACCCAGTCAACTCAAAGTTGCCTTTTGCCTTTAAAATCAAATCATTGAAGTCAGATAAAAGCTCTGTTTTTTTTTTTTAAAGCCAAATATTTTCAGCTCTTATTCTTGAAAGCACAAATCCCCTCACTCACTGTTTTTAACCTGTCTAACTTGGGGAATCTTCTACCAGGTACGTTTCCCTGCTTGTAGAACATCGCAACCACAGGGAGCCTTGCAAACCTCCTTCAGTTGTTCTAGTGTCTTATTTCCTATTCCTCCACCTCTTACTAACAGTGCTCATCTTCAATCAGTTAATGTCTCTACTGGTTGCATTTGACCTGCATGATGTAACTTGTTTCTGGACCATTTTAAGGCACCCCTTTTCTCTGATAAATCATCCATAGAGTCATGACTTAAAATAGTGTTCTTTACCATTGTTCTCAGGTCTAGATGGGGGTGCAGTAACTAGACCGTAGGTTTAGACTATGACCCAGAAAATAGAACTCCTCTGAATAAGCCATTTACAGCCCATGTAACCAACACACTGCTGGACTCCTACCCTACCCCACCCCCAAGTCCACAGTAGGAAAGAGAATGCAAGGCACTGAGGGCGGCACTCATGCAGGCTTGAAACATCTCTGAGACTGTTCCCTGGCCTTGGCATCATGGTCCAGTTCTCTATTATGGGGGATCTTCCTCTACTAAGAAACAGACTGCACTTGCAGCTGGGCATTTCCCACCTTGAGCTTTCTCTCTGCAGGACTCCCAAGGCACAACCATAACCTTCACTCTGTTTTAGCCTTTCCTTAACATAAGCTAGCAAGTGATACTTTGGTTACATTTCTCTTCAGAATTTTGAGTCTACTGTAGATTTTTTTTTTGGTTTCAGTCATTCTAAGAGGCACCTTTATAAATTTTTTAAACATGATTTTATATCTTTTAAATTATGTGTATTTGTGCGTGTGTTTGTGCATTGTGTGGGTGTGTGCAAGTGAGTCTAGCACCTTTGGAGTCCAGAAGACAGAGCCCGTTCCCTCACAGCTCAAGTTACAGGTGATGGTGAGCCATCCAGGGCACTAGGAAGTAAACTCAGGTCAGCTGCAGGAGAAAAATGCACTCTCCATGACTGGGCTATTTCTCCAACCCTACAAATCATTTGGGATTAGCTCTTAATCGTTGGCTGCCAATGAAGCTGTATTCAAATAAAGCTTAAAAACTACTTAGGAAATGTGAAGCTTTATGAAGACACAGCAAAGTGCCTTGCATTTATGGTCTTGGCTTATGCTTCAGACCATGTGTTCTCAGTGGTACCCTTTAGTTTGTCTTTTCTTAGAAGGCATTTATTTTAGCTTTATTTGGTAACTGGGCATGTGGAAATTCTACACATTAGAAATACATATTTTTATACAGCACATCCTGGTTCTTTCCTATTTGACAGTCTGTAGCTCCCTTCTCACGCCACTTTTGCTTTTGGCTGGGATGCAACAATCTTTTTCTTTTTCTGCCAATCTCTTTGAAGGGCGTGAATCTTTCAGTAAACATTACCTCATAAGCCCAGGCACCTTTCATTTCTACTGTATGTTTCTCATGTTCTCAAATACTCCTTTAAATTAGACTCCCCCATTATCAGTTTTGAGCTGAGTTCACAAATATTTGAATTGTCTAGTTACATGAACAGTTATGTGAGAACAGTTCCAGGGGTATTCCTTAGCACACAGTTAAGTACTTTCCCAAGAAGATGGTTTCAATCCCCCGCCACATACATACAGTTGCACAAAAATGAATGGGAATAGTTAAAATTCAGATTTATTATGATGGATTTTGATATTTTTTAAACTTAAAATTTTATTTTTATTATTTTATTAGTGGTTTATTGCATGCATGTATTTATACCATATGCAAGCCTGGTGTCCACAGAAGCCATAAGAGTGTGTTGGATCTCATGGAACTGGAGTTAGGAATGGTTGTGAGTCACCATGTGAATCCTGGGGACCAAACCCAAGTTCCTTTGCAAGAGCAGCAAGTGATCTTAATCACTGAGCCATCTTTCCCATCCCTGATGATAAATATTTCAAACAAGAATTTAAAACTGCTATTTGAATCATTTGCTCAAAAGTGAAACTATCAAATGTATAGTAAATATTTGAGTATTTTCTCTAAATATATCGTTTTAATTTGCTTTCGACCCAGGCAGGTGCTCAAGAAACTTTGGGGGAATTATGTGAAAACAGCATTTCCCCAATGAATCAAACAGGAACCCGAATCCAAAGTGTGCAGTCTGAACGCTCCCAAATGAAAACTATACAAGACTCAAATATGAGAGCCCTGAAAAGTTATGAGCAACAGTGCATAGAAGAATTAAGGATTAGCAATGCATTGTTATATGAACAATACAAGTGAGTAACACCAAAGGATTGCAGAAAAGAGAGCAACCCTGTATTGGTGAAATTATTAAGACCACTCCACGTAGTTAAAAGGAAGATTTATTTAGTGGGTAACTTACAAATGAAGGGATAGGTAGGTCGCGGGGTCTGGGGAAAGTGTATCGCAGTCCAGTGGTGTTCTCTGGAGCTCTGCTCGGCCCGCCTCCACCGTCCAGGGTCCAGGAACAGAGAGAGTGTCAAAGCTGGAATGGCTACCCACTACAACCCTGGCTTTTCTATAAGACAAAACTTTCAGTGAAATAGTCATGGAGATCAGTAGGTGCAAAAGTGAGCTAGCAAAATAGTTTTGGAAAATCATCTTAGTACAATACTCACCTTCAAAATGTCATTCCAGGGCAGACTAGATCATATTGTCCCTTCTGATTAAACATGCAATTCTCTTCATTAATATTCTGACATAGTTGTTTGAGATAAGTTAGCTTGCACTTGCCAATAAACAGAAACAGTAAAAGTCCGGGTGCTGTTTGGAAGGATGTAATGAAACCCTAGGCTCACTACTCTTCTTGTCCACAGTCTGGGGCTTCCTAAACTAGCTTTCCTTGAGTATTCCCTTAGGCGTTACCACTAATTATGGCCCATTGTCCAGTGTTTAATTTCACCCATGTTCTATATAAATGTTGAAACCAAAAGCTTAGAAATGTCTTTGAGGAGATTTCCTTTTAACCTCCTAAACTGTTTACTAAATACAAGTATCCATAAAAACTGCTATCTTAATCATACATATTTAAGGAGTATAATATGATTTTTAATAAGCTTTATTAGTGAATTTGTCATTATAACCATATATGTTAACATATCCATAATCCCATGTTACTGCCCTTTGAATTAAAGTATCTCTGCTCCGACCTTAAGGTTTATAGATGTAGGGTCCTCCCAGAGGGCACCATTTTTACCTGTGAAGTCATATGTCTTTGATAGCCTTGTCTCTACTTCTGATATTGTTTGGTGTACTTAGAATTTCTCTAGAAATATAAGTAATCCTTTGGAATAACTTGAAACCTATAATTATATGCATGGCAGGCATGCTCCTACACACTTTTCAGTGTTAAGATTCTGTTTAATGAGGAAATTCTGTGCATTCTTATGGTGCCTTTAAAATACAAGGAGAAATTTGTGGATCGATGAGATACATGTTATGGTGTACACCCTTTCAGTCTTTACAGGAATAAGAGTCTAGATGAATCCTGCACACAAGTTCGCATCACGGTAGAGCAGGACACATCTCCTCTGAACACATCACAAGCCAGGTTTCCTCTTGAGAGCCCTTGTGTGGCAAGCACCTGCCCTTGCAGAAACGTCTTCCTGTGTGAAAACATTGTTCTCCCACAAAACTCAAGGTCTTCTAACGGCTGCCTGCGAAGCTACCCAATGATGGTATTGCCATTTCCTCTGTTTGCAGACTTGTGACAGAATCTTTGTTTTTAATTTCATTTATCACCAAATTGTTTAATGTGCATATTAAGTAAATGTAAAATATGTATTAATTATGATAGAAAGCAAAGCATGAGTTTTTCTAAAGTGCGAGGAGTCTGTCTTTTCCCATTAGATTAAATAACTGTTATGGAATAATGAGGTTTCAAATGTTGTTTAAAAGCTATACTTACATGGTTTCAAAGTGAATGTGACAGTGGGCAGACTTTGAGGCATCTGAGGACATTTCTGCGTGATTACAGCTTGACTAGTCTATACAGTGCTTGAGTGTTTCCCCACAGATTCCCAGATCTACAAACTTATCATGAGTGTATTACCAGCATCCAAACACTTCACCACATATGGATGTTTATAATATAAAGTAACTTGAAATAGCGCTTTTAATGTAGGAACTAGATGAAACGAAAACCAAAATCAACTCTTTTTTTTTTTCCGAGACAGGGTTTCTCTGTGTAGCTTTGAGCCTTTCCTGGATCTTTCTCTGTAGACCAGGCTGGCCTCGAACTCACAGAGATCCTCCTGCCTCTGCCTCCCAAGTGCTGGGATTAAAGGCATGTGCCACCACCGCTCAGCTCAAAATCAACTCTTAAGAACTAGTTTTTTCCATTTTTCTTAAGCAGGAAAATATCCTTAATTGTGATTTAACTTGAAGCATGTTTGCATCAATTTTTAAACATGTATTTATGGCTCCACAGTTCTTGTTAGTATTACAATATCTATAAATAGTATAACTAAGAAAATGCTTGCATTTCTTAAAGTAAAGATCGTTCATGCCTCTGTATTTCACCCTCGTTTGAATGATGGGTGACAAAGATGGCAGTGATACCAATAGCCTTTAAATAAAAGCAACTGTCATTCAAAACTATTTATAGTTTCTATGTCCAAGGTACTATGTAAGAGTGGACACTGCCTCACCACTACCCTACTTACCAGCTGTATGACTGTGTTCATAGTAAGTGTCCATGTCTGAGAATCTAAGAATGGCTTTCACATGACCGAACGGGCAAAAGAAAAGTTCAAGTATACTTGTCCCAGTATGAAATACATGCCTACGTTTGAGCATCTGACCCAAAAGAAATAACATAAATAGAATGCCCATTTCAATGAAATGTGAACAGACTGTGGGTAGTTTTTATTGGGCGTCACTGTTATTGGAACACCGTTTTGGCTGGTGAACACCAGCTTATAGCTCTGATGGTCTTTTCAGCATCTTAATGCACAGGAAAGGTATTTAAGCACATGTCTAATGACACCTAACACTTTTTTTATGTGCTTCAGACAACAAATTTCAGGGTTCTTAGACAGCATTACAGTTAAATACCTAAAAGGAAACAAATATAATAATTGGTTACATATACAAATTATAAGACCTTAGCTAGCTGATTTTGAAATTATTTTGTTAGTTAGGTATCATGTATTGAATACATCTGTAAATTAAAAATATTTTATTTTGTATATATGAGTGTGTTTACCTGCATGTATGCATGTGTACCACACCATGCATGCCTGGTGGCCCCAGACACCGGAAGAGGGTAAGTCCCTTGGAACTGGAGTTAGGAATGGTTGTGAGCTATCATGTGGATGCAGAGAACTGAAAGAGGGTCCTCTGCAAAAGCAACAGTGCTCTAAACTACTGAGCCATTTCTGTATCTGCATACTTTGTTAGTGGCCTAAATATAAAGTCCTTTGTATTTATTAGAAAATTTACAGAACGTTGTTTTTCAAGAGTGACAACTCGGTGTGTAAATGGTGATTTGGTACTAGAAAGATTTGGGGTGCTAACTTCCCCTAAAGCATTTTTTGGAATACAGGCTGATTATTGTTAAGTAGTTTATTTTTAGATAAACTGATGATTAGATAACTTTAAACTGAACCTAATAGTCATATATGATTTAAATGGCTTTCTTGTGGAGTATTAGTTAATCAAATCATACTATCCTTTGTGAGAGATTAAAAGCAATTATTTTTTCCACACAGGAAGTCATTTATAATAGTCACTGTGGAGCCCCTTTGAAGTGCTATTATGTAATTGTCATTTACCAATTCTTAGAGTTAGAGTGCCTTCTGTAACTGCTAAATTTCTATTAAGAAAATAATAGCTCAAAATATACCAACATGTTCCATAAAACAATAGGAAAGAGTGGGTTTTGAGGCAAAGAGTGTGAATCTTGGATAAAAGATAAATGTCATTGAGTGTGTATCAGAACACATCAACAGAACAAGACATCTACATGATCTTATGGGGAGAAGAAAATTATTCAAAAAGCAAACAACTGATAATCTGTTTACCGGAAAGAAAATAAGACTTAGCCTGTTGATCAATAACCCAATGCTGAGTTTCTATCCCCACCCCTAGAAAGTCGCTACATTGCGAGTTACACCAATGAGAATCAACACAAAATGGATAAATGTAACCAGCTTAATGAATTCTAAAGTCATTGCTTCTGAGGTCCCACCTGGGAGAAATAAACATATCAATGGCAGTAGTTAAGAGTACAGGTTGCAAATGTGGGTTAGGGAATCTGAGGCAAAGCTTTGAGAATTAAGGAACTCAGAGAATTTAACAAGAGAAATAGAGAGGAACCCAACTAGACATTAAGTGCTGCTTTATGTAGAAATGAAGGAAGGGGTGCTGGGGAGTGTTGGGGTCTATAGAGGTTTCCTAGTGAGATCTGAACTTGCTTTCCACAGCAAGGTTGCCTTAGGAGGTGACTTGACCACATGCATGGTTACCAGGTGTTTGGGATGGTCTACACTTGACTCTGCTGGGGGGGGGGGGATCTTTTGCTCCACCCCTCGGCATTTCTTTAAAAGCCCTTTAGCAGAGAAGGGGCAGGTGAGTTTTGATCCAGGCCCTCCCGTGGCTATCCTGTGTTTCTATCTGTCTCTCTCCTCTATATTTTCATCTAAATCTCTTATCCCTCATTCCTTAAGAGTCCCTGGGGAAAATAAATGTGGAAGCTGGTCTCCCATGGGGGAGATGACTCAGTAGGTAAAGTGCTCATCTCTGGTGTAGTAGTGTGTGTGCCTGGAGTTCCAGTGCTCAGGAGGCAGAGATAGGTGGATCCTTAGAGCTTGCTGGCCAGTCAGTCTGGCAATTACTGAGATCCAGGTTCAGTGAGAGACCGTGCCTCAAAAAATAAGGTGGAAAGGTGAATGAGGAAGATACTGGACACCAATCTCCAGCCTGCACACACACACACACACACACACACACACACACACACACACACACACACACACACACGAGTCAGGTTGATGTAGCAAAGCAGAAGTTATGGGGAAAAAAAGAAAGAAAAGAAAAAGAAAACAGAAAGACTTGAAATGCCCTTGCTGACTCTCAACATTTTTCATTGCCATTGTTCTGACTGAAGATCTGATGTTAATGTAAAAGCTGGTGTTAGGTAATGAAAAACAGGTTTGCTGTTGACACTGCACCCTACCAAACATACATTTCAGTGGGATGTAAGTAAGAGGGTGATGGCAAAACCGTGTGAATCAGGCACAGCTATGCTTGAATGCACTATGGAGAGGATGAGGCTTACAGCAAAGCTTACTAGCCACAGATGAAAACTAGGCACTCCCAGAGAATGCTTATAGAGAGTGAGTGTGCATATTTCATTCAAAAGTCACACGAGGATAAAAAAAATGCATTGAGAATAAGACAATGGTTTTCCAAAAAGATAAATTACCTAGTAAATTATGACTTAAATAAACCTGGACTACCTACAACTATTAAAATGCTTCTAGGGTATGTTTTTACTGTAAATGCAACCATACTTTAATAAAAAAATCCCTAATAGTGAAGTCTTGCATTTTATCAAATATATTTTAGTAATTTAAAGAACAGGAAAAATGGAAAATATAAATGAATTTGAATATATAAATTTTATTATAGAAAACCATTACACACTGAAATTAACCATGCCCAGTCTACACATCTCAATGAAGCAAATGTATTTTTATGCATGTAGCTACCACTCAAACCAAAAAATTTACGGTAAGAGTTAACTCTAAAGAAAAGCCATTGAAAAGGTTATAAAGCTAATTGTTTTTTTTCAAATATATCATGGATTTTTCATGTTTTATTTATATTTTAGTAGTGGATAAGTACATAAAAATCTACTTGATAGCAAAAGTGTAAACTCCAATATAAGGGTCCACAGTTGTAGAATGGCTAGTTTAACTGTATTTACTGAGATGTGTATACTTCGGGTCTGGCTAATTTCACTGTGTTTTTTACTTGCAAGTTTTTTTTTTATAATAATAAAGTTTTAATTAAAGTAAATCAGTAGGGGACAGGAGAGATGGCTCAGTGGTTAAGAGTACTGGCTGATCTTCCAAAGGATTTAGGTTTGATTATCAGTACCCACACAATGGCTCACAAGAATCTATAAATCCAGCTTCTGGGGATCTAAACCCTCCTCTGGCCTTCAGGGGACCTACGCACACATCACAGTGCACAGACAAAAATGCAGTTAAAATATCCATACCCATACAAATAAATACATTCAAAAAATAACTCAGTAGATAAATAAGAAGAATCACTTAGTTTGCATCTTTCCTTGGTTGTGTTAGGTTTATCACATTTATTAGACATTTCTAAGCACATTCAGCATAGCTTTAAGAAAGAAGAATGAGTCTGCAGAGTTTTAAAGCTATTTTGTATCTTTTCTTGAAGATGAAAGATGGGGAAAAATCAATCGAAGAACTTACTGAATTAAAGCAATCTTTAAAATATAATTTGTATCAGCAGAAGAAGAAAAATGATGAAATAGAAAAGGAAATTGTTAGGTAAGATTTTAGTATTTCAAACAGTGTCAACCATTCATATTAGCTATAATATTAGCTATATTTTAAATAAAACCTAAATATAAATTCATTTTTTAATGCTTTTCCTAAGAACTATTTTTAAGCTTGTAAAATGGCTCAACATATAGAGGGACTCACTGCCAGATACAACAAGCTGAGTCACATCTTGAGACCCACCTGGTAAAAGAGAATCAACTCCCAACACACACACACACACACACACACACACACACACACACACACACAAATATGAGGCTAAAACAACAACAAAATAACTATCTTAAGTTTTACTTTAGAAACTAACACAATCTGAATCTTCTTCACTTCCTTGCTGAAGCGGGGTCACAGTCTCAGTCCCAGGATTCTCCTGTCCCATTTCCCCAAATGTAAGAAGCTCACATTTGTGCCATCAAAGCCTGGCTGCTTTTAGAACATGAAAATATTATGAAACATGATATTCTCCAGCGTCTTGAAAACTAGCACAACACGATCTTTGGTATGTGATGCCTTCTCACTCTGCTTCACTGACCATGACGTTTTATTTCTCATGTTATTTTTTAAATCTTTCTTCTCATGTATGATTCCATCCAACATTAAACAAGTTTAGCATATAAAGCCTTCTCATCACATCTAATAACGTAAGTATCTGGCTTTAGTTTATATTTTCTTTTTTGTTATAAAATATAACATATTATAAACTCCTTTTCCATAGGTATCCCCCATGTGCTCCAGAGGTATATATGTTATTCAATTACACACACACACATACACACACACACACACACACACACACACACACACACACACAATAATAAATGAACAAAGAATTTTATAAAAGTATACTTTTTTATCTCTTTAGGTGAACTTTGGGTTAAAGCTAATAATAAGTTGATGTTTTGAATAAGTATATGGAAATGGATAATAGTATTCATAGAAATCCTGTAAATATATATGAAGTCAATTATTTGACTGCTGCGTATATTTTATTAATTTTTATACTCCGTACCTCAGATAATTAAATAAAATGCTCTCAAGAAAAGTTAGATTAAATTTAGGTCATAATTTATAGACACATTTATTTCATATGATTAGAACATGCTTAAGCAATTATGTGCTGATAAAATATATTATTTATTTGTTACATTCTTGTAGAATGAAGAAATTCTTGAAAATGGCAAAAATTGGGCATGAAATTGGAGAATGTAGTTCTCATGGAAACTCAAGAACTGGTCATTTTTGAGACATGAGGTGAGTTTAAAGATGAAAGTTCACTTATTTTTTTAAAATACAAATTGCTTTGAGCAACAAAATGACTATTTGTAAGACCATTGCAGACTGAGTGTATGGACAAAGCTTATCCTTTCTATTAAGAGTGTCTGCTGTTGACCCCCTGTGTTCTGAAACAATCCCAAGGGACAGGACCTCAAGACATGAGTATAAAGTCGGTATTGTGGGATATATTTATTGAGCTATACAGTTGACATTGAAATTCAACTTAGAACATTACTGTCACTCTAAAAAAAATTTATGCTTTGTAGCCATCTCATACTCACTTCCTTCCTCAGCCTAAGGAAACTGCTTATACATTTTTTTCCCTATAGACTTACCTATTTTGGACATGTCAAAGGAATGGCCTCTCACAATATGTGATCTGCCTTCTCTCAAGGTCCCTTCCTGTTGTAGTAGCAGTCAACACTTGATGGTTAATACTGCTGACTACCATTAGGTGTGGAGGTCCGCCCTGCCTTGTATTTACTCTGCGTAGCAACCATCCTGCTACGGAGTACATTTATGTGTTTGTAGGTACATCTGCTTGTTTTCCTTTCTCTTGGATGATTACTTGTGGGTGAAGTTGCTGAGTCATGTGGTTACCTGTTTTGACTTTGCAGCTCGGACAGTGGCATGATGCTTTCCATACTCATACTGCCTGCACCAACAAGACAGGAGGGATATCATTTCCCTGCATCATTGCCAACATTTGCTTTCCATCTTTTTGTATTGAAAAAGCTGCCACCACAGTGATGTAAAGTGATACCACTTGGCATTTCATTTGCATATTCATTGGAACTAATGAGATGATGTGGATTGCATGTTTTGTTCATGTGCTTATATTGCTAACTTGCATATCCTTTTTAGAGAAATGCCATTTAAACCATTTTCCATTTTAAAAAGGGTTATCTTACAAAGTTCTATTTATGTATGTTTTTATTTATCCTAGATCTCAGTCCGTTACTAGATATGTGATGTTCAAATATTTTCTGCCATTTTTTTTTTCTTTTTTTTTTTTTGGTTTTTCGAGACAGGGTTTCTCTGTGTAGCTTTGGAGCCTTTCCTGGAACTTGCTTTGGAGACCAGGCTGGCGTCAAACTCACAGAGATCCACCTGCCTCTGCCTCCCGAGTGCTGGGATTAAAGGCGTGTGCCACCACCGCCCGGCTTATTTTCTGCCATTTAACTACTTGCCTTTGCAGTTTGTTGCTGAGTTTATTTCAGTCACCACAGTGTTTAACTTTCCTGAAGTCTTGCTGATCTGTTTGTTCTTCCTGCGTGCTGTCAGAGTAGTTATTGCCAGCTCCAGTCAGGAAGCATTATTGCTGTATTTTGTTTTAAAATATTTATTTTTTTAAAATTCTTTCATTTAGCTATTATATATATGCATATATATGAGATGGAAAAATCGATCGATCGATCGATAGGTAGGTAGGTAGACAGATGATTGTGTGTGTGAGTGTGCATTTGTGTGTGTGTGTGTGTGTGTGTGTGTGTGTGTGTAGGTACATGCATGTATTTATGCATGCAAGACCAGAGGACCCAGGATGACAACTCTACTTTTTTGTTGTTTATTTTAGACAGTTTTATCTTACTGATTATGCTGGTTTGGAATTCCACAAGTAGAATAGGCTGGCTGGCCAGCAAGAACCAAGGGTCTGCCTTTGCTTCTCCTGCCCTGTGATTACAAGTGTGTGTCACTACACACAGCTTTTTTTTTTTTTTTAAATTTACATGGGTTTGGGGGTAAGACTTGGATCTTGTTTGCAAGGTGTATTTGTCCGGGTTCTCCGAAGGATCAGAACTGATAGAATGAATATCTGTATATTAAAAAGGAATCCATTGGAGTGGATAAGTGTCTGTGCTCTGGGTAGTCCTGTAATGGCTGTCTCCCATAGAATGACCAAAAATCCAGTAATTATTCAGTGCACAGGGCTGATGCTGCAACAGTACCAATCCAGTGCTGGAGTCCCAGAGGACTGCATAGAACTGCTGGTCTCCAGTCTACTCTTGAATCCTGAAGATGTAGGTTCTAATATCAGAAAAGAAATGCCCCAGCAACAGGGTGGATGAGCCTGCCAGTGAGAGTGAGGGCAAGTAAGCAAAACCAAATGCTTCCCTCTTCCATGTCCTTTTCTGTAGGTTTCTGCCAGAAGCTGTGGCCCAGATTAGGGTGGGTCTTCCCACCTCAGATGATCCAAGAAAATCCCTCACAGATGTGTCTAGCTGCTTGGATTTTATTTGATGCCAGATGTAGTCAATTTGACAACCAAGATTAGCCATCATACAAAGCAAATGCTTTTCTCTCTAACCTAAGGTTCCATATTTGTCTCATTTTCATACTATATTTGTAGAGAGGCCAATCTTACTTTATTTTTTGCATGCGACTTTTCAGTTCTCCCAGCACCATTTTTTTTTGTTAAAAGACTATTTTTAACTTTTCATTTTTTTAAAAACACAAGTTGAAAGCCAATTGACAGTAAATGCAGGAGGGTGCTGATTCTCAGTTATAATAGGATGGTCCATGTGTCTGTTTCTAAGCCAGAACAAAAATTAGAGATTTAACATTAGAATCCTTTCCCACTATGGTTGTGAATTGCTAGATACTTGCAATAATACAGTCTCTGGTGGAGAATGTGGTGTTTGACTTGACTCATGTTGAGGCCTTTTGCTTCTTGGTGGGGCCCATGTATAGCTCATGCTCTATTGATATCAGGGCATGATTTGAAGTCACACGTAAGAAGACAGTATCTAGTTCTCCTCTTGAATCTTTCGTCTGTCTTCTGTCACTCCCTTCTCCACTCTGATTTCCTTCAGTTCTTTGACACAGGATCTGACAAGTCTGTGATGTGTTTCATTATGATTTACTAACTCATCTACTAGCCAGTAGAATCACTGGTAGGTTTTTCCTGGCTGTGTCTTATAGGTTTTTCCATACATTTCTTTCACTGTTTAGCACTTATTGTACACTTGGCAAAACTCAGGTTTCCTTAAGAGAAGGACCTTTGGGCAGGCATGCCTGGGGGTGGGTGTATTGATTATATTGGTCAATGTGGAAAGGCCTGCCGTTGTGGGTATCACCATTCTCTAGGCTTAGAGATTCTGGATTGTATAAATGTAGAACAAGGCTGAGCACCAGCATGTGTACATTGGCTTGTTAGTCTCTGCTCTTGGCTGGTTGTAACATGACGGCTTCAAGTTTCTGCCATCTTGACCTTGTAGACAATAACTCGGTTTTTGTGATAACTCTTCCCTCTCTCCCACTCCCCAAGTGGCTTGTGTCAGCATGTTTTATCATAGCAACAGGAAAGAGAACCAAGGCATCCAACAAGTCTTCCCTGTATTCTGGTAGGACTTCAGGGTCAGACATATAGTATGTTTCAGAAGTGTTTATATCTCCCACTTCAATTCTTATGAGTTTAATTATATGACTCACAGCAAAGTGTTTTTGAATTATTTTTCACTTGTGAAGTAAGTGAGAACTAGACATTTAGAACCATCATAGTCATAGAACTAATGTACACATTCGTTGCCCATAAGCATGGAGAAGGGGAGCATTTTGAACTTCTGATAAAGGACTGTCTTGTATGATTTCTAATAAGTCTCTTTCATTCTTCCATAATGAAATATGCCACATAATCTGAAGGAAAAGTTTTTCTCTGGCTAGTTACTAAGGCATGGTCGTTTGTTGTTCCGGATAAATTCAGAAGTCTCTTGTTCAGTTGAAATAATTTGATGTAAGGCTTCATTTTCTTCCTAAAATGAAGACACAATTTCACGGCAGAATTCTTGGTCCTCTGGCTCTTTCAATCTTTCTGCCCTCTCTTATGCAGTGTTCCCTGAGCCTTGGGGGTAAGGAGTTGTGCCATAGATGTATCCATTGGGGCTGGGCTCCACATGATTCATTAATCTTTACAGTATGACCTATTATGTTTTTTTTATATATATATTTGGTGTCCATTTGCTGTAAAGAGAAGTTTCTTTGATTAGGGTTGAGAGATATACATATTTGTGGGTATAAGGATAAGTTTTAGAATTCAGTTAAGAATCATTTTGGTTAACAAAGAAACACAAATTAAAAAATAGGAACAAAAACATGATTTTGTTTTTTGTTTGTTTAAATTAATATTCTTATTTGTATTTTTTATTTTTTATTTTATTTTTATTATGTTTTAAGTTTTCTTTTGTGTGTGGTAGACACTACAAAGGTGAAGGGCAGATATGGAGGCACTGGGAAATAAGTGGGGTTTGGGGTGCATGATATGAAATTCCCAAAGAATCAACAAAAATTATGTCTAAAAAAGAAAAAACAAACAAACAAACAAACAAAAAGAGAAGTATTTCGGTCCAAAAACATGGCAGTAGTAATTCTCGCCTAAGATCCATGACCTCACCAGCCCTGGGTAATTGGCTAGGTTTCTAGTTCCAGGCATGATTTCCCTCCTGTTGAGGAGGCCTTAAGTTCAATTAGGCAATTGTTAGTTACTAACAATGTATGAGTGCCATTGTTGCCCCTTTAGGGATATCTTGCCATTCTCTCATTGTTGTGGTTCATTGGTGTCACCAATGGAAAGGACTATTGTTTCCCCTCTGTGGCAGTTTACATAGTAGTTTCTGGTCCTGTGAAAGTTGTATCAGCGGGTCACTTTTAAAATTTCTTCTGAGTTTACTTTTCCTTTATCTGTCCTTGTTGACATATCTTAGTCACTTCAAATTCCAATTTATCACCATCTGCCAGCTCTTGAATCAAGGCTGGAATTTGAACTGTTGTGTTGGGCTTTTCACAGGTTTTCAGTGTGTAAGTGAGCATGGACATGTTTCAAGAACAGTGGGTGTCTTTGTTGCATTTGGGCTACAAGCTTGGCATGTAGAAGGGTCTACTAGATCTTCCCCAATCCCTGGTTGTAATTCTTCTCTTCCACTTTATGTATTTATTGTTAAATTTATATCATTTGATATTTTATAGATCTTTCACCAGCCAGAATGAGCACTCACACCTCTGTGCATGAGGATTGCACTGAGCTCCTACACAGAGGGGGACTCACCTTTGTGCCCCATATCCAAACCTTTTAAGAAACATATGTAGGTAATTAGCTTCCTGTGTTCCAGTTTGCACAACACAAAAAGCACTAGCTGCAAGTTTGAAGTAGAAGTCTGAGAAGTTCACTCTTCCACAAGCAATGTTTGCTTTGACATGTCTCATAAATTATTGTCTCTTGCTAAATTTTCTTCCTTCATAAAGTCTGAGGTACAAGTGCTTGTATCTGAGAGTAAGTGGTTGTGCTTGGTAAAATCTGGGTTCTCTGTCACACTGACTGTAGACAGTTACTTAAACATTTACCCCATAGGATTGCTGATGCTCTGCATACCTAGACTCTCTTGTTTAGACCAACTGTCTTCTGAAAGAAACAAAATGATCTGTGTAAATATTTGACATTCTGCTGTTAACCAAATCCCAAAAGATAAGCGTATTGTTTATACTGTTTTATGCCAAAGACAACAAATACACCAAAGACAGCACATTCATGCACTATCTAAAGTTCATCATCTTCTTCTTGGACACATCTCTCATGTGCAGTCATTACCAATGCTTGAACATACACATAAAACTTTGCAAAGCTCCAAGTTTAGAAACCACACTTAGAGAAATATGGAGACCGAACAAATCCCAGGTGTTTTCAGGCTCATTTTGTGATTCCTTTTTTTACCCTTCCCTGAGTTGGCCTCATCAGTGCTGATGCTATGAAAATCTTTTCATATATTTCTCCTAAAAAACAATTACCTCACCAATCTTAAGAATACATAATTCCTTTGCAGTTTTTGTTACTGTTTAAAAATCTGCTTTTCAACAGTGTTTTCCTGTTTGCTCTTCCACAGGAATGTGTTTGTCACACGACTGGGTAGACAGATACTCCATTCCTTCACCATGGATACAGGACTCAATGTGGCAGTCTTGATGTGTTCTAGAGACATCTCCTGGGACCACACCATCTGCACTGAACATCTAGTTAACTTCTCTAACCACAGCCTTGGAAACTCGGCCCCTTATCCAGACACCATCTACCAGCAAAGATGACAAAGCACTGCCCTTAATTAGATTTTTAATTAAACAGTAAATTCTTACTTCAAAAAACACCATCTTGCTACTTGATTATTTGTTTTTTTCCTTTTTTGTTTTCTATTTGAGATCAAGTTTTTTTTTATCGTTTTGTTTGCTTTTTCTTTTATTTTCATGCTTTCTCTTTATTCTTTTTAAGTCACATAAGTGGTTATAATGCAATTTTTTCAGTTAATAAAGTTGCTATGAGTTGGTATTTTCACTGTTTTCTACCATGTCCTCAAGAAGAAAAGCAGCCATTGAATTATGTTCCCCCCACTACACCCCCTCCCCCACAGCACATGACTTTTTATAATGCTCAAGTGTGTTTCCCCTCCTATCCTCTTGTGACTGCCGAAAAGTCCTGAGCCATCAACCTTATCCCTCGTCCAGGACCACTTGCTAATTGCCCAGTGCCTTGAGGGAAAACCCACAGAGAATGGTGAGTTCACCTCCATGTCTGTCTTAATTTTAGATCTGAGTTTCTGTTACTCTATGATAATTCAATTTAAAACACCTTGATTCTGATTTTCGTTTCATAAAGATGACGAGGACCTGCATCCATGAATAAGGTCAGTATGGTGGCATTAGCTGCCTCTTTCCTTGCCCTGATGAAGTGTCTAACCAGAATCAACTGAAAGTTTGTTTTTGCTTTAGATGATCATTTTTTTAATTTCAAGTTTGTTTATATGGTGGATTACACTGATAGATTTTTGTATGTTGGGCCTTCTCTGCATCTCTGGGATGAAGCTTGCTTGGTTATATTGGATGATCATTTTGATGTGTTCTATGGATTTGGTTTGCCAATATTTTATTGAGTATGTTGCATCAATGTTCATGAGTGAAATTGCTCTGTAATTCTCTTTCTTTGTTGTGTCTTTGTGTGGTTTGGATATCAGGGTTACTGTGGTCGCATAAAAAGAATTTGGCAATGTTCCTTTTGTTTGTATTTTGTGGAATAATTTGAGGAGTATTGGTATTAGCTCTTCTTTGAAAGTCTGGTAGAATTCTGTGCTAAAACCATCTTTTTTTTTTTTTTTTTGGCAAGGGAGATTTTTAATGACTGCTTCTATTTCCTTAGGGGTTATAGGCCTATTTAAATTTTTTTTTAACCTGATCTTGATTTAAATTTGTTAGGTGTTATCTGTCAAGAAATTTATTCATTTCTTTTATATTTTCCAATTTTGTGGAGTATAAGTTTTTGAAGTGTGACCTAATGATCCATCCTTTTTGTTTTTTGTTTTAAATTAATCTTCTGGATCCCTTCAGATACTTCAATATTCTGCCCAATATAGATCTTCCCTTATACCTAGGGTAGAGGCCATCCTTGAGTTCGAATGTTCTGATGGTCATGTCTGATTATAGCAGGATGGATTGATTGTCTCCTGCAGGGCACTGTCCTGCAGACGACAACCCTGCCTGGAACAATGATGATCCACATCAGCTGCTCTCAGATGGTTGTTCAAACATAAGACCATAACTTTGAGCCTAAGTCATCCACTCTTATTTTCACTGTTATTTTACTGACATACTAAACAAAGTATACTGAAGAAGAAATGCATGCCAGGTTAAAGAGAAATAATCACCATCATAATTAAGCGAACTCATTTTAATAAATAATACTACTTGCTTCAGAGATTGAACTCTGAGTCATTCAAAAGGTCCATCTCAGTGTTGCATCGAAACATTACTACCTGGAAATTACAGTGGTCCAGGTGTCTAATTAAACACCATCTTTACAAGGACCAAGGTTGTGGGTAAAAGCATCGTAAGGTAACTGTGTACCATAGACACAGGATGTGTTACCTAACTTACTACTGAACACAGTCATGATATCAAACCATTATCTTCTGAATTAATCAACAATGATGATGTGATAGTTAGAGCATGAGTGCTAACAGGGTGCAAAGTAGGCTTCACATTACCATCTGTGATGCAGTCCTGCCAATGATGTGAAATCAGACGTAGTTAGGATTGCTGTTGTCATGTTAGACATGTTAGACTATAGGAAATTCGAGGAACAAAGGAGCAAGCCAGATGACATCTGAAGCAAGCAGACCAAGAAATGAAAACGTGAGACATTCTTGGTGATTGCAGAGTTAGTCCTCCCAAGAAACCATTGCCAAAGAAGAGTCTGAAGTAGACTTAAGGGGAACAATAACACAACCCTGCTCCAGGTCCTATTTTAGACAAGCTAACTACAATGTTAGAACATCTCTGAGTCAGTAGAACCTCAAACAATTTTTTTGGTTAAATATGATAATATTGTTTTATTAATGTTATTCCAAAATAAATAATTCCTTCAAAGTGCACATTGAAAAATGATGAACACAGACCTAGAAATTTTGGGACAGGCTACAAAAGAGTGTACTTTTTCACTATTGTAGGTAAACAATCCAATAAAAAACTTTGGGTATCTGGTTTAATTAATGAAAATAAGCCTTGTCTAAACACTCAGCCTTATTAGACATGTTGGGTACATAATGGAGGTACCACTGGCAGAGGTAAAGGACTTACTCTCACTAAAGAGAACAAACAAGAATAAGCGTGTTCTAAATCACATAGTGCAATGTGAAACACCAGAGACAGGGAGATCTGTGGGACTGTGTTCGGTGAAGACCACCTGAGGAGGTCAGGATGTAAGCTAAGATCCAAAGGGTGAGATCAATTCAAGAAGCTATCCTTTGTATCTCTGTTATGAGCCATTATGTGTAGTCTGATACACAGAGAAATAGAGAGGCCTTGCAATGTCCACTGATTGGAAGTAGGTGGCCAACTTGAACCACATATTTTTCTTGCTGTACATTTGAAATTAAAAAAATTTCCAGTTGTTTTATTTTGTATTAATTTACTGTGTCTAGTGTGTATGCTATGCTGTGCCTGTGTAGGTAGGACAGCATAGAAGAGTTACTTCTCCTGCCTCACCAGCCCTGAAATTTGCTTACTTTAAGATCTTTTGCAGTTACTCTCCCACGATCATTATATACATGTCCTTATCATAGAGTTTTATGTCAAATTGACACAAAGTAGGGTCATCCAGGAAAAGGAAACCTAAATTGAGACTACTAAGACTGACCTACAGGCAAGTCTGTGGGGGAATTTTTCTTGATCAATGATTGACTAGGAGGTCCTCACCAACTGTGGTCTTGGGGTGTATAAGAAAGCAGGCTTAGTGAGCTATGAGGAACAACCAAGTGAGCACCATTGCTCCATGGTCTCTGCTTCGGCTCCTGCCTCCAGGTTCCTGCCTTGATTTCCTAGCCTGCCTTCATTTCATGGTGGACTATAAGCTGTAAGGTGAAACCCTTTCCTCCCCAAGTTGGCTTTGGTCATGATATTTATCACAGAAATAGCAAGCTAAGATAATATGTAAATATTTATCCTTTTGAAAATTTGAAACGCTAATGTTAACTCCCACTTTAGCTGCTAGGAAGTATAAGTCACATGCACCCACTGAGGCTTAATCTTTTCTGCATTTGATTTGGTGGTAGAAAATAGTTCATGCTGGTATTTTTAAGAAATTTGAACTATATTCAGAACTATACACATTTTCTAATGTTAATACTTTGGTAGTCCCAGAAGAGGAAGCAGGCCAAATTATGGCAGAACCCTGATTGGTACACCAGAGTTGATCTTTGCTGGTTGCACAGGAAGGACAAGACATACACTGTGGTGCAGAAGGGTACCTCTTATGACCTCAGCATCTTGCTAGGACCATCCCAGGGAATCCATTTCTCCTTCCCAAGAGACCTGTGCATAGCAACAATAGCTATCTGGATGTGTATTTGTCAGATGTTGGCTGGGCCCTATAACCTGGATGTCTGTTGGGTGAACAGGGCTCACACTACATACAGCATATGGGCAGTAGCTCAGTAACCTGATTGGGGAGTCAGAGCCCGGCTTCTCAATTCAGTTCTCTGACAAGCTGTGGAATCATTTGCCACCCACTTGCCCTCTCAGAAACCTCTGCTGCCTCTGGAGATCAGCTGCCTCACACTCCTTCCCTAGAAATTAGAGGTAATAGCCACATTTGTGGATAGTATTCTAGCTAAGACTCAAAGCCCTTGGCAAACATCAGCTTTGTGCCACAGCAGTCCAAAGCCCGAGAGCTGCGCTTTTGAAGGAAGTAGGAGAATCAGGATATATCAGAGCCAAATATCAAAGATAATCTATGTCTAAGAAAAGTGCAATTTAAAATCTGTATCTGAATAAATATATGCACGTGTACATACCTGCTTTTAAATCTCTCTCTCTCTCTCTCTCTCTCTCTCTCTCTCTCTCTCTAATTCCAGTACTTTGGAGGCAGAGGTAGGCAGATCTCTTGAGTTTGAGGCTAGCCTGGTCTACAGAGTGAGTTCCAGGATAGCCAGGGCTACACAGAGAAACCCTCCCCAGTATAATATATATTATATATATAAATTACACACACACACACACACACACACACACACACACACACACACACACACACGGACTATCATTTGAAAATGCCTAGTGGCGATCACAATCTTAAGCTAGAATCATGAGATTTTTTTTTTCTCTTCTGCATTGAATCCAGGGCTTCTCACATACTAAGGAGGGGTCTACCACTGAGTTAGATCCTCAACATGAGACTATTAATTAGTCTATATAATTTCCTAAATTGTTCTTTCTTTAAACCAAAGATCAAAACATAATACAATTGTATTCCACATAGATTTTAGTCAATGGCCGAGCATGTGATGACAGTGGTCCTATGATTAAGAAGCTGAAAGGCTCAAGTGCTCTTTTATAGTGTAGCCATGATTACATGTGGCATAAAAGTGTTACTCACCAGTCTGTGGTGAAGTTGTAATGAGCCTACCCTGCTGGCAGTTGCATGAAAGCACAGCACACTGTTATGCTGCTATAAGCACTGGATAAGGATAGTAAGTGGCCTATGATGACCTGTACTGTACACTGAATCAACATGTTAGAGTGTAGTCCATATAGGCTTAGTACTCTTGCTCTCTTGTTGGCATTCACATTTAACCCTGCCCACCGCCACCCAAATGCCTGGCACAATGTGCAGCACACAGTAGGCTCTTGGTGAAAGCTTGTATAAAGTCAGTCTGGTATTCACTGCCCTGGTGATTGTTCACACAGTAATAGCCAGGCAAAAGTTCCTACTTTGTGTAAGTAAAGAAAAATGTGGGGAGGAGTAGGCTTCATTGTCTGTTTCTAACCATGAACATGACGGTGCAGAATCTGAGGAGTCACGCTAGTTAAGTCCTTTCCTGTGGTTTTTAGCAAGTCAGTTAATAAGATATTTATGGTCCCCACAGATTTGATTGTTCTCTGAAAGTTCAAAGACGAAAGTCAAGCGAGTCTGCAAAATAAAATCAATAGAATAAAAATAGGTCCAGCTAGAGGAAATACTCTGGATATGAGAGTTGTGCTTTGTAAAGGTCAGTGGTTTAGAGGAGATTAGTGGAATACCAGAGCATAAGACGCAAGCCATGGGCACAGAGGGTGTGACAGGAGACAGACAAGCTCTCCAAGCTTATCAGTCAGGCACACTACCAGGGAGCCTTTGTTCTGACGTGTGATGCTAGTCTTGATATGGATGAGAATTAGACAGCATTGTACAGTGTTGGGGACATAGAAACAAAAAAGGGGAAATGCGTTGTGCTAGGATTTGTTTGCTCAGGTTTGAGAGCTCTGTGAAGTCACAGGGATTATTGGACAGACTGTTCCTGTGGTTCACAAAATCCACTCCTGTAGACGAATTTCTAAACAGTCTTGTTGAATAAGAAACACAGAGCCAAATACAGGGGTGAAAGCTGTAGAGATCAGAGTGAGAGCCACCAACTAACCATAGCTCACCACGCTGCTGTAGCTTCCCAAGTGAACCAGCTTCTTCCTGCCTGACCTGTGCCTTTATTGCCTTCCTGTTCTGCCTTCTCATTGGCTCTTAGCCCAGTTACCTCACTTCCTCATCACTGACTGTCTGTACAGACCTCCAGGCATCTATGGTTCATACTGGGATTAAAGGTGTGTGTCACCATGCTTGGCTGTGTCCTTGAACACACAGATAGATACTCTGTCTGCAATGTGATTGGATTAAGGGCATGTGCTACCACCACCTGACTTTTGTTTATGGCTGGCTATGACCTCTGATCTCCAGGCAAACTTTATTTATTAACATACAAATAAAATATCACCACACACTCCTATCTGGTTTTCAGGTCTTCTGTTTGTATTTGACACCCATGTTAGACATCTGCTTTTCTTGGGAGTATTCCCTAACTTTCTCCCTGTTTAAATGGCACCTTTGTGTAACCACAGGACCTTCTATAACCTTACTAATGATGTTCATCATCTTACAGTAACTATTCCTTATTTAACTAGATCTCAGTTCACTCCTTAAAGACAGGGTTGTCTTTTTTTTCTATACTCTCGGGATCCAGCAAATTGCTTTTCCCTTAGCCAACTTAAAGCAAATAGTGTTGAATCACCTGCCCAGTGGTACCTCTGCCCCACTCAACCCCCATGGAGCGGTGCCACAGAAAGATGAATCACTACACATTGCCACAGCTGCCCTTCTGTTCTCACAGCAGAGACAGGGACAGACCCTTTCCCACCATCCCCAAATCTTTAGTGCCTGGGATAGCAGACACAGTTCTGGACTGATGCTCACCTGCCTCACACCACATGCCTGTTGTCATCACTGGATTCTTTACATCTCCAGAAAAGGACAGTTATAAAAGCTGATAGTTAAAATTGATGGAAGTGAGAGCTTTGATTTTTTTTTACTTTTGTTAGGAAGAAGTCTTTGATATTAAAAACAAAACAAAAATAAACAAATGTTTAGGTGTTCCAAATCCAAAATATGTAAAGATTCCAAACTTAAGAACAGCTCAATGGCTTGTGAACATAAGGCATTCTGCATATTTTGCCCAAATAAAAATGACAATTAAAACAAGTAGCAAATTATAGTGAAGATACTTTTATCAACTGAATAACCCAGAAGGTTTTGGAAGAACAAAGTAGAAGGAAGCTATAGCTGGATGAAGACAAGCTGTGCATGATTTTCTGGAAGGGCTTGAGTCGCCCACTAGAGTGCTCACATGGGAGAAGTATTCTAGGCTTTAGGGACCATAGGAGGACAAACCCACCACATTTGGGAAATTTAAGTTTACTAGTTTCTCCAAAAACATAAACATGAAAGAAGTACATGCTCAAGAGGAAAATGATCAGAGATGCAAGGGGGATGGTTGTTAGGTCCAACACCCACCCTTACCCCCGCACCAAAATGGCTGTGCTGGTGAAATGTTCTAAACAGAAAGACTTTGGCCATATAGATAGAAAGATTGTTATTAGGTAAGCAGAGGACTAAAGGTAGGTTTCTGTTTACCAAGAACCTCTTTTAATCCTCCCTTAAAGGTTAACTACCTCTACCAAGGGCCTTTACTTCCCCATCAATCAAAACAGCCTGTATCAGCTCAAAGCCCCCACCCTACTGATTACCATATACAGTCTGCTTGTTTTCTCACCACTTTGCTCTTCTTTCTCTCTCCCAAGAGATAGCCTGGGCAGTTTGATCTTCAACAAATCTTTCTACCCATGCAGTCATCCAGTTTGGTGGTTTCATTGCACCCTTGTTTATATTTGGTGTTGAAATCCAGGAAAAGAACAATGGACCTCTTCCAAAAAGCCCCGCACCTCCTAACAGAACCAACTTGTCAGTTTTGACCTTCCTTGGTGCAGATCATTTGCTTCTGCTGAATCTTGCCACCAAAATCTTGATTCCAAAATTCAGAGTCCTCCTCTCCAACTATTTCTCTCTTCCTACTACTCTGCCCTTTCATCGTTCCTCCCCTACTTGGTAAGTGCCTCCTTGTGGCTGCCTGCTCTGTCTCTGTCTCTCTCATTCACTTGCTGGAGTCTTTTGTCTCTGTCTCTCTTGGATCTTGGAGCTTACTCAACAAAAGTCCCACTGGTGCCTCAGGTAGGTTCTCTCACCTTACTGGGCATCCACCATGTGGGAAGGGATGCCTCTCCACTGTGTCTCCCTTTGGAGATAACCTCAGATTGAGAATCCATCACCATTGCACGTTGCCCCTTCCTTCCTGTGCTTCTGCGTGAACAATGTTTATAGAAAATCATATTTATGAGCAACACATGTTTGATGGTTACAGTTTATAAATTCCTAAGATTATAATGGTCTATTCAGGGTAACAAAAACTGACTTAAAGATATATATATATATATAATATAATATATATATATATATATATATATAAAACTACTATATGTTTTTCACTCTCTTTCTTAAACTTTAGTCATTTGTATAACTAAACGTGATTTCAGGCTAAGAATTTGTCAAGGCAAATGGCATGGTTTTACAAGTACAAGTAAGACCCCACTGGTATTTGAATCCAGGGTCTCCTGATTATGAGACAGGCACTTTAACCAACTAAGCCATGGAGCCACCCGGGCTTTAGTTATTTGAAGAAACTGAGTCATATAAAAAAACTATGTTATTTTGTAAAAGTATGCTGTATAAAGATCTAGAGAATGTGGTTTGATGCCTCTCCATGGACTGTACTTGTGGTTTAATGTTTACTTTGATAGTAAAAAGGCCTTCAACTGAAAAATTATAAATTTTTAGGCTCAAACTTTAATCTTATAAAAGCTACTAACTTATTGTAAACTGCTAAAGATAATGAAGACATGCAAGTCAATGGTCCGACACCTTATAAATGACCACATGTGCTCAGAACTACATTTGTAGTAATGCTAAGTATGAATGTAATTCATTTACAGTGACAAGCTTTAGCCTTCTGTATATGTTGTCAAGTTAAGTCTGAAGCAAGTACCTGAAAACCAGCTAAGTTTGTTCAATGTAAAATAATATTTTTAAAAACATGAATCTTAAAAGGTCTTATAAATAAAAAACTCAGTGCCAGCTATTGGGGTGAATTCTGAAAGACCAGAGAAGCAGAACAAGCCACAGCTAACCTCGCCTTGATAACTTCTCAGCTGATTCTGTTTCCTCAATCTGGAAGCCTCTGAGTCTTCATCCGAATGGATCTCAGCTGAACTGCTGCTGAAAGCCTCAAAGTTTAAAAAGCCTCTAGTTCCTGGTCCTCACGCCTTATATAATCTTTCTGCTTCCTGCCATCACTTCCTGGGATTAAAGGCATGTGTCTTTTCCAAGCAAGACATGAGACCTCAAGTCCTGGGATTAAAGGTGTGTACCATTATGCCTGGCTTCTATGTCTATCAAGTGGCTGTTCTGTTCTCTGACCACAGATATGTTTATTAGGGTACACAATATATTAGGGAACACAATATCATCACATTATATTAAGAAAGAACACAAGAGACTAGATGATGGCTCTCAAGCCCCCTCAAACATATCTGTTGAATATACCATTTAAGGTATATATTGAAAGGGAGGAGCAGGAAGAGGCATAAAGGGTGACAGAAATGCCAGCTTCTGGATACAGCCCTGAGCCCCTTCCAAAGAAGATGGAGCACCTGGAACTCCACCTGGAGCTTGCTTCAAGTGTGGCAACACTGCTCACTAGGCAAAGAACTACCCTACACATCGCTCATTACCAGGACCTTATAAAAGCTGTGGATGGATGGCTACCACACTCTGCCCAGCTAAGGTAGGTCTGCTGTGGGATAATGCCCTTGTACACTGGTTTAATAAAACACTGATTGGCCAGGCAGGAAGTGTAGGTGGGGCAAGCTGACTAGGAGAATGCTGGAAAGAAGAAGGGCAGAATTAGGAGTCACCAGCCAGACACAGAGGAAGCAAGATGACAAGGCAGCACTGAGAAAAGGTACCAAGCCATGTGGCTAAACATAGATAAGAATTAGGGGTTAATTTAAGTGTAAGAGCTAGTCAGTAACAAGCCTGAGCTAGTGGCTGAGCAGTTACAATTAATATAAGCCTGACTGATTATTTTATAAGTGGCTGTGGGACCGTGGGGCCAGGTGGGACCATCCTTCAAGTTCCCCCTACACAGGAAAATCTGAGGATCTGAGGAAAATCTCTCTCAGATCCTCTGGGCCTTGCAACCAAAGACTGATGCTGCCCTGGAACTTCTGCCATCAAGATTACTGTGGGGGAGCCCAGGTAGTGAGTAAGTCTCTGCAATTTTTAATAGATTCAGGGACTACTTGGTCTATACTTGCTTCTTACTCCAGTAAAACTTACCCTTTTTAGATCTCTGTGATGGGTGTTGATAGCTTGCCCCACCAGGCCAGGGTACAGGTCCTCTCCTCTGTCCCCTCTGGGGCCACTTGACCACTCACTCCTTTCACATTTTGCCTAGTTGCCCAACCTCATTATTGGGCAGTAACATCATGGCTAAGTTACACTTTTCCCTTTAATCAATTCCTGGAATTTTCCTTCTAGGCTCCAAAGAGCCTCCTTGTCTTTTGGCTGACATTGCTGCTTCACTTTTTCCTCCTCCAGACTGCCTTGTTGACTAATAAGTATAGGACACTTCCTCTCATCCCTGCATTAAGAATCTACTTTGAATCACTACCTTCTACCCCTGCCACTCTCAATACCACATATCTTTAAAACAATCACACAGTTCCTTCTTAATAAAGGTATTTCAAGCCCACTCACTTGCTCTTAAATACCCCTGTCTTGTCTCTCCTACCATTCCAGACATTAAGGATGCTTATTTCAGCATTCCTTTACACCTATATTCCCATGTCCTCTTTGCCTCTTGGATCAGTGTCTCAGCTTACTTGGACTATCCTATTCCAGGGGTTCCAAGAGAGCCCCCCATTTCTTTGGCCAAGCTCTGAGCACTGACCTCCTGTCTCCCAGACACTTAATCCAATGCGAATATGACCTTCTACTATGCAGCTCCATCCTCTCACTGTCACAGTAACATACTGTTCAACTTCTTAACTTTCCAGGAAAACAAAGGATGCAGAGTTTCCCCTTCAAAGTTCATCTTTCTGTCCTCAGGTTGAATATCTAGGCTTTCTGTTATCCCCTAACAGTTATGAACTCACTCTTGGCCTCCTAGAGCACCTGCGGTCCCTCACATCTTTTTTTTTTTTTTTTTCGAGACAAGGTTTCTCTGTGTAGCTTTGCACCTTTCCCGGATCTCGCTCTGTAGACCAGGCTGGCCTCAAACTCACAGAGATCCGCCTGACTCTGCCTCCCGAGTGCTGGGATTAAAGGCATGTGCCACCACCACCCGGCATCCCTCACACCTTTAACCACCAAGAAAGAGATTCTCCCCTTCCTTGGCCTGGAGAGGTACTTCAGAACCCGATTTCCCAACTTTGCTCTTCTTGCTTGCTCCCTCTATGAAGCAGCTAAGGGCCCCTACCCAAGCCTCACTTCTTCAAACCCAACCTCCATCTCTATCCCACTCTCATAGGCCACATTAGACTTCTTAAGCATGAGTCTCCATCTTCATGGCTCTGAATGCAATGACCTCATTCAGAGCTAAGTGGCTCACCGTAAGTTCCTTCACCAGGGTTGAGGCAGAACCCACCACTATTCCTTCCATTCTATGACCCAATTTTATATTCTCTACCTGATTGAGGGCTTCAAGGTTGACAGAACTGTTTTTTTCAACATATCCTCCACAAATCCTGATTACAGGGCTCTGTCATGCTTGCTTTGGCATCTAGTACATGCTGTGTTAGAATTTTGGTAGAGAGTACTGTAGAAGGTTGGGGTGAAGATCTGCATGAATACTCTTTCTTCACATTAAGATGACCTGGGAGACAAAGACCTGCCTTGACATGCATTGTATCTATAGAGTTAGTGAAATGCAATGGATATAACCAGATTCTCCCCACAAAGATCTCTGGAGTTCCTTTTGGGCATATGGGTAGTAATTCATCTCCATCCTACCTCAGTATCCCACAGTGCCCAAAGTGAGCAAAATCTTTTTCACTATTGCTTAATTTCAAATTATTGTGTCTGAAAATATCTTTGTCTGCACTATACTACACTGTTAGATTTGTTGAATGTCCCCTCAACAGTAATTTAATTCAAATGCAGAAAAGGAAAACATCACCCCAAGAAATCTATTTGAGATCTTCTAAAGTCACACCATCCCCCAGGCGCTCAGCAGATAAGCCAATAGTGTTTGTGTCATATGTAGACACATCATGGGGCTGATAGGAAACATGAATCAAGACTTGATGCTGCAAGAGACAAGAATGTAGCTTTAGGTTACTTAGCAAGGTCAAGGTTATTGGTCCCTGTAGAGGGATAGAGTAGATTCAGGCTTGCCCTGGCTCCCCCAGGGTTTGTTGGCTTTACTTTCTTGGGATGCTTTTGGACTTGCCCCAAGTGTTTGCAAGACACCTTAGAAACACATCCTGCCAAGCATTGGCATTCCAACACATGAGCGAGAGGACACCCTCCTCAGCTCCAAGGTCCAAGTCCTGGGAGGAAGAAAATACCATGACACACAAAAAAACTACTTATGCTGCTATTGTCCTAGGCTCCAGTATGGTTAGCAAGGATATTTTATTGATCTCACTTTCATTTAAAACTTTGGTATTTTCGTCTTATTATGCACTAATTTCAGTCTTTACCATTTTGGCACCTCTCTATTACCCATTTTAAATTGTGCTCAGGTACTTTTACCTATGAATGAATTAGGATTTGGAAATGGCCACCTGTGGCACAGTTAGCAGCAGTATACCAATATCAGTTGCTACTTTTGACATTGCAATACGGTGATGAGAGATGTCTCTGCTGCCATATGCCATGTGGAAGCTCCTTGTAAGTCTATAATTAGTTCAAAAACGAAAAAAATTCAGTATATTTTATTCGATAATTTACTGAACTAGTTGGCACCATGCTCAACTTGAGCACAAGGTGAGTGACCTGTTTCCATCAGAAGAACCATAAATTCTTTCTTTAACAGTAGTCTAGTGTTAATAAGATATCAAATGCATTTAGAACATGCATTGAAAAACCTTACAGCCTCAAAGAGAAGATTGTCTCTCACCTTTTTGGAGAAAAGACCAGGCAAACTAAATCTTTGTCACCCAAGCTGTGGGTGTTGACAATGTCATGGCTTCCTCTTTTTTTCACTAGGCTGCTGTAAAGGACTTTGGAATGGATTACTAAGACTTGGGAATTAGACACCTACTTGTAACCAAGATAGACTCAGTGGTAGACATGCTTCCTCATGCTTTGCACTATTTAGTTTTCTTGAAGTCCTGGAGCAAAACTACCTGACAAAAGAAACTCAAGGAAAGAAGGACGGACTTACTTTGGCTCACAGTTCGAGGGTACAGTCTATCACGTCAAGGGGTCATTGTGGTGGTTGCTGGACAAGACTGATCAGATTGCATCCACAGTCAGGACACAGAGAAATGTGAGTGCTGGTGCTCGGCTCATCTTTTTATGTGCTCTAGGACCCCAGTCCATATGATGATGCAATCCACTTTCAGAGTAGTTCTCTCCTTCATTAACTCTTT